AAAGATGAAATTGGAAATTTAATCATACCAACTGTAAATGATATGTACCTACGAAAGATAAGATGCGGAATGTACCGCTCACATCCGACGTCGACCTCACCGAGCCGACCTTCTAGAATCTATGGGGTGAAGCACCCACGCCAAGAAGTAGGGGTGGTTCTCTGACTATGTATGTTAGGTACTTAGGCAACCGGACCACTTGTTTCAGTAAATTCTACGCGGTGGCTCGAGTCTTTTACTCACTTGTACACCTTCTGCTATAATAGCCATTTATTGGTCGTAAGAGATTTGTACATTAGGTACATTAGGTAGATATATAATACTTTCGAGTTCTTACTCGATTACCTACATATTTCATCTCTATTAAACTAACATATCTAAATAGAGAGACATAAGCACAACATCAAAGTTTGGTTTAAAAAAGGGATACTGTCAAATCAATAAGACCGACATAATGCCATCATGTTTTTTCAGGGGGTCTATCGGCAATACAAACGTACTCGATACAACCTACGGCTACTGGCTTGTCCCACTGAAGAATCAAAGAGAGCCTGCCTGCCACATGGCTAGCTACATGTATCCACTCATTTCGCCGTTCCTGCATTAGCCAGGCAACCTAGCTCGTTAGCTCGTTCTTGTACCTTGATACTTACCAGATAAGAATACCAAACCGAATCCATTGCGATTTTGGGCCTTCAATCTTGTGATACCCTGTCGGAATCTTAAGGGTGTTCCTCTTAAGCGTGCTCTTTAAATCCACCGAGTGGATAATACGCTAGACCGTCGGAGTTCTCTTTGATTTCATTTGACTAGAATATTTACACTAACTAGTTATTTCTAAACTACTAACTAATAAGGGAGCACCAGAGAAGGTTAGAATACATATATGAAATACATTGATCGACATTCATAGAAATTCGTCATTACCTGTACGAAACCCCGTATTCCTCCGCGGTAAACAATCAATACAAGACGCAGTGTTTTATCGTCATGTGACTTCTCTACCAAGCGGACAATGGGAATGTAGCACCACTTTAACTATCTAAATCATAATTAGGTAGCAAGGCGTAAGAATGAACTAATAAATATACGAAGCGCTACTTTAAACACCGATTCATCGAAATGTTGCTACTGTTTTAGGAATAAGAGCATAGATAAGGGATATTTTCTATCAATTTTCTATCAATAGGTCCTTTGATAGAAACATCAAGGCTTTTTCTAAAATAAAATAAAATAAAAATCTCTATTAACACGTCACCGAATTAAAATTTTCAGTATCCTTGACTTCTACATACATAAGAGAACCTGTAAGAGAACCTGCAAGAGAAAGACCCACGTTCACCACGGCACTTAACGTCTCCATATGTACGCGGCAGCCCATTAGCCAAGGGTCTCTACCTGCATATCTTTGTACTAATGGTTCCATCATGACGGTCTCGTCAGATTCTTATTATACTACCTACATATTCTGCTATTCCTAAATAGGCTGATTGCTTCCAATCCGTACGGGACGTAAGGCATACTCTTGCAACCCTAATCCACGTACTCTTGACTACAAGACAAAAGCCTTATTGAGATTTTAGCTAGACCCGAAAGTAAGTTCGACGGCGGCATGGGTACTCCCGAGGTCTATAGTGGGAACCTCTATCTATCCGGCGCCAGTAGGTATGACTAGAACCTCCAAGTCGACTATTGCTAGTTACCTCTATTAAGGATAAAACACTACTCTGAAGGCACATCTAGATTAACTCGAAGGGATAATATACATATGAGATAACATTCTGTATTAAGATTTTCATACGAGGTAACGTTGTTACCGGTGTACTGGAGGTTGGGAATTTGATACCGTGATGTCGGGTCGCCGATTCGATTAAACATCCCCTTCAAGTATATATACATATAAGAAGTAATGGACCCGTTAAATTGGGCATATGTCTCCATGTACCACTTAGAGAAGAGGTCGGGCAGCTAAAGGCACTAGAAGCTTTCCACCGAATTTTACGTATAAGTGGAATACTTCTAATAGACTCACCTATAACTTTGGGACTGCCAAGGGTTAAGGTGAGAATCCCCAGCATGTTAGAAGTTGCTAGCGATTTTCTCGCCTTACCATCCCAGCGCCACGGGCACCTTTACGTCCTTAAATGAGGTACGCGATGTGGATCCCAAGGGGACGGGACACATCCGAAATAGCATCATGCTACATATCCAGCTGTACGTTTCGAGACCCACGCTGCATGACAGCACCTCGTAGACCCACTAGATCAACTTCTGAAGAGACTACCTAGCCATTTCAAACATTACCCCGGTCATTTCCTAACTAGAGTCCACTCTTCTAGCATCTTATCTGACATGGATGGAATTGAACGTCAAAGCTATGAAACTTCTTATTACTTAAAAAAGATAATTATGACACCGGTCCTTGGCATTGTATTAACTACCCAACCTAGGTACTGTTGAAATCGGAAGCCCTCATCCGTAGGAATCCAATTTATGGCTCGCAAAGGGTATCCGTCTTAGCGGCAGGATGTGGTCCCGGCAGTTCCAATATTCGTCGGGATTTGGGGAACCTGTCATGTTCGATTTCGGACAAGGATCAAGGACGTTACCCTGTCCGACTCGTCCAACAAAACCCGTGGTACCGGGGAAGCTTTCCGTCGCGGCGGATTAACCATGCGTTCGCCTTGGATTGACGTGCTTGTCAAATTACGGAGGAAAGAAAAAAAAAATTTTAACCCATACCCAGCCATCTTGAGCTTTGACGGATAGGAAGCATTATTTTTCAAAACCACCCGCACCGACTCCGAGTACCTTCGATTTCGGCAATGCCGTCACCGGCAGCCCTGTTCGAAGCGAAGAACTGACCGCCGCTTGGTCAAAGTCCTATCGGCTATAACCCGCACAGACGGAACACTTATAATATATAGAGAAGGGATCAACACAAGTCCTAGACGTATGTACACTACATACCTCCTAGGATGTTAACTACATGCTTACCGAGGTATGTAAATAAAGACTTCTGACAGGTAAACTTCTTTATGCTATGATATCAGAGCCCTGAGAGACGCGTCTTCTTATTGATTAGGTAACTACACGAAATATGCAGGGGTTCCAGTCGTCCCGAAGGATATGTGATTCTGAGGACCTATCCGAGAGTGAAAATGAGGCTGATAGATTTTATTGGTACCTCTAATGAATTTTGTGGCGCGTCCTTGACCCTTATTAGCGGACCCTCGCGCATCAACTGGGTCGATCCCCTCGATTGGGTCAACCCTTTTTCCTTTGGACCAAGATACAAAGTCAAATGTCTACAGGGCCAGCCGCTCCGCCGGTCCCCGTCTTACCTATTAAAATCCTTACTATTTAATGACTCGTGTAGTTGAATAAAAATAGGGGTGAGTAAGCTCGGCTTTACTTCTACGGGCAAGCGGGTTGGAGTTGGAGGCTCGAGCATTGCCGTAGGCAAAAGATAGGAAAAAGGTCCATCGCCCGGCCAACCCGTCGTTTGTACATACCTACCTCATATGTAGCTCCCGCGGTCTTATTTGTTCCAGGAGCTCGGCGCTTTTCTGACCGTCTGTGCCACTCGGTAGATGCAATATCTCATTATTCTCTGGATCCGTGCCGTACGTATGGGTAGATAGTTCACCAGGGTGGCCGGACGCAATACACAGTATAATATCAAAGCTTTCCCCCCCTAAATAAAACTCATTCCCATCCCACGGGCTCGGTCTGCGCACAGAGATATTCTATGTATTATCACCGCTATTAAGATGGGACACATGCACGTAATAACTCGGTGGTAAATTAATTCCAGTTGCAGAGCCTTTCCTTTTTTCCTATATGGTACGATGGTATTCAAGCAGGGGTGGGCTACTTGAAACGGTTATTGCTGGTTTTGGATGAAGACACTGCTCGCTGAAGGCATGTACCAGCTACGAGCCCAAAACACAACCGAGCATGTTTCTCTAGGATATGGCTTCATCGGTATGAAACCATTCGCATTTACGAGCGTACATCTATCGTATGTTGCATCCATGTGAGAAGCAGGCGGTTCTAAAGATAGGGGGCCAAGCATAGAATCAGGGGGCGTACAACAGACGAATTCGTAATGAACTAACTGAGAACTTGGAACACGACATCAGCCAAAATCGACAACGACAACGAGATTGTAATTCCCGAACGGCTCGAGCCCAATCAGATAATATTGGGCTTTTCAAATCTGAACAATTCATCGATCACGTTGGCCGTTTCCGACCCTCCCGTCGTGTGACTTGGATGCTGAAGATAGACATGAAAATTATTACTTGGAGTAGATTGGCCTCCAAGAATATCTAAGAATATCCAGGTGATCTATTACTCATAGGATAGTATATCTTGAAAGAGGAGGAAGGGGGGGGAATAAAGTGGTAACTTAATTACTATTGGTAGCCCCATATGCAATCTGGTTTTTATCTTGACATGTTTATTATAGATGCTGCATAGTAGTAGCAGTGACGTATAAAGTTATAGGCGCGCGGGTGTAGAGGTGTAGATATAGCTGAGCCACTGTGATGATGAATTTAATGGGTTGTCGTCGCATACCGCGTTTTTAGTACCTAGAACAATTGAAATTTAAAGGTAAGGCAGCTAAAAGGGCTAAAAGGTTAGGTGCCTTTAAGGTGCTATTCCTCTATTCTAAGCCACAAGTTGCAGCCTCAGAGTTGCCCCACCACACCTCCCCCCCATAACCTCTTGCAGCTTCCAGTCCACCAGCAGAAAGCAACGTCAATCCTCGGGGCCCCCACCATTTGCCTCCATCTCTCTCTCTCTCCCAACGTCCACCGACCCCAAACCAGATTCAGAGCCTCAATTAATCCACAAACGATCTAGACCTCCTATGTACACGTAGCAGTAGGCAGAAACGGGCAACTCTTCCTAATTTAGGCATCAAGAGTTATAGGAGTTTCTCTAGATCAGTTGGGCAGCTCTTGTCTGCTAGGAAGCGCCAACCAGCCAGCATGTCCATCATTCAGCAGCACACCTCGGCCTCGCTCGGCGACGCCTGGCGAACCATCAACATCGATGCCCTAGACCCCGACTCCTCGCAGAATTTTGACACCTCGACCTTACACCCGCCACTCCCCGAGATCAGCGAGGCTGACGTCCGGCAGCTTAACGGCCAAATACGCCAGCTGCTTCGTGGCGGTGACGCTGAAGGTGCTCTGAGAGGCAGCCTCGAGAGCCCGGTGTACAATGGCAGTGATTCAGCTAAGGTAGGCTATAGCCTTGGACACCCGTAATAGAAACATGGATTAGGAAGCTTGGGATAAGGAGAACATAGGTGTTGATTACGAGGCTGGTAATAGGATTCCCACCTGCAGACCGTGGTAGAGGTCCTGCAATCGATCAAGGCGAGCGAGATGACACCGATGTTACAGCGAATCTATGGCACAGAAGGCGGAAGCGAATTGTTGGATGTATTGATGAAGTACCTGTATGTCTGGCCCCTTATAACCCCTATATCCGAATTCGTCACCACCAGTAGTCTAACCCCTATATTCAGATACAAAGGTATGTCAGGCGGTGGATCAGCGAGCAGCGGACCTCGGACCGCGGCCCGGATCTTGACGCCGCAGCCCACGGGATTCAGCCAGATCGGCTCAAGACCCGGGACTACAAACGAGTCTACGGGTACGGCCATGAGCGTGCTGCTAAGCTGGCACGAGAAGGTTGTCGATGTTGCGGGCTTGGGTAGCATAGAGCGATGTATGACAGACTGGCGAAAGGTTTAGAGCCAGAACCGATTACTGCTATTATAAATGGGATCACGATTTTTATATATATATCTTCTTGCCTTAGGTACCTCGTGTAAGGTAGTTGCAAAATGCCCTCATCTGGTACACTTTTCTAAGTACCTAATATCTACCTCGTACTTGCCCACATTTTAAAGTCCTCGTTGCCGTAGTTACATTTCATGTGCATGCCGCTTGAAGACGTGCCTTCCTGTTATTATGCCATCTAAGTATGCTAATTCACTGGGTCTTAGGGGTGAAGACAACTACATGTAATAAGAAAACATGGTGCATCTACAGCGCAATTATTATATGCTGTGTGTTTAGGCAACTACGTATGTACTTGCATGTACTCAGCAAAGGAAAGAGCGTTGCGATTCCCTTCCCCTGCCGCGTTTTGGTCTTCTTGTTGTTTGGCATCTCTCGCTTTTCTTCTATCTTCTTCTCTTGCACTTAATTGAAACAACATGGAGGCAACGTTCAATACATATTCTTACTATCGCCAACTCAACAGGGGAGATATTTGGATCATTCTATCATGCGAATGCACTTAGCAAAGCAAAGGAATGAACGCCAGTCTTACAAACTTCCTTCTGCAACAAGTTTCCCTCCTCGTTATTCCCTTGTTGCCTAACCTCTCATCATTCTTCTATCCTCCACTTGTTTTTCAGCCAGCTTTCAAACAAGTTTCAACACATCATCTTACTCAAAGCTATCAATTTGGTCTTGTTGAACCTTCCTTGATACATGTATAAGCTTTGTGTCTTCCTCTGCAAATCCCGCCACTATGCATTTCTGCAAACCTTGTGGCCGAGAGTTTGTAACTTGGGAATCCATACAACAACATTGGAGAGATAGTTTTCTCCATGATGGAGAGCGTCGGTTTTGCAAGTCATGCAATTACTGGTGGCCTAATCTAGATAGATTCACATCCCACCTAAAGAACAAAAACTTCCACAACCCCTGCTTCATATGCAACTCTGACTTCTTAGGAGATGAGGCAGCATTGGCGTCACATATAGCACAACATGGCATATGTCCCATTAAAGGGTGTGGCAAGACTTTCAAGTGGCAACAACTAGATGACCACCTGCACCACGCCCATAGCTATTGCCAACGATGCCAAAAAACATTCTCATCTAAAGATGAACTCCGGGACCATAGGGAAACGAGCACCCTGCACTTGTAGTGCAATGCATGTGGTGTCGATTTCCTTTCTCAGGCGGAATTAAAAGATCATTGCAAGGCAAGTCATTTCTTCTGCGCGAAGTGCAACATCGGGTTCACTACCACCCAAGCGCAGGCTCGTCACTTCAGCACCAGCATTAATCACTTCTTCTGTATAAAGTGTTCTCGAGAATTCCCCAGCCCTGGAGAGTTTATAAAGCACTATACCACATCTGCAACTTGGACTCCTGGAATAGTCCATCACTACTGCCAAGTATGCTGTTCGGACTTTGCCGACATTGAACGTTTGAAAAATCATTATTTCTCTTCCGACGTTCATCATTACTGTTACTTGTGTAATAAACACTTGGCCTCCAAAGTGGTACTACGTCAGCATTATTTGGATCGGATGGTAACACACGGCTACTGCGAGCCTTGTGCTATTCCCTTCAGGAGTAAGGAAGAATATATCCAGCATGTGGTACAGAATCCCAACTCCCATGCATATTGCCAGCAATGTCGCGAGGTATTTCCAAATAAGGCTGCTCTGAATACCCACAAGCGTGTGAGTGTGGCTCATCATTATTGCGAAAAGTGCAATATGGACTTCGAGAATCACCAGTCACTAGATCTGCACTTGGAAAGGAAACACCATTACTGTAAGGCTTGCGATGAGCATTTCGAGGCACCTACAGATTTACACAACCACAAACGACTCAGCAAAACGCATCATTACTGTCAGGAGTGTGATGAAGAATATATAAATACCGAGACACTAACATCCCACCAACGAGCGAAGCATCCCTATTGCAACATCTGTGCCGAGGTTTTCCACTCCTCATATAACCTCAATGAGCATAACCGCTTTCAGCACGCGTACAACTCTGTTGTGTATGTTCCAAGTACTATCCTGATGTTGAATCATTGAAAGAGCATATGCAAACGAGCCATCATTATTGCCAGCGATGCGATCTGGCTTTCGAGACACCTGCTTGTCTTGAGTCTCATATTATGGAAAGTGACCAACATCATGTCTGCCTTCTCTGTGATTTTGATTCTAAGGATATTGAATCTCTTGGGCATCACGAGCAGTCCGCGCACCACTACTGCGACGCATGCGAGCAAGCTTTCGTGTCATCGACTGCGCTCCAGGAGCATATGGCCCAAAGCAACGAACACCACTACTGCCCGCAATGCGAGTGTGATTATGAAGACACTCGAGCCTTAGATATCCACAATGAGATCCAACACCACTACTGCAAGCTTTGCTGTATCTACTTTGATACTAATGAAGCTTTTGAAGCCCACAGGATTGAGAGCAGCGCTCATCATTACTGCGATATATGTGTCGTAGAGTTTCGCGAGCAGGAAACCCTAAACACTCACATTCAAAGCTGGCATGCCATTACCACCCAGCCAGATGAGGAAGTAATTGAAGGAGTAGCAACAAGCGGAGAAATACCGAATAAGGAAGTACCGAACGAAGAGCGCAAAGATGAATTGTCTAAGGACGAAGCGGCTACAGGTGAAGAGCTTCATGACGAAGAACTTAACGGCAAGGAGCACAAGGGTGAAGAATCTAGGGATGAAGAGATTATTAGTGATTCTCAATCAGGAGAGGTGAGCTGGCGCCAAAATTTCAAACCCACGGGATTATATCCTAAGGTCAGATTTTTACTAATACTAAATACCGTTAGGATCAACCGATAATCAGCGGAACGAAGTGTCCTGCCTGTCCAAAGATGTTTCCCTCAACCCTTTCAATGATTAATCATTGCGAAGAAGGCGACTGTTGGAAAGAACTCTATCGCGTCTTGCGTCGTGAGGACAAAAGTAACGAATTTACTATTGACTCGGTCGAGAAGGTAGGGGCTCATGATACGAAGCATTTTCAATGCCCCCAGCCGTACTGCGGCGATCTGTTCGCAAGATTCGGTGGTTTGATGAACCACCTCGAGGTTATGGAATGTGGCATCTGGGTAGAAGAGCGAGGGGGGGATGAACTCAACTTTCTAAAAAGCTACCTGTCTTAAGAGGGATTCTATTCAATGTCGATGAAACTGCTTTGTTATAGAAAGCATTGAGGGTGCTTTTGTTGATGCCAAGGGCTTCGTTTTACCACAAACCGCCTCATATAGAGATGGATATGTGTTTGGCGAGAGAGCATTAGCAGGTCTTGTTTACTCTGTTCCTTTGGAGCTATATTGGCTCGCATGTTGTTTCAGTTTAGGGGTTGCCAGGGTGGACGCGGATATGTATGTGTTTACTAATTGCCAATAAGTCACTGCGAGGCACAGAACTAGATGTAAGAGACATTAATGATACGAGTTCAGATAATATTTATTTCTTCTCGAAAACATCCTTTAAACTAATCTCTCCACTACCTCGAGGTAATGGCTGACGTTGATCTTTCGATTCTTTCCATCCAATCATATAAATCATCCGGAAAGTAGCAGGTATTGATCCATCCTCATTGCCATGAAGCTCTCGGTAGATAGCGTCGTTGGCTAGGAGTACATCCCGCTGGATACCCCTCATCTCGCGACCAAGGACAGCATTGCTCTCGCCCATAGCCTGTATATCTTGCATGAGCGCAAATGTATCTGGGTAATCGACGATGATATCATCAACGTCGACAGTCAGCATCTTGAAACCAGCGCGTTGTAGTAGACCGCCCACGTCGCGCACGTCCGCTAGCGGCGATACATGCGGCGAGATACCGCCACGACGCTCCTGTTCGGCTAGCTGTAGCGACGTACGCAGCTCAAAGAGGGTATCACCACCAAACATGGCGCCTACGAAGGCACAGTCTGGCTTTAGGATATTATTGATTTGCGCTAGGACGCCTGGCAGGTCGTTGATCCAATGCATGCTCAGCGAGCTCAACACCAGATCAAAGGTATTGGCCTCGAAAGGTAGCGTCTCCTCGTCAGATAGGACTTGCCGTGTCATGTTGATTTCCGAGTTGAAGGACTGGTCGGCATCCCGGTACAGCAAGGTCTCGGACGAGTCTACGGCAAGCAAGTGCCCGATGCGGGAGACAAGTGGCTCGGTCACGGGCGCTTCGGGATTAGGGTCCGGGTCGGGCCGTGTTAGGGCCCGCGCGATGTTACAGGAGTTTGCGCCGAGGTCGAGGACCGAGGGGTAGTTACGTTTGATGTCCTACAGGTTTTCTGTATTAGTCCCTTATACCGTAGGGAAGATATTTGTATAGGTATATTATAAGAGCGCACCAATAATCTGTCGCACAATCGGATGGCTACTTCATCTTTCAGATAGTCGGCCACTCGACTGTTCTCGGCGTGGGCGGCTGCGCGCTCCTTTTGTAGCCATTTTGTGTGACGGTTGAAGACTTGGTGGACGGGAGGTGCGGCGGCTTGGATGGCGTAGAAACGCCTGGGTATTAAGCTTCTCGACGATGCTGTTGCTATTGCTGCTGTTTTTACCTTCGAAACCCGTGTTGGCGGTATTGTCGACCTCCAGAGACCGTAATTCATCGTCAATTGGTTGTTATTTACATCCTGAAATCTGAAGCTTGGGAAGCTCTAAATAATTTATTGGCTCTGACGTCGGAGATGCGTTAAAGAGGAGGAGCTGTTGTAATATCGATAAGTAAGATAAGTGTAGGTACATCGATATTTAAAATCAAGCCACACTTTATGTATTCCGTAAGAAGGTAAGGTTCCATTCAAATGTATGGTCGAGGCGCAAATCATGTGCCCCACAAACGGTGACATTACACAACGGGTATCCGACTAATAAATAGACTTGGCTGACTGGATTAAATAGAAGGTGTGGTGCAGGTAGTACAGGTAATAAGTAGTGCAGGTGCTCTCCTCTTTCGCCGCTCGGGGTTTAAGACTGTCAATTCCATTTACAGATTTATTCCAAATGTGTCCCTGAACTCAACACCGTAGATAATCGTCCAATGTTGTGCCGCCAACTACGATATTATAAATTTCGACAAAACATTTCATCCTAAATTATCAATCGACGACCGACTCTCGGACCTCGATACGAACCGAACCCTACTTGTTTCCGCGTCGCTGTCCCTCTACCCCCTGTCTCCCGCTTGCCCTGGTCACGCTCGACCATGTTCATAGACTGACCTAGTCTATCATGAGAGCCGCATTTTCAAGCGTGCTTCCTCTCGGCATTGGACCTAAACATTTGGATTCGACTTCTTTCTATATAAACTAATTTTACGTTTCGCCGTTGTGTATACAAGCGGATGCGACGGAGATAGCGGGTGTCGTGTAAGAATAGGGGGAATCGTTGTTGCGACTACACCATGGCTTCCTCCGCGGCGGCCGGCTTTCTTGGCCGGTCGAGCAGCAGTAACTCAAACATGCGTGGTCTTGTTCAGTTTATCGCGGACTTGAGAAATGCGAGAGCTAGGGACCTGGAAGAGAAAAGGATCAACAAGGAGTTGGCAAATATTCGGTTCGTGGAAACAAATCTTCCAATTGCCATTGAGGATAGGGGTGCTAACCTATAGTTTCTTCGTTACAGACAAAAGTTTAAGGGTATGCTATACTTCTAATCTGGGCGAACACGAAAGCTTCGCGCGACGCTGGAATATCAACATAGGACTCTTGGACTAATGAAATATAGATGGTAATTTGAGCGGCTACCACAAGAAAAAATACGTTTGCAAAGTACGATGAAGCCACTTTCTACGCGAATCACGAACGGATCTGACGTTGGGCAATAGTTGTTGTATATTTATCCTAGGTTGGAATGTCGACTTCGGACACCTCGAGGCTGTCAACCTAATTTCGGCGAACAAGTATTCCGAGAAGCAAATTGGATATCTAGCTATGACGCTCTTCCTGCACGAGAAGCACGAGCTATTACACCTAGTTGTAAACAGCATACGGAAGGACCTCCTCGACCACAACGAGCTCTTCAACTGCTTAGCTTTACACGCGATTGCGAATGTAGGAGGCCGTGAGATGGGAGAAGCTCTGAGTGCAGAGGTTCACAGACTTCTGATTTCGCCGTATGTGATCCCTCGGTGAAACTAGCTGTGGTATCTAACAGTGAGTACAGGACTTCGAAGGCGTTCGTGAAGAAGAAGGCAGCCCTTACCCTCCTACGTCTATACCGCAAGCACCCGGATATAATCCAACCGCAATGGGCAGAACGGATAATTTCCCTTATGGATGATCTCGATCTCGGAGTGGCCCTCTCAGTCACGTCACTCGTCATGGCCGTCGCGCAGGATAACTCGGAGCAGTATAAGGGTGCCTACGTTAAAGCTGCGTCACGGATGAAGCGAATATTGATCGATGGGGATTATACTGCTGACTACTTATACTACAAAGTTCCATGCCCTTGGATACAAGTCAAACTACTACGGTTACTGCAATATTTCCCGCCCTCAGGTATGAATTAGTCCCGTGGTGAAGCTTTCTGATCCGGAAACTGATAAACCAAATAGAGGATAGCCATGTTCGAGAAATGATTCGAGAGTCGCTACAGAAGATCCTGAATCTAGCAATGGAGACGAATAAGAACGTCCAACAAAACAATGCTCAGAATGCTGTGTTGTTCGAGGCTATTAACCTCATCATCCATCTAGACACGGAGCATGCGTTAATGAAGCAGATATCTACCCGCCTGGGCCGTTTCATTACGTCTAGGGAGACAAATGTGCGGTACCTGGGACTGGAAGCCATGACGCATTTGGCGGCTCGAGCTGAGAATCTCGATCCTATCAAGCAGCACCAAGAAGTGATCCTCGGATCTCTTAAGGACCGCGATATTAGCGTCCGCAGAAAGGGTCTCGATTTGCTATATAGTATGTGCGATTCGACCAATTCTGTGCCGATAGTATCGGAATTACTTCACTATCTACAGAACGCCGACTTTGCGATCCGAGAAGAGATGGCTTTGAAGATTGCAATCTTGACGGAGAAATATGCTACCGACATCCAATGGTATATTAACGTCTCTCTTCGCCTGGTAGCCATCGCAGGTGACCATCTCAGCGACGAGGTCTGGCAGCGAGTGATCCAGATTGTGACGAACAATGAGGAGCTACAAGTCTATGCGGCGCATAATACGTTACAGCATGTCAAGCAAGACCACTGCCACGAGACTTTAGTGAAAATTGGAGCCTATATCCTCGGAGAGTTTGGCCACTTGATTGCAGAAGAGGCTGGCTGTAGTCCCATCGAACAATTTATGGCCTTGTCGAGAAAGCTACCTGCTTGTTCCTCGAGTACCCGCGCCATGATTCTCTCTTCGTTCGTCAAATTTGTCAATTTGTTCCCTGAGATCAAGCCGCAACTACTGCACGTCTTCGAGCTATATAGCCATACATTAGACCCGGAGTTGCAACAACGAGCTTTTGAGTACTTAACTCTTGCGAGCCTTCCGACAGACGACTTACTTCGAACGGTCTGCGATGAAATGCCGCCATTCCCCGAGCGACAGTCTGCACTCTTGTCAAGACTCCACCAGAAGCACGCTGGTACTAGTGATAAGCGAACCTGGGTGGTTGGCGGCAAGGATGCAAACAGCGATGCCGTGGAGTTGAATATGGCCAAGAACCCTGGTCTTAGGAGGACTTTCAGTTCTAACGGCCCAGTGAATGGTAACGGCTCAGCTAATGGCGCGGCAAACGGTTCCAATGGCCATTCTAACGATCTTGCTGGTCTTGACATGAACGCGGGGCCTGTTCCCGAGAAGCTGCTTAAGGTGCCAAACTTGGCCAGCGCCGCGCATCTGTCACCAGGCTGGGAATCGGGATACAATAAGTTGCTGCTTAAAGCTGACGGTGTACTCTTCGAAGATGGACAGCTTCAGGTTGGCATCCGCTCCGAATACAGAGGACAGATGGCATGTCTCATCTTATATTTCACGAACAAGACTCCGGCTACTGTGAGCTCTTTTACAACAACGCTGGACTTGGACGAGAGCGAGAAAGAAAATCTTACATGGGATGTTAAGTCTATGCCTGAGAGTTCTATCATGCAAGGCGCGCAATCACGATTGATCATCATGTTCGAGGCGAAGAAAGTGTTCACGAAGAGCCCTACTATTAGGATAAGTTACCTCGCGGGAGCCTTACAAGCCCTTACACTGAAGCTTCCGCTCACGGCCCATAAGTTTATGGATCCTGCGGATCTCATAGCAGATGACTTCTTTAAGAGATGGAAGCAGATCGGCGGTCCACCGCGCGAAGCCCAGCAAATTATCGGCCTTGCTCCTGGTAAATCTAAGTCGCGAGAAATAACGGAAGACTTCGTTCGCAAGACGATCCAGGGGTTCCGCTGGGGTATACTTAACAACGTTGACCCAAATAGCAAGAACTTTGTCGGAGCCAGCGTGCTCCACACTGCTGAAGGAGGCAAGTTTGGCTGTCTAATGAGACTGGAGCCAAATTATGCTTCACAGGTAAGACAGTTCCGGTATTATTACAACATCGAGGTAACTCGGCTAACAGGCAATAGATGGTTCGACTTACGGTCCGTGCTACGGATGAGAGTGTACCCCCTGTACTCCTGAAGCTGATGGAGGAAAGGCTATCAGTAGGAGTTTCTACAGCACCGGAATTTCGCGAAGCACCAACGCGTCAAGAGATATCGGATACCTTTGCTAATGTAATGGTTCAATAAGGTACTACCGGCAAGAGAGGAGATGAGAGGGGAAGAGAAAGAGGGTGGTAATTGGCCGGAAGGGGGACTCGAGATAAGGAGGTATGATACCGTTGGGAAACTAAGTTAAGCAATTATGCGGTTTTTATGCATTTCCAGCCCGAGCGAAAAAAGGAGTTCGTAGGTAACACGTGATCTTATATGTGTCAAGCAAAGACGGGCTGTGTTACTAGAAGTAAACGATTACCCCTTTATCTACCCCCTTATACGATGATGGATAGCCTTTAGCCTTTGTACGTAGGTAGTTGTTGTGTTGTGTTATTATTCGCTTATGGAGGTGAAGCCCTCATAAGATTAGACTGTTTTAGTCCCCATTGTAATGTTCACATAAGTTCACATAAGTTGATTACTTGCAGTGTAGAAGGGAGTATTTCTCATCATAACTTCCTGCTTCTGTAATTAGTTGTCTCTTATGGCTTCTTATCTAGGGGTTTATGAGGATTGTGACTGCGTTTATAGCGGATACATGTTACTATAGTTTCTGCAGTATCAGCCCCGGTGTATTACCCCTATCGCCCCCGGCGATGATGCGCTTAGTAACTTAAGTGCCTACCTCTTGTTATGTACCTGTTGCTTTCATGTTTATCTTAGGTTAGGTGCCTACATGTATGTGACTACCTGTTTTCTCATACAACTAGGATTTATCCTGGCTCGTTTTCCTATCACACATAGGATGCAAGTTGAGGATTCAAGCCTGTAATCCACCTACTTTCTTCCCCTAATTCTTGAGATAACCTCCGTGACACGCATCTACTTATCTATTTGCCCATCCAATACGCTTCCAATAATACTCTTCTCTGTACCTAAACCACTTACATTCCCATCGTCACTCGTTGCCGCAGTCATGGCAGTAGAAAAAGACAGCCTCGAGATTAGCCGACTTCCACCGGTGGTAGTACCGGGACCGGGACCGGACCACTCGCACGATGTGCAGGACAACAAGCTAGAGCCTCACCCGGATTCCATCGATCCAGTTATGCCAGGTAGACGGGTCCTGCTCCAACACCAGCGTGTGCTACTCGCGCCTGTGACCCCAGCCCCGGCTATGGTTGCTGCGACTCAGTCCAGTGAGAAGAGTCAGGCGAATGGGCGCTCACCCGCGGGAAGTAGGATGTCGTTGAAGATAGAGCGCATGAGGGATGTATGGGCTGGTATGTATTAATTCTCCCAATCGCTTTTTCTCATTCTAATTTCGTTATGATGGAATAATTGCAAGAAGGCGAGAAAAATAAACATACATAGGTAGCGAGGAATGCAATACAATGCTAACACATCTTCCTCCTATCACCAGATCTCAAGCGTAGAGTCACTCCACAGCAGTACCCCCACGCGTGGCTCCTCTTCCTGGCCATTATTACGATCGCGGCCGGTGCTATCATCGGTGAGTACGAAGTTATATCTTCCCCTATACTTAGAGTCCTTGGAAAGGCCTAACGGGTTGGGCTGATGAATAGTGGTTCTGCGTGTAGCTGGATGGTGCGGTCTCGCCGTGGAGACGATGCACCACTTGGAGCTGGCGAAAGAAGCGATGGCCGCTTCTACGACTGGACTACCTGCGGCCCCGAATTTGGAGGCTGCTGGAGGGTTTGATGCTACTGGCACGGAGGGCAATCTGCTGGGTCTTGAACCCACGACGTTTGACGCGGGGATGATGGTGGGAGGTAAGCTTATTTCAGACAGGATACTAGAACACTCCTATTTGCATGAGTCCTTGTGGTTAACGAGTTCTTAGCTGTGGCTTCGGGAGCAGGCGGACGAGACGTCGTATCGGATCTTTCTACAGGTTCAACGCCTACTTATGAACTTACAGCGAAGACCGCCGTGGCGAAGGACTTGGCTACTACGGTCTATATCACTGTCACAGCGCCCCCTGAGTCGACTTCTACTACGTCGACGATCCCTACCTCCCCTTCCACGTCGAGCGAGGGTATGGATACAAGCGCAAGTTCAATTCCGAGCCACGGTACAGCCCCCGCAACTTCCACGACCGCAGCACCTATGTCCGCATCATCGGCAACTACTACGTCTACGAGCACGGAGGAACCCCACATCTACTGTCCCCATTCCGAGCGCCCTCTGGTCTGGACGCCTTGCGTCGATCACCCGACTTCAGATGCTTCCCACAGAGTAGCGAATCCCTTTTCAACCGTACGCCGTGTTCTGGCGGCCCTGTGGAAGACGGCTACGGGTTATGGAAGCAAGAAACCGGTGTGATATGCTTGCCCTCGCGGTTATTAGGAGGTATATGTAGACTAGGAGGTTAGGGTTTCTGATGAGATATTTCTTATTCTCTGATCTCGTTGATTACAGATGCGATGAGAGCAGGACTGGATACGGTGTGCGCAAGGAGGAGGCCTGGTTATTGATTCTGCATGTCTCTTTTCAGTGCGGTGAGAGTAAGACATGAGTTAGGTTAATGCTGATGATTCGTGAGTGTCCTTGAGACTTATATGTATACCAAGCTTCCCTTAATTAGCTAGCTTATAGCTCGAGTAGTTGCCCATACCCCGTGCTGGTTCATGCACTACATTATAGATTAATATTTGTGTCTGCTTTACTTATCTCAAGGCCTTTCATTAGTAATAACACTATTAGTTAGGTAACTTTGCTAATATACTCTACTCTCCTATATCTCCATTGTGTGTGGACGAGAAGTGTAAAAAGTACAGCGCCTTTTTATAACTCTTTAAGGATTATAGGAGCTTGAGCGATGTAATGCTACTATAACTAACCCTTTCCCGTAACTACAGTCCTAGCCAATGATAGGGGTTAGGCGATAGGAGCACACTAACTTACCTGAGGTAACAAGCGCACTTTTCTCCGCTGCAAAGGAGAGTTGCCGTGTCTGGTACCTACTACCTCCCTATGCGGATCATTATGTATAGATATGCCCGCTGGGATCTGATGCGCCAATAGACGATGTTGCCGCGTTTCTTTTTTTTTTTTTTTTGGTCGTCTCCGCATCTATATGCATTATGCTATGTGTGGACAGCTAGTCATACATTGGTGCCCGTCTTACCGCTGGTTGTTGATGTTTTGATTTTAGTTATATGAATATGGCTTTTTGGTTGTTGGAATTGTTGAGAATATTGGTGGTAAGTTGTATTACCTGATAGATGATAGGTATAACTATGTGTAAAAGGTAGAATAGTGAATAGTGAATAGTTTGGGTAGGGAATAACTATGTGATAACTTACATAATACTGCTTATATATCATCCCCTCCTAGACCGGAACAAACCGAGACTCTTAAACAGAGCTCGGCCTACGTCGGAGCTCCGGATAGATAGGTAGGTTAGGTACGTTTTGAATTATGCCGGAATGCATACTTGAACCAATGCGGGGGCTCAGTCCAACCACGCCTTATGCTCTCGATGGCGTCAGAGGCTAAGGTAAAGCTAAGGTAAGGATCGATCTACACTTAATGTACTTAATGTATCTATCTAAGCCTAGTTTCATGCAGGTAGGGACGGCAGGGGCATTACATATGTATTTCTTAGGTTAGGTAGGTACATACCTAGTTATAGTCTTACCTTCCTATCTTTTCATCGCCGAGGTTTGTCCATTGTTACTGTGTGTTTAGTACCTTTTATAGGGTGATTAATGTTATTAGTAGTTCTTTATATTATTAATCTTAAACTTCTCCCCTTCCCACTATCTTACTTAGATATGTACCTACATCATGTAGTATGTAGGTGCTATGCCGTATGGAGGTAAGCTAAACTACGCGCGCGATTTGCGTCCCGAGTCCGTCTGTGGGTTATACATAAGGTGAGGGAGATACGAGGTGGGATAGGATATAGGCGTAATACATCTTTTTTTTTCTTTTTATCTTTTTTTTTATCTTGTCTCCTTCGTTGCCTATCTGTGCTCCCCGCTCCCCTCTTTCTGTATTTGCTTTTCCCTCTCCTCTATAAAACTTGTCAAGTCATAGACAAAAGAGAGACGATAGACAGAATACAATGGCGAGCAACGGTATTACAAACGGCCATAATGGCGTCAAGAACGGCGATAGCGAGAACGGCTGGTATGATCCGACTAAGATCTGGACGACGCTGTTGACAAACCGCGGCTATTTCGGTGGTCTATTGGTGCTTCACCACTCTTTGCGCCGACATCGCAGCAAGTACCGTCTCGTCGTTATGGTGACTCGCGCAGTCGAAGAGGACACAGAGTATATGGATGCTTTCGCTGCTGCTGGTATTTCCACTATCGTCGTCGATAAGATCGAGCCGGCGCCTCGCGATGGCAAGATTAATAAGGGGACGTGGGAGAAGTTGGCCCCGTGGTCGTTTACACAGTACAAGGTAATTATCTAGTACCCGGCATATTTATAATACACACACATATATACATCTATATATTGGATTTATATAAGAACAGAAGAGCAAAAGGCTGACTAAAATTGTGTCTTATCAACAGCGTGTCGTCCTCCTTGACAGCGACCAAGTCATTCTACAGAACATCGACGAGATGATGGAGGTCGAAATCCCTGAGGGTTGGATCGCGAGCACTCACGCTTGCACCTGCAACCCGCGGAAGCTCCCGCACTACAGCAAGGACTGGGTCCCCGCCAACTGCGCCTTCACGGCCGCGGACCAAGAGACTGGCCAACCAGCTCTTATCACGCCCCAGAGCCCGAATAACCACCACTTGCTGAATAGCGGTACAGTCATCCTCGAGCCGTCCAAGGCGCAGTTCGACGCGCTGATCGATGCTATGAACACTCATCCCGACGTCCCCAACATGATCTTCTTCGACCAGGATTTACTGGCTATCGTGTACCGCGGCCGGTGGAAGCCCTTACCGTACCACTATAACGCCCTAAAACCCATGCGTGCTTGCCACGACGGTCTCTGGAATGATAAGCATGTTAAGATTCTGCATTATATCTTAAATAAGCCCTGGAAGAGCCGCAGCTACGATGCTAAAGATACTATCGAGTCGACGCATAAGCTGTGGTGGGACGAGTATGCGCAGGTGGAGAAGGAGTGGACGGAGAGTAAGGACGAGAAGAAGAGGGAGTTGTGGAGGAATGTTGTTGTGCCTGTTGTTGCGCAGGAATGATTTCTCTGTTTCCCTTGATGTTGTTATGTCTAGGTTTAGGGGGCGGATGAGAGTGATTACGTGTATACCATTGGGTTTAATCAGGGACATGGTAGAGACATGAGATATCTAACTTTGTTTGGAACTTGTGCGCGAGCATGTAGGCGTGGGCGTGGAGTAGGGGTTAATATGGGATAGATAGTAAGCAGGCAAACAGCTTAGAGCATCATGAGCATTTAACGATGATCCACGACGGATGGTTATTACCATGACTAAGGTTCAGTATGTTTGATAGTGTGTTATTTCATTCTTTGTGGGTTTAATGATCTGGGTCAGGTAATCCTCGTAAACGCCCCTGGCCGGATCCTATGCTAGATATACGTTTAGGCCAGAGGTCTGTTTATACCTAGGCACATACCACTACCACATGTCAAGGCAAATACTATAAGTTACACCTTAATCTTAGCCTCGCTCCTCGGCCCCCGCGCGCCAAACAACGTGCTCCCAACACGCACCTCGCTGCTCCCCGCGACAATAGCCCCTTCGTAGTCCTCGCTCATACCCATGCTCAGCTCCAGGTCCTCGGGCGCCAAGCCCAGCTCGGCGGCGACCAGGTCGCGCTGCTCGCGCAGGCACAGGAAGTCGTCGTTTTCGGTCTCGGGAGTCGTGGCGACGCTGCGGGCGATGGCGCCGATGGTCATCAGCCCGAGCAGATGCAGGTTCGGGAGGGCGGCGACGGCGCGGCAGAGAGAGAGGGTGGAGGCGCCGGGGGTGCAGCCGGATTTGCTGGGTTCGTTGGAGGTGTTGACTTGGATGTGGATGTTGATTTTGCCGGGGAGGGGGGTTGGTTGGGGGGGAGGGGGATGGGGATGAGAGGGACGAGAGGTATTCGCCGCGGTATTTGTCTAGGAGTTGGGCTTTCTTCTCGGTGTCGATGCTCGAGACGCTGAAGAGGTTGGGGATTTTGGCGAGGGATTTGCAGTGGCCTGGGTGTGTTAGTAAAGGGGGTTTTTATATAAGTGAGTTACAGTAAAAGGAATAGGGGTAGTGTATCTGAGAAGATTTTATATCTTTAGGATGCCATGCAGATTCCTAACATTCTTATAGCTTATCTTCTTATTGTTATAATATACCATGATATTTATTATCATGCCTTTAAACGGTGGTAATATGTGAGAAAGGAGACTATAGTGAGTGTCTTACCAGACTGTAGGCCGCCGATGAAGTGCCACTGTATACTTCGTGGTAGCAGCTCGGCTTTCTGGCTCAGCTCCTGGGCATAGTTTTCGCCGAAGTGAAGTTGCGGCGGTGAAGCCTGCTCTAGCAACGCGAGAATGTCGTTGGCTGGCTTCAACTTCGAGACGGCGACTAAGCGGACCTATAAATAATAGAATTAGCTATCTGGATATACATGAAGTCAAGAAACTCATGAAAGTGGGAGAAGCGGTGTAGCATATAATATGAGGTTCTCACAAGGGAACGGAGAGAGTTAGAACCAAAGCAATGTATTAAAATGAGTATGTTCGAATATACTCGATTCCTTAACATGGTAAAGCTACCGAGGGACGGTTGTGACTTACATCGCGGCCGTTGGCCACAGCAGCGATGCGCTCACGCACGGTTTTGATCTGCGATACTAGAGCAGCAGCTCTCTGCGGGTCGATTTTCATATCTGTATCCGTCATTGTAGAGCCATGAGCTAATTTTATGAATTTATTGTTAATGGAATAGTTGGAAGTAAGAAGATAGCGTTGTTGGAATTTGACCACGCGACTACTTCTTTGAGAGTCATACACATTAAGTTCGATTAAGGGAAAAAATATCAACTAAGATAATTGATACAGTATATACACTGTCTAATACACTTATAGAATCTTGATTGTAACTATTAGTTGTGTTAAAAAGAAATGTAATAAAATAAGACTTGGATTTTGAAAATAAATTAGAAGTTGGATATATAAGAAATATACATCTTTTATAAACAATTTTAAAATAAAAGATAAATAGTATAAGTGACGACGAACAAGGTGAGAGTTGTTGGTGTTAAACACCTCTATGTCTTCGTAACACAATATCTCGCATAATATCGGCACTATCTCGTCACGGTCGGATTAAACCTAAGATATAGGGTCCAGTAATTCCTTCGAGTAGGAGTTTATTCTATTCGCTGCAGCATTGTAACTTATATCAAGATCCAATATGCATAGGTAGATGTATGCAAGAAGCTAGAGATGCGGTTAGGAGATTTCGCACATGGCTACCGGGAATGACGGGGCTGCGTTGCTAGGTAGCTCGATATTGATAAGGGATGCAGACGGTTAGATATCGATAAGATAAGATAATTTCGAAGCTTAAGTCTGCATGTATTAGCGTTTAATGATCGCAACGGTGCTAAGAAGTAAATATTTCATTCATTTACATTATCTATACCTTAAATCCTTCCAATGGCAGACCCCTTACTGACATCGCTCTGCACCATCTGCCATATACAAACTCCTAAATACAAATGTCCTCGATGCGGAACCCGAACATGTTCCTTAGCCTGTGTGAAGAAGCATAAGAAATGGTCATCATGCAACGGAGAACGAGATCCAACAGTATATATGCCGCGGGAGAAGTTGAAGACGGATGCCGGAATCGACCACGACTACAACTTTTTAACCAAAATCGAAAGATCCGTCGAACGAGTTGAGAAGATACTCAAAGAAGAAAAGGACATACTACCACAAGATGACACCGCATCGCGACCGCCACCCAGCAAAAGAGCACGTCTCCATAAGGGCCAAAGTCGCGGAAGGGTTACATTTGAACAGAATTCGCGGAGATGGGACAAGAATTCGATGCAGCGGATGCGGCAGCTGGGCATCCGTGTTGCGTCTGTTCCCTACGGCATGACTCGGGCAAAAGAGAACAAAACGAGCTGGAACAAGCGCACGAGAACTATGAATTGGCAAGTCGAATGGCTTGAGTGGAAATCTATTGGCTCTGCTGAGGAAAGTCCCGATACGGACCCTCGAAAATTTTACATAAGATACTGGATGAAGTTCCTCTCTACGTTGGATTCGCAGAGAGTTTGGAATATCATCGCCAGCGCCATCTTAGCAACCAGGAACGTACGCAGGAAAAAGCAAAGATCCCTGGAGGACAAGAAAATAATTACTGGGGGTGGCCAAGAACTGGCTACGACGGCTTGGAGTGGCGGGGATTATGTTATGCAAGACTCGAAAACGGCTGCGTGGAACAACGAAATTTCAGGGTCACAAATAATCGAGGGGCTGAAGGATAAATACCGTTTCTTCTACCTTAAGCCAAGGACACCTTCTAGGGAAGCACAAAGGCTCATACCACTACGGCCAACCGACAACTTGGCTACCATTCTACCTGGGCTCGACATTGTCGAATTCCCCACCATATATGTATTACCAGCTAACTCCACGGCCGTTCCTGAAGGATGTGTTGTTGAGAGTAGACTGGGAAAATCCAGGAAGCGGCAAGGTTCTGGTTTGGTTGGATACTTGAGTGAAGAGGAGGGAGAGGCTATGGATGAACAATTGGATGGACAGGATGATGATACTACGAGTAGTTCAGGGTCAGATTCTTTTGACATGTCAGAGTAATGTGTGTTAATGATAATCCCTCAATGGGCATGTCTTCTCGTATTGTGAATTAAATTAATGGTGACTGGTTTGAGTTTGTTACCTATTGAATACCACAGCCACTTTACAGCTCAATATTTTTACATTCAAAAGTAAGCGATAGAGTACCGTAGGCGTTTCCATAGGTGTATTGGTAGATAGTACCTAATTGGGTAGAAAAATAATATATCCTAGGCATCTTGCTCGTGGATCTTAGGCAAACAACAGTTAGTCTATTTAGTTAATGTAAATAAAGAAAGTAAGCCTGTTGGATTAATAGTAATAAGTAAAGGTTAATTGTTGGCAGTTAGTTCTCAAATGTATTAATACAGCAAACAAGCTGTGGCTGTGGCTTAGTAAGTAGATGGACCTATGAGGTAGGAATAGACGTAAAAGAAAAGTGGAGAATCTTATATTGACATTCAACTGACAAGTGAATACACCTGCTTACACCTGCCACGGAACGGAACCCACCTAACATCAAAAGGAAGAAAATCCTTACAACCTCATTTTAACGGGGCTGGTGCTAACGGTGCGGTTTGTTGAAATTTTAATTCTTCGCACCGGGAAATTCAGCCTCCTCTTCTCTTCCTTTCAACCCTATCTCATCCAACCTCCTCCTCCACCTTCAACGGTAAATTGCATTTATTTTTTCGTAATTTCGTACTTTTCCAAACGTTGTTACTGCAATTTATTTCTACTTACCACTTTTACCTTGATTGCATTTACTTCTTCCTCCTGTGCGCGGATCGCGCACACCTCACACCTTTTAACACAACACCATGTCTGAATTTCTTGGGTATGCATCTTCACCTCATCTCCATCCTCGTCTTCCTCCTCATCCTCCCCATGTTGTCTAGCTATAGCAAGATTCTGAATGATCTAGTCCGCTAACTCCAATGTAAATTTAGCTCTCGCATATCCCTCATCTCGAAGAGTGATATCCGGTAAACCTCCCCCCAAGCCAACGGTGCTACATTGGAGCCCCGCCTCTAATCTTAATAGCTATTCGGGTGTATTGCACGAGATCAATTCAGAAGAGTCGACAGTCTCTCTAGAAAATGTCAGATCGTTCGGTACCGAGGGCCGTAAAGGTAGCCCAGAAGAAGAGATAGCACCTTCTGACCAAGTCTACGAATACATCGTCTTTCGCGGTAGTGACGTGAAAGACTTGCGAATCGAGCAAGCTCCTATTCCTCCCAAAGAGAACCAACCTCCTAAGGTTCCAGATGATCCTGCTATCGTTGGAGTAAGTTGTCCATCTCCACTCGATTCTACAAAAAAAACCATGTCCATTGCTATGACGAAACATTTCGGATGTAAAGTATTACTTGTCTGAAAAGCGCAAAAACCCCGTGTTGATATTTCCGTTGCCTTCCTTCTGAGCTATCATGGCATTAAAATATTTTTATTTATTCTTAACTATGGAGTTGTTATACTATGAAGCATCGATGCTAACTATATGCTCTCCACTATAGGCTCGTACTCGTCCCGGTCCTGGTCCTGGTCCTGGTCCTGCAGGTGCTATTCCAGCAGGTGCTATTCCACCTGGTCCAGGAGCTCCAGGCTACGGCCAAAGTCCGTATCAACCCAACCCGTTCTATCCTCCGCCTCCTGGACAATGGGGACGTGGTGGCCCTGGTCCCGTTCCGGGTCAAGGCTTTCATGGAATGCCCTACCCACCCCCCCTGGCTGGTTTCCTCCCGGCCAAGGTTTCCCGGCTGGTGGACCTGGAGGACCCGGTCCGTGGAATAGCTTTGGATACCCGCCTGGACCTGGTCCTCAAGGGCCTCAAGGACCTCAAGGACCCCCTGGCGTGCCTGGTCAAGGGATGAGGGGAACACCCCAGCAGGAGAACAATAATAACAGGCCTGCTCCTATCGGTGCAGGCGTCGACAAACAAAGACTGGTTGGTAGCCCCGCGGTTGAATTACCTACGGAGCCTAAGTCACTTGCACAGCAACCTATTCAACCCACCTCAACTGGCGCCGCCCCGACCCCCCGGTCGAGTCGAAACCTACCGCGGCGGAAGTCAAAGCTACTGTAGAATCTCTATCGACAACGAACGCCCCTCCGACTAATGTCGCTGAGAAGAAGGCTGTTCCAACCGGCCCTAAGAACAATCGAGTCCTCCCTGCTGTGCCGATTCAGGCCGCAGTTACTCCGAAAATCGCCCCCCAAGTTACTGCCGCCGCTTCTACAGTTAAACCTGTAGGAGGGCAAGCTGCTACTCAGGCTGCACTTAAAGATGCCACTCAAGCCGCAAAAGAAGCAGTTGCTGTTGCGATGGCGAAGCTCAACAACGCCGCTGCTGAACCCCCTACACAGAATGGTAGCGCAATGGATAACCTAACAAAGAAGGTCAATGAGATGAGGATGAACGCCCCCAGGTCCTCAGCAAGCGGTAGGGGACGTGGTCGAGGTGGACGTTCCGGCGGGCCAAGCAAGGTCAACGTTCCGGATTCCGACTTCGACTTTGAAGCCGGCAATGCAAAATTCAACAAGCAAGATCTCGTAAAAGAGGCTATCGCGGGCCCGCCTCTTGCTGAGATCATTCCCAATACTTCAGTCCCAGAGCAAGTACAGACCGATGATTCTGTACCTCCTGTTGCCTATAACAAGACCACATCATTTTTCGACAACATCTCCAGTGAGGCTAAGGATCGTGCCGAGAACGGCGGCCAGAAGCCTGGCGGACGAGAATGGCGTGGCGAAGAGCAGCGCAAGAACATGGAGACGTTTGGCCAGGGAAGCGTTGATGGTGGCTACCGTGGTGGGTACCGCGGCCGGGGTCGTGGTGGACGTGGCGGCCCTCGCGGCCGTGGCTTTGCCCCTCGAGGAAGAGGGAATGCATACCGCCAACCCGCAGCTCAATGATTTACGTCGGCACATTACAGCATATGTAGATGTTGCACAGCCGACTGATCGTTTTTTACATTCATGACTTCCTACTGGTACCTTCAAACGCAACATCATTTAGCAGTGTATTAATACGGCAGTTGCATGATCTGGTTTTTCTTTTTTCCACGCGCAGGAACTTGGTGGATAATGACGCGGTTTTGCCATGCTCCAGAGCTCGATAGGCATGATTTCAGTTGAGGCTCCTAGCAATGGCGTAAGGGTGGTTTGGCAAGGGGGCAGGTACAATTCTTGCATTCGCATCACGAGCACGATCAGACGATTTTACGTTCGAGACGAAAAAAAGAGGGCCTGATAGTTTTGGCTCGAACGCAGGAAAGGTTTCTTGCGGGAGGGTAGGCGTTGATACATACAAATAATTCTTGAGGTATTACCGTTTAGGTAGGGCACTCGAGAAAAGATAAAACAACTGCAACCGCAGGCTTGATGTTTGTAGATGGCTTTGGCCTTTTGAGTCGGTACATAAGCTGAGCTACAAAGGTTAATACAGAACCATCAAGTCGCTCTATCTATGTGTTATGCAGTGACTTGTGACCTGTCGTAGTAATTCGTGCCGTAATGCCTATATTTTCTATATTCCCCCTAACTGCTTTATACTTCTGGGTAAACGTCCCTATAAGAAATATTAGCTAGTAAACAGACGGAACGAGGATAAGTTAACTTGGTATAAGTAGATATATCACGTATAAGGGAAGAAGGGGGGTAAGGCAACATACGTCCTCCTCACAAGCGGCATCTGCTCGCGAATCTTCTCCCACAGGCCCAAATCCACATCTACTAGTCCTAACTCCCCCACGGCCCCCTCCTCAACCTCGTACCCACCACCACCACCACCACCCCCGTTCTCGCCTTCTTTCTTCTCCCGCACGCCTCTCAGCGAAAGCATGACGCGCCCCCAGGGATCGACTACGAGGCTCCGGCCGTAGCTCATGCGGGGCGACAGGCCCGGGTTATGCGTGCCGACCTGGGCGGCGGCTATGACCCAGGATTGGGTCTCGATGGCGCGGGCGCGGAGCAGGGGTTCCCAGTGGGCGAGGCCGGTGGGGATGGTGAATGCGCTGGGGTAGAGGAGGATTTGTGGGGAGGGGGTGGATGGTGGTGGTGGTTCTTGTCAGGTGCAAGGCGGGCTCCGGGAAGCGTAGGTCGAAACAGATTAGGCTGCCGATGCGGCCGACGGGGGTGTCGAAGGGGGGCGTGAATGCTGTTCCGGCTTGGGTGGTGGTGGATTCGCGGAGGGAGGCGTCGGGGTAGTCGAAGAGGTGGAGCTTGTTGTAGGAGGCGGTGGGGTGGAGGGTGCCGTCGGGGTTGATGAGGATGGTGCGGTTGTAGAGTTTGGTTTGGGGGGAGGGGTTTGGTTCTGGTTCTGGTTCTGGTTCTTTTTCTCCCCCTTTGGTAGTTGGTTGTTCTGATGTTGGAGGAGTAGTAGAAGTAGAAACAGTAGTAGAAGAAGGAAGGGGAGGAGGAATAGAATCCGGGTCCTCGGAGTGCGGAACAGAAGATAGGACTGGGTTGCTAGGGGAGAGAGACGGCTTCACGGAGACGGGCACGTGGATGCCGACGTGTACGGCGAGGTTGTGCTTTGCGGCGGCGGAGCGCAGGCCCGATACGAAGGGCGAGGTGGCGAGGGGTTTGGCGAGGGAGAGGGATTCTTGGGCCGAGGAGCCGATGTAGTCGGATGCTTCGGGGAGGAAGAGGATCTGGGGGAGGTCAGTTGGGGTTTGTGTTGATGGATAGGGGGTATGATGGGATAGATGAGTTGAAGGCTTGGGATATGATATGCGGTCCTTCGTTTCTAAGTTGAGAGTGTATATATCTCCCTATGATATAACAGACCCAAGCATAGCTTCAACCAACCTCTCAACCTCGCGGGATAGAAAGTGAAAATTTAAACTTATTCCCTTTTACATACTTTCGCTCCAGCAGCCGCAGCTTGGCCCACGAGCTTGACGCATTGCTCGAGATTATGCGCCATCGAGTTGGACGAGCATATCTGCCCTATCGCCTATAGAATAGTTAGTCAGTCATGCACGTATATATATATATCTATATTCCCTTTTATAAACACCAAAATGGGATATAATTCATCTTACCGCCTTGGCCATCTCGACGTTATATATATACCACTCTTAGTATATATAGATATGCACTTTTCCTCGTCTTGTAAAACAGCGCACGTGAATCTGAATCTAACTAACAATCTATAAATAATGTGATAATAAAATTCCTCCGATGAAACACACCAAATAACCAACCCTGCCGTCTAATTTTCTAAATTTACGACGTGTCGAAAGTGCTAGGTTAGAAGGGAAAAAAAGGAATAAGACCGGAAAATAAAATATATCAAGCCATTCGGGGGTTTCTTGACGTGATGTCAAATAAATCGGGGAAGGTTAGAGCTACTAGTTCCCCACTTCCGTCCGATGTCTTGGGAAAGGGGGCCGAATTACGGCGGTACATAAATAAATATTTACACTCATAGATCAAAGTATTACGGGAATCCTAGGTACATATAGGGTTACATATATATATATATCATTTCATTTATACGCTTAGGTACACATCACCCGCTCCTTTAAAAAAAACCTTCATCGCACATGCGCTCGCGCGTATTTCACTGGCCATTCTCGCGAACCATCTAACCTAGCTAGATATCTACGCAGCCCACCAAGCCAAACAACCGAATGTTATCCATCCGTCCATCCATCCATCTTGACTACTAGGCATAGCCTTATGATCAGCTAGCCAGCCTTGGCCTACTAGTAGGTAGAAACGCAAAATTAAGCCTAGTAGGCTCCGTCTTATACCACATCAATACCAACACACACTGTCGAGGTCGTTCCTTCACGAACCTCTCATTCGGATCGTCTGTTCTTTTCCTCGTCCGCTAGAGGCTGGTTGTCCTATCGGCGGAAGTAGGTCGAAAACAAAACCAGAGAAAAAAAAAAATGCAAAAGCCAACCGTGCCCCCCCTGTTATGCCCTCTGATGCCAACGCCTGGCTGTGAAATGTAGAAATATGTATACCAATACAACGCGAAGTGTCTAGAGGGTATAATATCCCTCCCCGGAAAAGTAAACTTAACCCCTTTTTATTTCATTACTCGGCCGTTTTTAGGTCGCGCTCGTTTCGGAAGACCCCTGTTGTTTTATACTGTCAATTCCTTAAAAGTCTCGAGGCCGACTGCCTACCATCACGACGTGTTCTCTACCGTGCCCTTGGCAGACCTATCCAAGATGTCATAAGCCTGCTGTAGAGCCTTCATGTCGAAGCCGCGTTCTTCTATAACGACGACCCAGTCACGAAGTTGGATATTCTTTCCTTTATCCGAATCCTCGCGGAACTGCCCGAGGTGAGTGACGCCCGCCTTCGTCAGGGGTCCACGAGGAGCCTTGTTGCTAGCTGCGGCTGTGGAACCTGGCGTGCCCGGTGCGCCCGCAGCTTGAGGTCGAGGAGTACTTGCCCCACTGCCTGGGCCGCCTGAATTCGTCATCCACGAATATTCTTCTTCTTGCCACCTGCAAACAGACCTAACGTTTGGTTCACAGTCGTACTGCTTGCCTCTGCGAGTTTCGCTGCCTTCTTGCTCTCCTTCTTCGTAGGAGCTTTCACCTCACCTGAATCCGGTGCCGTTGATCCAGGTGTGCCTGGCGCCACGGACCCGGCTCGCGACGTACTATCACCGCCTTCCTTGTCCTTGTCGGTGCTTTTCTCTATGCGCTTCAGCCGTTTTCTAAGCCGAGCCTCTTCGGCGTTGCGCGCATCCTTTACGGTTCCTGTCATGGCTTCTACTATAGGGTTAATAGGAGAGGCTTCCGACACTGGCGTCGGCAGTCCATTACTAAGCTCATTCCGCCGAGCCTATAAACACAGTTAGTTATACGAGATACGAACAGAAGCTTTACGGTTGAGAAGTCCATACGTTTGAGTGGGTTTGTGCGGGGGCTAACCGCGCTCTCCGCACCCGTCCGCGGGCCCTCACCCTGGGCCCCGTTCGCGTCGGCCGATGGTATAACGGCTGCATCAAGCCATTCGGAAGGTATAGCGCCATGAGAGGTCTTCTGTCGCGTAGTGGAAACCCGATTTGCATCACCAACCAGTTCTCGCAAGTGCTGTTTCGTACTTATCGACAGCAGCGCGATTTGGTCGACGAGAAAAGCATCGTGAGGGATAAACGAGCCGAGCGTCTGCACCACTGTGCCATCCGGAGACTTTTGGTACATAACCTTGATCTCCGGTTTGGCGCCGGCAGGACTTGCCATTTTCCCCATAAACCGTCCCCCATCCGGCTTTAGGTCCACATTCAAGTTGAGACCATACTTGGCAGCTGTGTCCGCCATTCGCTTGTGCACCACGCCCGGTTCTAACAGGTAGTTGGCTATTTCCTGACTTCTAGTCCGGGCAAGCCGTGCCGCTGCGTCGTTCCAGGCTCTATCTGCACTCTCCGCAGCAAGCTCCTCCTGCGTTTTCGCATTGGTAGGTTGAGCAGGTTGATTGGCAGGTCCAGCTCCATACAAAGTCTCCGGCCCACCAGGTGGGTAATTAGGGAATCCACGAGACTCTAAATTATTCAAGTACTCTGCCTCCTCTTCTAGATCGATACCGGTGCCTACAAGCATATCATCCACGTCGTATGTGACGTCTGCCTTGGTCGATGCAGGCTTGAGGCCTTGTCTTGTCGCATCGATGGACGAGAAAGACGCCGCGGGGTTCATAGTCGGTGGTCCCATGTTGGTGATAACCGGATGTGCCGAAGAAGTGAATGAGGTACTGGTAGGAACTGGCGCAAGCTTCGCGTTAGAATAAGGCGCGTGGCTAATATTGGGAGTCTGCGGTTGAGGCGATGCTAGAGGTGGTGTTGATACCGCTGTTGGCATCGTAAGTGTCATGCCAACAGATGCAGATCGGCCATTCGGTTGTTGGTAAGGGGTGTTGTAAGCGGCTGCCGCAGGAACTTGATTAATGTTGTGGTTAGGAGCAGGAGCCGGTGAGGGTAGGGTCATCGGTGTAGTCGCCGGAGTAGTAGCTCTGGGACTTGGGGCATAGTTCGGATAGGGCGAACCTGGATTTGACGGGGGGCCAGGAGATAATCTAGCTCGTTTATTGGGAGGAAGCTGATAAGGTTGATTCGGAGAATGCTGCTGAGGCGAGAACTGCCTCGGGGGCATCGTAGGTTGTGGATGCGACATGACGATAATGTGACAATGTATCGAGCCGGGAAAGTACGGGCGGGTTATAGGGATATGATGTAATTAGTTATAATATGAAGAAGAGTCCTCGGTCTGAAACAATGAACAACAGTAAATAGCAACCCTTCAACACGCTCTCTGAACCTGGACAGGCACAGAGCCTGTCACAATCAACCGGGTGAAACCCATCCGACGGTGTAAGAAGTAAGGTGAGAGGATATGTATTGAAAAGGCGATCTGAAGGCGACAAATGCGATACCGAATAAGGTCGAAACCAATGAGAGAGGCGAGGGGCGCGTCGGGACGGTAGTGGTTGGTGATGGGATAGTTATGTTTGGGATGGATGAGGAGGCGATCTTAGACTTCAGCAACACAAGAAAAGCTGCTGTTTCCCCATTGGAAAGATTTCGTGTAGTACCAACGCACGGTCCTCATAGGCTTCCCTTTAGTGACTGAATTGACTGAAAGATTTTAGATACGTAGGTACCTACATAATATCGGGTACCTAACTCAAATACTTAAGTACATCTAGTCTACCTAAACCTTAGGTAATTTCGCTTGGCCTTAACTTCCCTCTGTATGCTTGATCGGATCAACTAGAAGCCGTTTGATGAGCCGCAATGGAAAGAGGGTTTCCCTACTAACATTACCTAACCTAAGGTAACAAGGTACCTCTACCTAATACAGATCAGATTGGAAAGTACGCGCGACGCGCTAAAGTTTAGGTACTAAGTACGTACCTACTCCAATTCCATTGCTGCTTCTATTGTTGCTGCCACATTACGTACCTGCCGCGCCAATAATACAAGCCATACAATCCACATATTGATCCTTACATAACATCTAAACTTCTCTTTTCATTATTGGTTCAAGTGCTAAAGTTATTTGATCTTAATTAACTGCACGCGATCATTCCGCGTAATGCTCTCATCTTGAGATGACATCAATTGTGTGCTGGTTTATTAACAAACTTAGTGCGCTACTACGCTAGATCGCATTCCTTTCTTCCCCTAACTATCTAGCAACAAATACATTTTGGTTCAGGACCAAACAGCGCAACTCCAACAACCCTATCACGCAGCTCTGAAAGCTCTGTTAGCCATGGCATCTAAGCGCAAGGCTTCGGTAATGGCTGCGGCTTCGGCTGTTGATGAGGAGCCAGTAGATCCAGCAGATGAACTGATGTTTCTATGTCTAGGAGGTGGAAACGAAGTCGGCCGATCATGCCATATCATCCAGTACAAAGGAAAAACAGTCATGGTTAGTTGGTTTAAACTTGATTCCCTCCAGGTTATAATAGTCCCTAGCTAACAATATATCTCTGTATAGCTTGATGCTGGCCAACATCCTGCTTACGATGGCCTCGCCGCTCTCCCCTTCTTTGACGACTTCGACTTAAGCACTGTCGATGTTCTCCTTATTAGCCAGTAAGTTTATCCTTCCGATCCTCGTTATACAATACAGCTGTGGATGATCAAAGGGCTTCGTATCAGTTGGGATGGAAGGTGACGTGGTCCCGCTACTATAAGCAGAGGCTATTATCTGAGTGCTCTGCCATGATATTACGCCTACGGACTTGGTGGATGTTCATGACTTTGCTCTCATGTATTCAACTATCAATAAAATATATTGCCCTGTCACCCAGCTGGTAGCCCCCTTTTGACTGCCGTGATACCCATTGCGATAGCTGGGCCTCCTTTAGCTCTTAGTTCCGGTATTCTATACACTCCAAGAAGTATGCTAACATTGGCCAAGTTTCCATATAGACCACGCCGCATCTCTTCCCTATGTTCTAGCGAAGACCAATTTCAGAGGCAGAGTCTTTATGACGCATCCAACCAAGGCTATCTATAAATGGCTTATCCAAGACAGTGTCCGAGTCGGCAACACTTCGTCGAATCTTACATCACAACCCGTATACACAGAACAGGACCATCTGAATACCTTCTCTCAGATCGAGGCAATCGATTACCACACAACTCACACTATCTCTTCTATTAGGATTACTCCTTATCCCGCTGGTCATGTACTAGGTGCTGCGATGTTCCTCATAGAGATAGCTGGACTGAACATATTCTTCACGGGAGATTATTCTCGAGAGCAAGACAGACATTTAGTATCTGCAGAGGTCCCTAGAGGCGTTAAAATCGATGTGCTTATCACTGAATCGACTTATGGAGTATCAACCCATGTCCCAAGACTGGAGAGGGAGCAGGCATTAATGAAATCGATCACGGGTATCCTCAACCGAGGTGGACGAGTCCTAATGCCCGTGTTCGCTTTAGGCAGAGCTCAGGAGCTTTTACTAATCTTAGATGAGTACTGGGGTAAGCACCAGGAATTCCAAAAGATTCCCATCTACTACGCTAGCAATCTAGCACGAAAGTGTATGGTTGTGTACCAGACATACATTGGGGCTATGAACGACAATATTAAGCGTTTGTTTCGAGAACGAATGGCAGAGGCTGAGGCTGCAGGAGATGGTGCGGGTAAAGGCGGTCCTTGGGACTTCAAGTATATTAGGTCTCTCAAAAGCCTTGATAGGTTTGACGACGTTGGCGGCTGCGTCATGCTTGCAAGCCCTGGAATGTTGCAGAACGGTATTAGCAGAGAGCTACTGGAGAGATGGTCACCGAACGAGAAGAACGGAGTTATTATCACAGGTTACAGTGTCGAAGGCACCATGGCCAAGTATATCGTCCAGGAGCCAGATCAGATTCAGGCCGTCATGTCAAGGAGTGTCAATGCCGTGCGGAGGGCCCCTGGTGGCGATAGCGAGAAAGTTATGATACCTCGAAGATGTAGCGTTGCCGAATATTCTTTTGCCGCGCATGTCGACGGCCAAGAAAATAAGGACTTTATCGAAGAAGTGGGAGCTCCTGTGGTGGTGAGTAGTTTTGTTATTGTAGTGCATACTCCTTTACTAATCCCATTAGATTTTGGTGCATGGCGAGCAGCACAATATGATGCGTTTGAAGTCCAAGCTATTATCATTGAACGCGGGGAAAACAGATAAGGTCAAAGTGTTTAGTCCTAGGAATTGTGAAGAACTACGCATCCCATTCAAAACCGATAAGGTTGCTAAGGTAGTCGGCAAACTTGCGTCGATACCCCTCCCAAAGCATTTACCTTCGCCTGACGACCAAAACACCGAACTAGTAACCGGAGTTATCGTTCAGAACGACTTCAAGATGTCCCTAATGGATCCTGAGGATTTGCGCGAATACGCAGGTCTTACGACTTCTACGATCGCGTGTCGACAGCGATTTACCTTGACCGCAGCTGGTATCGACCTCATCAAATGGGGTCTCGAGGGCACGTTTGGCAGCATCGAGGAACTTCCGGAGACTAAGAATCGAAAGGAGACCTCCGAGAACGAGGAGACAAACGGGGATGACAAGAAGACCGAAGCAGACGAAGAGATCGCCCAGCTTGTTGCGGCATACCTGGTCATGGGTTGCGTCACGGTACGATATCGCAACAACGGCGAGGTAGAATTGGAATGGGAAGGTAATATGCTGAACGATGGCATTGCCGACGCCGTCATGGCGGTTCTACTGTCTGTCGAGAGCAGCCCTGCTGCTGTGAAGCGTAAGCAAAATGCCCCCTAGTCAGCCTAACGCAAACTATTTCCTCTACTAACAAACACATTTGATTAGGATCCGCGAACAAGGATTCCCACTCCCACCAGTTGCCGGCCCGCAACCCTCACGCCAATCTCACGCCGGAGGAGCGGTTGGAGCGCCTGTTCATGTTCCTCGAGGCGCAGTTCGGCGCCGACGCGCTTACTCCCATCACGGTGCCCAAACTACCGCCTCTAGTCAAGGACAAGAAGCCTAAAAATCCCGATGGCGACAACGAAGACGCTGCTTCCGATGCGTCTATGGAGCTGTCAGATGACGGTGACGAAGAGGAGCGGCTCCTAGAGCTGCGGCAGAAGACGGAGCTCGAGCGTCTTCACAAGATCGGTATTCCCGTGCCGGGCATTACTATCAAGGTGGACAAGATGGTAGCTACGGTCTGGCTCGAGGATATCGAGGTGGAGTGCCAGCATAAGGCATTCGCTGACCGGGTCAAGGCTGTCGTCGAACGGGCTGTCGAGATCACGGCGCCGCTGTGGGGCTGATATCATCATATCATCGTATCATCGTCGTCTTCTCCTATCCTAAGATGACTGAGACGAGATCACGGAGATAAGAGATTAGGCCATCACGCACGTATGTACTATTACTAAGGTTAGGAATTCTAAGGCTACGTAGGTAGTGGAGTGGATTTTGCGCGATAAGGGAGGATATGATATGACACGACATAGCCGTGCCGGGTCCAAGATGTGGTCATGAGATAGGCGCGCGCGAGAGGTCTTATGAGATTACGGATGAGGCTCTGCAATACCTGCATATCATGCATTAGGTACATTTTCCCATCTATGGCAGATGTAGTGTCGAAACATCGCCATCCTTCAATAGCCGGGTTAATGTCCTTGATGAGTAAAAAAAGAAAAAAGAAGAAAGAAAAAAACAAAGAACTATTCCTCCATGAGTAATATGATTCTTGACACTTCTATGTGACTAACTCAGAGGCTCAGGTATGGGGAGATCCGTCTGAATCCTATTCCGTTGTCATGCGTGAATTATGTATGCATGTGCCGGTTTGTTTTATGCCTTGCGTGGAAATCGGGATGTAAGTCGGCATATTATATTTTGACACTGCCAACAAGGTGAAAATTGATCATCGTGGTTAGGATATAGTCTAAGAATTGTATATTATATAACTAAGAGATTTGTAGTATAGTTTATTCCAAATAGTGCTGAGGGTAGGTAGGCAGTACAGTTCGTTATGCCTACTAGGTATAGATATAAGTGAGTGTGGCACTAGTGTGGCACTCCTGTGTAATTACTAGCCACCTCCACCGTACCATAGGTTTGGTACCTAGCGCGATAACTTATTCAGCCAATGACAGAATAGAAATGATTTTATTGGTCCCGTGATTGTTGTAAGTTGCCAGTATGCCTTGAGCCAGCCTCACTTTCACTTCCACACCGGAGGCTATGAATTAGAAATCATTCTAGTATCAACACTTTAGTGTAACTTAGTACTCAACATAGCCTCCAAATGTATCGAATTTGGACACATGCAATTTTGAAAAGGGTATCAGCTTTGAAACATGATAGAAACTCTAAAGGGAAAAAGGAACCTTCCTTTCCTCTTATTGTTATAGTCGCCCCTTAATTCGGCTATGAAGGGGGGCGGCAAGGCAGAGAGGTAGGCAATATCTTAGATGGTATATAATTATAAGGAAGTGAGTGATTATATGTTGATATGTGTTGTATAGAAGATTCGAATAGTAGAATCTAATCAATCCAACAAGCAAGCAAACAAACAAACAAACTGAGTCAATACATCTAATTGGAAATTATAACTAACTAATTGAACATTCCAAACAAACACTTGAATATCAAGTCACTTACATGTCACGAGCAAACAATTATAGTATCAAGACCTAACGAATTATACTATAAAAAAAGAGAAAGAACAAAGACATTCGTCACTCCCTTTATTTAAACTTTCAGTCTACCGAGTCTAGTTTAGAGACAAAACCTTGACTCAGTTCCATTTACTCCCCCCCCCCGTGTGAAGGAACTAACCACAAACACATCTGCGTGCCAACAACAACAAGAACAACACACTTGTTCGACAATGCAAGCCATTTCTACCAGCCCATCTCCTTTTCCCTTAGGATTCGTACAATCATACTCGACACACTCGTCGTCCTTCTTAAAAACTCCCAGCTGCTCCAACAGGTGCAGGAATATTCAGTGCAGACACGAGGAGTTTTATCAACAACAACGACTGAACTTAAACACCATGGGTAACCCTTTCGAGGCCAACGGCAACAATAACAAAAACCTGAGCCCCAATGCCCAGGCTAATAATCGGGGCCGTGCGCCATCGGGCTTTTCCTTGCGCAGGTCGTTCAGTGGCCGCAGCCAGCGCGGCGGCGACGACTCCGGTGAGCGTCGCGGTTTATCCGCCATCTTCAGCAGCAACCCGTTCTCATCGAGTTCGCGTTCCCAACGAGACCGGGGACGTGCAGAGAGCCCTCCTCCTCCATACTCACCAACTCTCGCCGAGGCCCCTGGTTCAAGTAAGTTCCCCTTCCCCCCTATCCACTCCTACCCCTATCCCCAACCCTGACCCCAACTAACCGCAACAACCCCCAGTCCCCGCCCCCACCGGCGAGCTCCCAGACGACCAATACGCCTTCCTACGAGAATTCAACACCATATTCCTAATCGACGACTCCCTCTCCATGAAAGTCGAGCGGCGCTGGGCCGAGACGCAAGCCGCCGTCGCCGCCATCGTGCCCATCTGCGTCGAGCGCGACGAAGACGGCGTGGACGTCTACTTCCTCAACCACAAGACGTCGGACCGGGGCGACGCATCCCGCGGCGCCGCAGGCACGGGCTACCGCTCGCTGCGCGACGCCAAGCTCGTGACGGACCTGTTCGGGGTCGTGCGGCCCAGCCAGGCGACGCCGACGGGCATCCGGCTCGACCACATCCTGCGGGCGTACCTCTCGCACTACGAGGCGCGCGTGCGCGCCACCGCCGGCGACGTCTACAGCGTGCGTCCCATCAACGTGATCGTCATCACCGACGGGCAGCCGACCGACGAGCCCGCCGAGACCATCGCCGCCGCCGCCCGCCGCCTCGACGCCATCGGCGCGCCTCCCCACCAGGTCGGCATCCAGTTCTTCCAGGTCGGCCGCGACCCCGCCGCCACCCGCGCCCTGCGCGACCTCGACGACGACTTGTGCCGCCGCGAGAGCATCCGCGACATGGTAGACACGGCCACGTTTAACGCCGCGGGGCCGGCTGATGCCCCCTCGCTTACCGCCGACGGCATATTGAAGGTGGTGCTCGGTGCTGTCAAGAGGAAGTTGGACCGCAAGGTTTTGGTTAGGGTTGATGGGCCTGTGCGGTGAACCTCTTAGGACGGACGAAATGGATAGTTCCTCCACTTACTTATTCTACGGGGTTGATTATTAAAGACCCAGGGATACCCTCTTTCCCTCCCTCCCCTTTTTTATATATCATCTTCTCTTCTCTTCTCACCTCTCACTTTAGCGATACCCCTTTTTAGTTAGAGGATACGGCGGTTTTCTTCTTCTTCTTCTTCTGTCACTGGGGAAAGAAGGGCGGGAGCGGAACAGCTTATCAGGGGATTAGAGAAAAGGATTATCAAAATATGATGCCTCGTTGTACTTTTTAGCTTTACTTAACTAACTACCCAGAAGCCTCTTATTATAAGGTAGAGTCGTAGATAGCGGTGTGTGCTCGCGCATTCAAGGTAGCGTGGGCCGAAAAATAGAGAATCACTATTATAGACTGAAAATATGTCTTCAAAAACTTTCGCTCTCAGTCTCTTTTAACTTGTATCTGTCCATGTTCACTTCATCTACAATGGTATGTCTAGGAAACTCATATGGACTCCTTATACCTCGTATTTCTGGAGTTAGGTTAATTTACTCATACCATCGGGATTACAATTCCCCATCATAGGAATACTACGACAATGACCACATTTAATCAATAAAATCACCAAGCAATTGATTAATCAATCAAGAGAGGCAAAGCGCAAGGAAATAACATCTTAAATTCAGTAAGGCCAAGTAGGCCATCAAACTATGAAACAGCAAATGCAGTGACCAATTTTGGCAAAACCAACTATGAACTATCGCCAGAGTATGATTAGGGATCCCGTCGGGTCCATATCCCTATAATTCAACTATCACCCCAGCTGTCCAACAGTCGATATCTGCTAAGATCATCCTAGAAGATCTGAGAATCCTTACTCCTGTCGTGACTGTGGCGGGTCATCATAAAACCTTGTAAAGGAAAAAAAGACCCGAGGAGAAGAGACCAAAGAAATTCGTCTAATAGCAATGTTGGCAACATCTCAACTGCCTTGTTGAAAAGACTAGTTGTTCCGTGCCGTTATGCTTCTCTATCCGTGCCAAGTCATGGAATAGAGGAGACATAACGCATTAGTTGGCGAATGTGTCGTACCGTCAGAGCAAAAGTGATAGTGTCCTTTGAAGCAATCCATGACGTCTGAGACAAGAAAGGCCTCGCCTACCAGGCCAATATGATAGCACCTTTTCTTTCTCCTTCCGTGACCTTCCTTCCTTCCTTCCTCCTACCAAACCCCAGAGCAGAACCAAAGACCATACTCAAAGGGTAGACCGTATGGATTTTTGTGTTTTGCAAATACCGCCATGCTCGCATTGCTACCACTACTGGCATGAGCCGTAGAGACCAGGAACACGACTCTCGGAAAATGCCGAGCCACAAATAAAGGACAACCGTCGGTCGTACTGGATATCGGAGAGTGTGTGACATTATGATTTTAGTAACCTCCTGATTCCATGAAGTTTGTCCTCATAAAGATGAAAGGACGGGCCAACGAGAATGAAATGACCAGATACTAAAGGACACCACAGAAGAAAAGCCTATGGTCCCGCCTGATGCAGATATCTGTGGCAATGACTCGTCATAGGCCAAGATGTAATGCGTCCCGGCATATTATGCGTAAAAAAGAAAATTGCTTAGAAAAGTAGTATCATGGTGGGCACTGTAGTCCGAAGGCTACCCCAAAAGAACTCCTATACCAAGGGTATTAATAGGAGGAATGTTTGCGTATATGTGTTTATTTCATAACTAGAACTTGTGCCTTCTTGATACCGTGGTATTCAAGCTCGTTCTCGTTACGTTCGTCGCGGACGGACAGCACCGGAGAAACGACAAACGAGACCCGAGTCTGAGACATTTGCAACTCGGAAGGGGTAAGGCCCAATGCTGGAGCATTCACCGGCTCCATAGTGCCTTCGGCAAATTTGCATGCGCACTCGGGGAATGTATAGTGCAGTGTCATGCCGGACACCCACACCTTGGCGCTGACCTCCCACGTTGCTGATACCATGACTCGCAGCGGCTTAATGGCATCCTTGTCCGTCACCGATATGGATCGAAGTGGTTGCATAATGATAGCCATCATGTGAGCATGTCGCTCGATGCTCTCCTTCTTGAAAAACTCGATCCTCTTGTCCTTTAGGGCGTGGGTGACGATACGGGCATGCTCATCAATAACGCGCTGTCGATCTCGGGGATTAGCTCGCCCGCCCGCCCGATGGAAGGTTGTGATCTTTTCTTGCAGAGCGACAAGGTGGCTATCTAGGTTGCGATCGATGCCTAGGAAGATATCGGGGGAGATGACCTTCTTGAAGAGATAATCCAGTGCAACACGCATGATGATATACGGCCTGTAGGATGGGACACCGAGGAGGTAAAGCATATGGTTCTTCGCCTGGGAACGGTTCGAGTAGACCAGGCTAAGAAGGTAGTTCCATGTAGTTGCCTCTCTTTTCTCCAACATCATATCAGCTACTTTGGGCTGTTCTCCCGGCTTCGAATGGCATCTGACGATATATCCTTTAGTAAGCCCGAATATATGATCGAGCCCGTTCTGGATGTCGGCCATAGACCATTCGTCCTTATGGCGAGGAAATGCAGCAAAGGAGACCTGTTTTTCACCACTGGGAGGGCGTACGAGTTGCTTTTGAGAAGCGCCATTGTTAGATCCGCTTCCTGAACCATTGGAGTTTATAAGGGCAGGCCAGTTAGAAGGACCACCAACGGGAGAGCCCTTTCGAGCAGTAGCGGAGGTCGCAGACGGAACGTTTAGATAACCATGAGATTCGGTCGATTTGCCACGAGGATCCCACGATGGTGCCGTAGGGTTCGGTTTGAAACTCGACTGGCCTGTAGCATCATCACCATCTGTCTGTGTTCCATGCTTTTCAATCAGCATCTTCTGCAGCTCCGCATATGTGTTTTTATCCAAACCACTCTTGCGCTCGTCATCTGGAGTAGATCGCGGCGAGCTTTTCACAAGAGCCAAACCCTGCTCAGACTTGACTTTACCGGCTTGGGCAAGCTGGGTGTTTCGAGATTGCAAGTCTTTGACCTGTTCTTGATAACCCTATAGAGACAAACAATCAGCTATCTATATATATATATATTCCCGATTTTCTCGTATGGAAACTTACCTGCAGTATCTTTCCTTGCTTCTCCTCAAGAGCAGACCATTTATCAATCATCATAGAATAGTGATCATGAACGGTCTTGAGTTTGGTCTTGAGCTCGGCATTTTCAGTCTCTAACTTATCAACACAAGCCCTCAAATCCTTTAGCTCTTTAGTGAAAGAATCTTCTTTGCTAAGGGCTTGCCCTAGCTCCCTTTGCAATTGCCTAATATTGTTCGTAGCCGCAGTCTTGTCACGAATGGCTTGTGTGTAGGTGTCGTGGTTCTTTCGGTAGTCGTTACGGCCTGATCTCGCTCCGTGCGTAATTTATGGACTGTTGAATTGACAAGCTGTCCGATCTCGTTTAACATCTCCCTGTGTCTGTTGGATCGATCGGCTGGTATTCCAGGGGCGCGGCTGATCCATGTAGTGCAGGATGCAATACGATGAGAAATGAGTCGGCACATGTGGATAGAGTCCTATGACTCGTAGTTAGTATAGAAGAACTAAACAGCTAAACGTGATTTTTGTAAGCTTCCAAAAACTCACATCTTCGTCTGCGACTCTAGCATCGCCCGATTGAAACGCGGCACTGCTAGCAAAGGCACTAGAAGTATTGCTCGAGAACGAATCTCGATAGCGACTCACTGGCTGAGTGCCTGTGGATTGTTTCTGTGCGCCCGTGGGCGGGAACGCAACACCTCCACCGTAACGGTAGCTCATAGGCGGCACAGACTGTGGGATCGGAGGCTGCGGGCCGGCATTTGCGGCGAACGAGTTGGAAGCACTGAGTAGCTGCGATTCCTCCTCGCTGATAGATGCGGAGCTTTTACCTTCTTCGCTAGATTCATTAGAGTCCTCGGCCGGCTTGGCATGGAGCGGCACGCCTCCACCCGGCTTCCTACTATATGACGAGTTAGTGGACATTGTCGCTAGAGCATAGAGGTATCTAATGAATAGAAGAGATATGGTAACTAGTAATGACTGATCCCAAATATTCATTCTCAAAAGAAACTAGAAGGATGGTGAGGTAGGGTAGGTTTATATAGGAGAGAATAGAGATGATGGGAAAAAGGGGCCAAGAGGCTTAAAGATTGGAAGGAGTGACGCAAAATGTTGACAAGGCAGGAAGCATCAATGCACTTTCCAAAATGGAGTTTCCAAAGAGAAATATAAGTGGCCAGACTAGAGTAGCTACACGGAGATAACCTCACTAGTAGGTACTCTAGAAGGTACAAATATCCCTCTTGCCGCCGTTGAATTGTTGTGACTCATTGAGTTACTAGATTTTGCCAATGTCAAGTGCAATGTCGAGTGCAATGTCGAGTGTTTTTTGTTGATGTCTGACGGTTATGCAAATAATCTGACCTCCTTTATTTGCAAAGATGCTGACTAGGAGCTGGCAAGAGGCAAGAGCCGGGACGCAAAGTGTTCCTTCCAATTAGCCTCTGAGTCTGTTGTGGGGTGGCTAGAGATAGGTTGTTGCAGTTGTTGTGATGTTTATCGTCGCTATGGAAGCGTTCTGTTGCTAGGGCATTGGCCTACACGGGCGCAAGGAGGCCCGGCCATCCAAGTTCCAGTTATGATCCAAACTAGAAAAGAGTGTCTTTCGTATGGACCGAATCCCAGGAAGCATAGAATATCTCAATTCGTAGCCGAATATGTAATGCCTTGGTATTGGCCTCTCGCCTCCGTAGAATCCGGTAAAACAAAAACAAGCGCATTATCTCGAAGAAGAAAATAGAGAATACTTACTCCATAGAAGGGGTACTAGGCAGCTGTTCGGGTACGGGCGTGCCCGACGGGTGAATGGTTTCGGTTGACGACATAGCTCCTAACCGATCTAATATACAATGTTAGCTCTAGAAGATATGTTCAATGATGAAGATCGTAATGAGTCGATATATCAAATAATATCCACGTAGGTGAACAAGTACTGGATTAGGAGCGAAGAAAGGGGCTTACATACCTGCGGAGCCGTCCCAGGAGCCGATAAGCAGCCTACACAGATAGTAATTGTATTGTTAGCAGTAGTAAATGAGGACGAGAGACAGGAGGCTTCGTATATATTCGCATTCAGGTCAACGAATGGTATCTAGACCGAGGTGTGGTGGAGTCATATTCAGAGTAACTCCCCGGGGAGCTGCTCTGCTGAGCATTCCCTGCTCAGGTAGGAATAAGAGATTTACGTACCCAGATAGAAATTAATGTGTTCAAGTTTTCTAAGAGTTAGAGTTGATATAAGCAGTGCCACGTTCCAGGTATAATCTCTGAGATGGAAGGTGATGATGTGTACCTGGAAATGCGATTGAAGTGGTGGCTGATGATAAGGTGTGGTAGGTTCCTAGTTAATAATCGTGTTGTGTGTGTGTACTTGTTTAGAGGACGTAAATAAAATAATGAAATACGTCCGGGAAATTAAGAAAGTCCTCAGAAGCTGACAAGAGAGTCAGCTGCATGGGAATAGATTGTTTGTTGTAGAAAGATGATGGGGGTAGGTGAACAAAACTTGAGAGAAATTATGTATTGACAGGTAGGGTTTGTAACAAGTAAAGAAGGAAGTAAGGGTGGAAATAAAATAGGCAAGCATGAAAAATAAAAATCGTGGGTCTAGTGAACCTGGAGGGGGAACTTCATGCCCTAGTGACGCCGCGGAAACAAGGAGGAGGCCTGGTCCGCTTTATAGAGCGTATCTGGTGACGATGGTGGGATGGGTAGTGACCTCAGCTGTTACCATAACCAGCGGCGATGCTGAGCCTTAAAACGAACGACCTTTGGGGACGGTTATGCCGTGTGACTACAGCTTCAATACGCATCTCTTCGTCTTTGGTTAATATTACGTCGAACGAAGGGGTATTTGTATATATAACGTCTGTACTGTCAAATCTGATTAACGTGGAGGGCGAGTATTAAGATTGGACCAGTAGCTAGATACATATCGTAAGGAATCGGATACTACCCTTTATAAATCGTGTTAAAGGTTAGCCAGTGGCCAACTTGCCTAAGTCGAAGACGGACTTAAAGAATAAGCTTACACCTTCGTTCTTAAGGAGATGGAGACTTCTCATTAACCATGAATAACGGCATACTATATGATAAGTCGAAAAAAAACTTGAGATTGCTACAAAGAGCTAAGAGTTGGGTCTTTATGTTCTTTAACGGGACTCCCATACTAAAATCCGGGGTGATTAGTAGGGTGGCATGCCAGTATATAAGCATTACTAGCATCTAATCAGCAAATTTTCGTTATATTTGTAACCGATTTTGTTCAGCCCAGGGGGCTGGAGGAAGCTAGTTGGGTTGTAGACGTAGTACCATAATGCTGGGGGACCGGCGAAGACGTTAGTTATCCTTCATAAGCCTGTTAAGTCGACCGAGTTGTATAACATAAGTAAATTTATCGGGATATTGCTGAACTGAACCTTCAAGACTATTAGTAAGTTAGAATAAAGACGCTGCATGAATAACAAGGGATATTATACCATACCTAGATATTCTGCTTAGTTATAACTCGACATATCCTCCTAAAACGCCATAATAAGTCATTGGCAGTGGTCACAGCCACTAGACATTGTGTATTCCCTTACGTTGATATCGAAAGAACTAAATTGTTGAAGAACCCTAGTTGAGACAGTAAATCTTTTCATGATTTGAGAGGACGCAATAGTAAGCCTTAAATTATCTTAGCGTTTGAAATATATTAGGAGTGAGGTAGACGCCACTTACAATAAGCATTTGGCTGGTTATCTTCTCTCATGCTTGTAGCATCTGCTGTTGGTTAGTATATTGATGTGAGAACGGCAGCTTCCTTAGGCATGCTCTTTGCACTTAAACTGGCTTATTAAGGAAGACAATTCAGCTAAGTAGCTTTGTATGGCGAAATCGATAAAGAAAACCTGAATCTAGAAGTTGAAAATTTCAGAATGACCATCATTTCTAGTCTGTAAAGTAGGGTGCCTGTTGGGACGTCAGTGTAGATGCCGTTACCTAAATATTAAGTGTATCTCGTCCGAGAAGCGACGAAAGAGGAAAATAGACATGAGTAGTCTACTCAGACCTCAGATTGTAAGGCCTGGTTTAAGTCAAGACGCGGGTTAATTTTGGTATTCACAGATGCTACTTGAGAACGAATCATGAATCTAAGAGAATTTACTAGGAGGATACTGATGGAATGAGCTGACTAGTAATATTATCAATATCTGGGAACTGGGCAGAAATATGTTTTATGGGAGGAATTAGACCAGCCAGGAAGTTACTACATATATTACATAATCATGGAGCAATATCTATCTATCTTAATATGCCTAGGAAGCGACGTTAACTTGTAATACTAGACCCAAACCTTATTATATTGTGCTATTGGAGAGCCGGTATACATTAATTTTCATCCTTAGAATCGTATTATAAGTGTTTGCTCCTTTCCTATTTATAGGGGGGGCATATGTGTCTTACTATCAGGATATCGGTCATACTAGATGCTATAATAACTTTAGAGTTGATTATATTAAACACCGCCAAGTCCTTTAACATAATAAGAATACAAGCATAAGTATCGCTCAGAGTACGACTAGAATAGCAAAGCTATCTATTGCTGATATAATCATGTCATCAAAGTGTTGGAAAAGTCAGATCACACATTAGTTAAGACGATCCCCATGTAATTTAATTTTATATTCAAGTATTTCTAGTAGAATACAGAGGATAGATCAAGCATACACAGAAATAGCGTCGTAATATGGCCTACCTTTAGAGAATCTCTATATATGTTCTTGATTAATATATACCAACGGGGGTTTTCCCACCCGACCTGTACCCTTTATTGTCGGCATATAAACAACATTGAATGTTCTTATAAATAGCATCGACCGCAAGACTCCCATTGGTAAAATAAGTCATGTTTCGTAAATGTGCCGCAATATTCTTCGTTAAGAGATAAATATGGCGTGTAGAAAGAGTCTAATGTGTAGCAGTCAGTGTCTTACGGACCTTGGTATACCTAGCCGTCGAAGCAAAGCACATTAAATTGATGAAGAATCTACGGTCTAAGGTTAGTACGTTAACCTTCATGGGTTGGGTAGAATGATTATAAGGCGGCCGTCGTTTCGTATTGATGAGAAAGGTTTCTCGAGTGTTCGTCCAGCGTCTCGGCTGTGTCCGTCCTTGAATGGGATAAATAATCTGGTCTCGCGTTGCTGCGTGGCACTGGCCACCCGCAAATGTTTGTATTACAAGTACCTAGCTGCTTAGAATGTAAACATCCTGACTCGTACAACGGTTTAGAGCAAGCTACCTGGATAAATACCCAGGTCATACCTACACAAATAATCAACGGGGCATGTTATTACCTATTACCAAGAAAACTGCAACGAATCAGCTTCTGGTGTCTTTCGTGACACAAACGGGAGTCGACCTGGATGGAAGACTAAAACGCATTCAGCGGTGCGGAGAATGCCACGAGGAATCTACAGGTGGCGTCAGAGCTGACATGATCACAATCTTCCGGGAGTTTCCATACCAATATCACCGAAACAAGATAATTATCATAATCTAAAATCAAATGCTTTAGTACTACCAACGCCTAAATACCTAGCTTGGTCCTATGGCCTGCAGGCCAACGAATATTCTCCGACTCGGCGATAATGGTCGAAAATAACGTTCGGCTTGACACGGACGTCAGCAGACAAGAGCTGACGCACGGGGATGCATGTTCCTTTGAAAAGGGGGCTTCTATTGTAAAATCAGCGCGAAAAGTATGGATTTTATGGTACGACTGGGAGAGTATGTCGTTTGATCTCGGAGAACATGCTGCGCTGAATGTCGTTTACCAAATTGACAGGCGAATGGAACGAAATGCGGTCTTGGCCAACGTCCGTATAAAGAAATGGTAGTGAGGACGGAATCTGTTTTTTCGAATTAGTACAAGACACTTTGGAATATGGCTGTGCCTGAGACTTACGGGGAAAAGTTCCTAGAACGGGAGAGTCCCGGCCAACAATTAGCATCTTAAATAGCCTTGGTACGAGAGAACAAACTGCTGTAGACGGCGTCCACAACAGGCGCAGCGCTGATCATCCGTCCACCAAAATAACGACCGTTGAGCCCCTTGATGGCGTTCTCGCCTCCTTGAACCTTGTCGAATTTGAGGAAGATATCGCCCGGCGAATTCGGATCGAGGGAAATATGGACTACGTGGCCATATTTCTCTTCGGCTTCCTGTCGAACGTCATCCTCCAATTCCTTAATCCAACTTTCACCTTCTTCTCTGTAGCCGCTAGTTAGTATCGGTATAAGATAACATCTTAAACGAAGAGGACATACTCAGCTGGGTCGAACATGTTGTGAAGAACAACACAGCGACTGGCCATGTTAACATTCATGGGGAGCGGCTTAGTCTCTGTCTTGGGCTTGAGAATCTGTCTCTCATCGCGACTTCCGTTGGAAGCATCATCGGTTCGGGCAAGCTTTCTCATTAGGGCATCGCGACTATAGTTGTTAAAATTGACTCCCGCAACATCAGTGTCATCTAGGGCGCTTGCGCCCGTCGCCTTGTCATTGTCACGACCTCCTGCTCGGTCGAATCCGGAAGCTTGAGGTCCTCGTCCACCAGCACCGGAGAATGCAGATCCCTGGTATGGTTGGTTTTGACCCTGGAACCTCTGTAGGATATTGGCAGTTGATTCGGGGGTAAACTTATCATTACCAAGACCAACCCGGATTGGACGACCAGCGAGGTCAAACCCATTCATTTTCTCAAGCGCCTCACGAGCCTGGTCGGCTTCACGGAACCTAACAAATTTGGGTCAGTAAAGTTCGCCATTCGAAACAAGCATCCGAAAACGTACTGTACAAATCCATAACCACGGCTACGACCTGTATCATCTTTTTGAAGCTGGACAAATTCGAGCTCGCCGAAGGGTTCGAAGACGTTTTGCAAGTCTTGTTCGGTAATACTAAAGTGAATATGCCTACGTAGAGTCGATGGAAGGGGATTGAATTGGCGTGAGAGCCTGAGCCTTCGGTGGTACGAACTTGGCGATTTTTCTCAGCCTCGGTAAGCTGGACGATGACTGGGATACCTAGGAGTTGGTGACCTGTGAGCTGAAGAGCAGCAGTAACGGATTCTTCGTTTTTAAATTCAACGTAGCCAACACTGTAATGATAGTTAGCAAACTGGGGTTTGGATAACCATGTTTGGGTATGAAAACTGACCCTTTAGACCTGCCGCTTATACGGTCTTTAACGATCTGAGCCTCGTTGACAGGACCAACTTTCTCGAAAAATTCTTTTAGCTCCTTAGTACGAAGACGAGCAGCTAGCTGCTGGACAAATACGGTACGACGATCTCGCTCGTCTTCAGTTAGTTGGGGAGTCGGATCACGCTTCGGCGTACGACCTCCTCTGGGTCTGTCTTCATCCCTGCCTCGAAAGTTACCGCGTTCATCACGCTCACGATCACGGTCGCGATGGTCGTCCCTTGGGCGGTAGTGCCGACGAGGAGATCGCGAGCGAGTGCGATCCCGGCCGCGTCCGCCGCTGCGGTAGTAATCTCCGTCGCCTCCTCTGTGACGACGTGAGTGTCGACGGTCATCATCACGGCTCCGACTTCTGCGCCTACTTTTGTGGCTACCTGCGTCACTACGAGGTGTAGCTTCCCTCTCATCACCCCGGTCACGTCGTACGCGGTCGTTGCTACGATCGCGTCTTCGGCCAGGGCTGCGGTCGCGGTCTCTACGTTCGTTTCGGTCGGATTTTACGCGATCATCAGAATCTTTAGGTCCCGTCTCCTTGGTATCATTTTTATTGCTAGCAGTAGCATCAAGTAAAGCCTCGACATCAAGGGTGGCCATCTTGAATGAAACCTTTAGATAGGTCAAGCAGAGCAGACTAGAAGTTTAGGAATCGACGACTTCCTCTGGCGTAATTACGGTTGCTAATCAAGTATTTCTTTGTCGGCGAGATAAAAGTTGGATATGTAATTTTGATATGTAGTACTGTTAAAAAATAACAAAGGTACTTACGAACTGTCGGCGAGATTGAATGGGTCCTAGGTGGACATTAACTTGGGAAGTAAAAGATGAGAGGGGTGGCAGGAGAAGATGCCTGCAGAAAAAGCTGACATGTCGGTCTTTCCGGATAAAAATACCATGAATGTGACAAAGGTACCTAACCTAACCTTATAAATTATGTCCGTGCACTTTGCTTACTTAATAGAGGTTGTTGGTGAGGCCAATTGGGAATTGCCTGAATTTATGTAATAAGTGAGGCGAACCCAACATATGAAACGTAGCGTTTAATGCAATGCTTTACACATTCTAGGTATTGCACTTACGGTCAATACACAAGGGGCATATCTCTAAGTCATTTCTTTTAAGCAAGTCAGGAACCAATTAATATAAACACAAATCATTAATTATTAAAGGTATGAGTCAAGTGCGGATTAAGCTGAATATTTTCATACTTCCCGGTCATACTAGGTACCAAACGCCAAAATCTGCCCACCGTATACCTAGAATCTCACTCCCCAGTTCCATTTTCACATTATGCCCATTCAATACATATCGCCATGCCCATGTATGTAGAATGGGTCTCTTATGAAGCAGCGGTCAAGGCCTAGGCCGTCTTAACCACAGTGACTAGCTCGGTACCGAACACCTGATCCCAGAATCGGCTAGTTACGCCGAAGCCCAGTTCATAATCTAGGAAGTGATGAGCAAGGTGATACTTCTTGAGGTCCTTGTACCAGAGAGGGAGATTTTGGTGGTGTAGGAAGTAGTGAGTCAGATCGTAGCAGACATATCCGAAGATACCGCCGCAGTATACGGCTGTGGCAAGATGCCAGTCCCAGAAGAATATTGAGTGTGCAAGCTTCCAGAAGGGGGTTGCAAGAACCACAAAGAGCGTCGGGGGCATCACTAGACGGTACTTGTCCATCGGGAGGTAGTGATGTACGCCATGAAGTAGAAAGTGTAACGTGATTCCGACTCTGTTATCCGGTAGATATCTATAATATTTATTAGCAAAATGATTATAATGGATACTGATGGTAGAACATACTCGTCGAGATGGAAAAGACATCGGTGCAAAACATATTCTATAAGAGTCCACAAGAGCACACCACTGCCGAAGCTAGTAGCTAATCTTAGGTTGCTGTCGTATCCTTGAGAGGCCAGGTGGACGCCATAGGCAATCGCGGGAAGCCAAATCATAGGGACAACCCACCAAGGGGTCAGACTGAGGGGCTCGAGGAAATTTCCGAACAAAGGTGCGGAAGCGCCGCCCTTGTAGTGTCTTGGTCGATGGACCTGGTCAAGATAGAACCTCTTGCTGAAGCCACCATACCATACTTGCATCAAGAGGGGTTTATTCAAGTCAAGGAACTTGTGTTGCTTGTAGTCTGTGGTGTAGTCTGTGTCCTTGCTTAGGTCTTCCTCGCAGGACATACCCGTTCGCGGGTGAACAGAAGGGGTGAGTTGGTCATTGGTCTGGGGGTCGGCGATCTTCTTCTGTACGTCTCCGTTGGGCGCGAGTTTATCCGTCACCAAAAAGGCGGTCTGATACTCCTCCAAGATCTCGTATGCTGAATCCGAGTGCGTATGGGAGATTTCGTCCTTAAGAATCGCAGTGATATCTTTTCCAGCGTAATCGAGAATCAGGTCGGGGCCACCGGGGTGGGATTCGACAAAGTCAGTCACATCGTAAACGTTGGTACCGATTGTGACGTAGCAAGACTTATTGCTGTTGTGCGACTCAACCTCAGCTTTCGTGAGGGTCGGTAGCGTTCGACCAGGCATCTTTGCGTATGCGAAATTTATAACTTATTTTAAGGAGTGACAAGATATTAGAGAATAAAAGAAATCCGGCAACTCGGAGGAATAATTAAAATCCTCACGTAGAAGGGAGACTTGCGAAAGGATAGAAAAGAGAACGAGGATATTCGAAAAGGAAGAGTTAGAACAAAGTCAGGGGACTCGGATAGGTATAATAAAGTATTAGGTTAAAGATCTACGAATTTTTAGGGGGTCCAATCGTTTTTTTTTTAGCTTTAGGATTAGCGTTCGGAGGAAATGAGCTTCGTCTGACCTAACCTGACCGAGCATTCCGCGGTCACTCTTGCAGTAACTTGACAGCCTGACAGTGGCGTTATCGCCTATCACTTATCGTATGATACCCTACCGCATAGTATGTTCCAGCGATGTGTAGCCTACTATTTTCAGCTAGACTTTAAGTTTATTGACAATTCAAAGCCCGATGCAATTTAAGTCACGGGGGAACGTAGCTTGTTTTTATTTCAGAAAATTCATCATTATTCTTCGTTAGTACCTCATGCACCTAAATTAAAACGTGTACATGCATGTATATGTGTAACTGTTAAGGACCAGGGACTCGGGAAGTCAAATCTTATCGATCAATTTTGGTACCAAGGTACTTCTTCCCCTTACTCTCCCAAGACTCCGAATGATGCTCAGGTATCTCCCTTCAAAGTCCTACGTATGTATGCTGCCCGCGGAAACCGAAAACCGAAAACTCCTAACTATGCCCCATGCAATCATGTTATTCCACCTTTTATTCTACGTAATACAAGTGTGAACGCTATACCATGCCATATCATAAATACCATTAATCCAAACTTTCCAACTTGTACCATGCAATCCCATTTTTATATGGTACATTTCTTAGCTCCAAGCTCGCCATCATTCCTATAAGAAGACATGCACCATGTGATGAACGAACACAGTTGCAATATGAGCACTTCCATATGTACTCCAGGGAGATTTGGTTCCAATTCCTGACCAAATACTCCACGCAAGGATGAGTGACGATATTACCTGCGCCAACCCCAAATTCGCCCATGACAGAGAAAACATTGGAGGCTGTTTCCCTTCTCTAAGCTGAATATCAACTTGTAGATCGGCAGCAAGTCGAATAGAGACGATAAGACAGGCAATGATTGAAGTTAGAGCGAGGCTAAGGCCATAGGGTTCATCCGTTTTCAAAGCCGAAACCCACGCGTAGAGCGCCCCGGCGAGCACGAATAGCTCCACGAAACGCGTGACACGGTGATTTTGTCTATCTGTTGTACCATGGGTGCCCTGGCGAATGCCGAAGACAGAATTTGTAGCCGCACGCCTAGGGTTTCGATACCTCTCTTCATCTGGATCTGGACTAATGCTGAACGAACTCGCAAACATCCTCGAGAGATTATCTCGTGGATCGTCTTTATCTTCGGGCGCAAAGAATTTCGGTTCGGCAAACTTGATATCTGACAAGCTGCCTTGAACCGACGATCCCAAATCCAGAGGTCCCCTGGCTGTGCTCTGGAAGAAGTTCTCCTTTACCTCCTTTGGGCTTTCTCTAATAATCGGGCGCATAGGAGGGTTGCGTAGCTTCTGTGCGGGAGTAGTAGGCGCTGGAGGTACTTTGTACCAGATGGGCCCAGATCTAGCCTCTATAGGGATATCGTTAAAGCGTGGGTTGGTGTTCTTCACCTTATACGGATTGTATGAGCTGAACGCTCGGTGCTGTGAAGCGGATGGCGTCCAATCCATTTCTTCTTCGTAGTGAACTGTCTTAGGCTCTGGCTTTTTGACTATGACTGGGTCAGATAGACGCATAGAACTAAAAGACGGTCCAGAAGCCCCATTTTCGTGCGATCTACTAAAAGAACTACTAAAGGAGCCACTGAAGGGCACATTATCCGCGGTTGGTTTGATAAGTGTTTGGACTCTGAGGAGAATATGGTGTAGGCTCAACACGTGATTGGGATATTTCATCGAGTATGCTCCCAAGGTCGTTTTGATCCCTATGCGGTTTTGACGCAACTGGGGACTGTTGCGAACTATTTACCTTCTGACGAGGTCGAAAGAGAGGTGTTGTATCTGTATGAATAGACTTCCGAGATGCGTGATAGATCTAGACTTTGTCTTAGCGCAAATCCACATGTAAGAGTTCACCTAGTTATACTTACAAAGGTCATCAATAAAGCTATGGCGAGTTGTGCGCCTAGTTGTGCCGGTATTTGCAGCCCTTCCGAGGAGCTGTACTGTGACATCGAGAGGCCGGCATATCGTACTAATAATATAAGAAACTGGTACGTGTACCAATGCTTAAATCCGAGATAATGCGACGTGAAGCCCCGTATCGTCTGTTTGAAGCGCGGATTCCACGGAAGTGAACATAATCCGAAACCAATCGCCCATTGCATGAGTTGATCTGTACGAGGTAATCGATCGCTGCCGTACTGATGTACGCCCTTTAAAATCCTAGTCATCCACGAATCTGTTCCGCTTAGACCATATAGTCCTATGACAAGAGACCAAAGCATAGCGATGTGCCATATGAACTGGAGTGCGAAGCCAAGATTCCATACCCATCTTCCTGCCCAGTCGACTGCGTCTAGCATTCCTCGCCTCTTCACATCCTGTCGACTCGACCGCGTACGGTCCATCATTCGGCGTAGGTGGTCGGTTTGCGCCGTGTAGCTTGCTTCGTGCAGCTTCTTTTCTACCTTTGGTTCACAAACAGCACACATCTGAGGGTATCTTTTCTCAAGATCCTTTCGAAGGGCCCAATATCTCTTCTCTCGGGCGGCATATTCGGCACTGTTATGGTCATCCGGCCACTCAAATTGCGCAAGCGAACTGGTGAGCATTGTTGGTTCCTTAAGCATGTACCGCAAAAGATCGAATCCTCAGAGCCTACGCCATTCGGGGATATTGATCGCGTTGGCGAGCGGGGTACTGATGAACGAGGAATAGCGAACTGGACCTGAGGGCGCTCGACGGACGACGACGTAGGAGGATCGGTAATACTTCCATACTGCCATCTGATTAGCCATGCACGAAGATGTTATTTGTATCTCGACGTGGCCTCGAGAACCCGATGAACTTACTTCGTCTAACCAATTTGTCGCATCGCAGTTCAGACAGAGAAATGATTTCTGGCCTTCGAATCGTAATCTAGACCTTCTACCGCAATAGAAGCAACTTAGAAACTTCCTCGACCGCAAGGTCGCCATGTTTGCAAAACCACAAGAACCACAAGCAGTACTGGCCTAAGGGAAAATGTGTAATTAAGGACAAGCGGGTTGTTTTGGTTGTGGATACTAGGAGGTTCGATAAATATGAAAAAAGCCGAGGTGATGCTTTGACTTTTTTTCCCTTCTTTTCGCGTTATAGTGGATAATTTGTCTATTTAGTTCTGCCTGAGCGTGTTTTTGCCTAAGGGTTGCGACGCGATAAGGTGTTACCCCTGTTCCCAATAAAATTTGATATCGGCAACTACCGTAGTAACGCGTTATCGCAGTACCTCAGGGCGCTAGTGACGTAGTACGTAATACTAAAATAGATCTCATCTGAACCTTAGGACGATCCACAGTTCGTGCTAATGTAAGGTACCGTCTACATCTTTCGAACACCTATTCTACAATTCATCAACTCACATACGCGATAATTCTGGACACCTCTAGGACTAACAAGGAGTTATGCGCAATCCTTAGACCAACAAAAAGTCTGACAAAGGGATAAATACCAAGCAATTGTTTTCTAGGAATCACGGAGGCTCTAGTGGTTCAGAGGTGATTTTATCACGTTTCTCCGGAAAACGTTTAGATCCTGCACCGGGACGGTATCCCAGCTGCCACGTGCACTACCGTGCCTGCCGTGCCTGCAATTACTGCCACCGACCGCCCACGCCGTACTTAACAAAAGATCACCGCCTAGGTGACCACCGAAGAAAAAGTTATTGTAACAAATCGTAACCTCAGCCACCAATATAGGCATAACCCTAGTTTAAATTATTAACTTTTTAAGGCGCCTCATTCCCGCAGATACGAAGAACTTCTACATAGGGAATTCATTACCGCAAATTTACTAACAGACTTTCTCTGACGAACGGCGCAAATCTAAAAAAATAAATCGACACAAATAGTCTGTCGCGCACACATAACAGGCTTAACAGTTTACGATTAGCTTCATATTACATGCTATTGTAACTGTCCTATTAATGCATCATAACTTACGCCTACACACTAATAACCGTTCGTCTCTTACATTAAACTTCTTTTTTTTACAAATATCAACTACATGTTTATCTTAGGACTAATAACTTCGAGGCCAGCTAAACATTTATATATGTTAACTTAATAAGGCCAATAAGGGGAAGTGATCGGTTTCTCATGTATAAAACCTCTACCGTTCTTTTCTCGGCATAATAATTATATATTATCCAGAGAACAGTCGGCGTCTACTCTAGTCCATAGATTAAAACCCCGGCAGGGCCCCTTCAGTCTACTACTAGTACTGCCGTCACCAATAGATCCCGTGTGACGCTCCGTCCAGCCAGCCTTAAGCCTTCCCGAGCCCTGCAAGAATAAGACGGGCCCTCCGTTCCGTCGCAGCACCTCCACCGGCTACGGGTCCGAGCCGGGGCACCGGCGTTGCGGCTTGTGGCACTACTAAGCCACTAAAGACCACATCGTCGCCGAGGACTAGGGCAAGGTTTACTCCTCCGCCGCTGAACATAACCAGCCGCATATCCAGCCGCATAATCAGCCAAACACAATATGGCGTCCGGGGCAACAGTAACCCTTACAATGAGGGAGGTGCTTTCTCCTCAGGGACTTCCAACTTTACTACTAATTCTCACAATTCGAACAATTCGACAACCACACAACCTAACTCCTCCGCGCACTCCTTCCCCAACAGTGTGAGAGGCACCCCTCATCTACAGCTGATGACCCTACTATCCTATCTAACATTAACACTTCTAATTCATTAAATCAAGAGCATCGGCAGTGCATCCGCAACATGGAAGCACTTGATGGTATTGTTCTCAACCCACCCGTCATCAACGCTTTCGATATCATCCGCTCTATCCTGCAAGCCCTCGCATTTGTCTTCTCCCACAACATCACTCGCGTTTACATCGTCATCTGCGCAGTTCTGTTGGTCGTCTCTCTCAAGGTTCTCATGATGTTTCTCATTCTAACCATCGTGATCTTCCTCTCCTTCTACATCCCAGTAAGTGTTGATCTCAAATATTTCGCTCTCTATCCGCTAACGTAAAATAGCACCGTCACTATACTATCGTCGCTCATCGCAAGGACCCTAAGAACTATGGCCGCGCAAGAGTAACTCTGAGATGCCGTTCTATGTCATCCTAGTCTGTGGTTCCGGTGGCCACACCACCGAGATGATTAAGATGGTCGAGCGCAGCATTCGATCCGAAGGCCCGCACTCGCACCGCCGCTGGGCTATCGGATATGGCGATGTCCTAAGCTTCAAGAAGGTAATGGAATTCGAGCGCCGCCTGAACCGCCGCTTCACCCCCGCGCACCGCCTCAACGCTGGTACCTACGATATCAAGTTCTTCCACCGCAGCCGCGCCGTGCACCAGAGCTGGTGGACGACCCCCATCAGCGTGTGCAACTGCGTCAACGACGTCCTTGACATCCTAACCATCCCGGCCCCCAACCCCACCATCCACAAGTTTAAGCTGCCCGGTGTGATTGTGACGGACGGCCCTGGTACCGGCTTCGTGTTTCTCCTGTGCGCCTACATAATGAAGTTCTACGGCGTCGCGCATGAAGACTCCATGAAGTGCGTGTTCGTCGAGAGCTGGGCTCGAGTTAACTCCTTGAGCTTCTCGGGCGAGTTGATCAAGCGCCTCCAGTTGGCCGATGTGTTTATCGTACAGCATCGCCCGCTTCATCGACGTCATGGCCGTCAGACGTACACTGGCAATATGGTCGTGATGCCGACTATTCCTAGCGTGCCTACCGAATAATTCTACCGAGGTTATATAAAGTATGTTGCCAGACAATTTCACTATTCAATACCTGCTTCCCTTGCTAACTATAAGTTCCATCTAGAAAATCTCGAGTTCAATACCACAAAGCATAATAGCTTTCTTCGTTCGGTAGCATGGTTGAATGATTTTTTTTTCTATTCAAAGTACATTCTCGTATGGACTAAAGAGCCTACGACGATCAAAAGAACAGTTGCATTTCATTGAGCAGAGGGGAATTTCGTACGGAAGGAAAATCAAATTAGGGTTGATTAAGGACTGGAATCGTTGCATTTTCACTGCTGGCTAAGGAACGCTTTACTGTTGCATCAAATTTCACATAGAAAAAGGGCACGATCCATAATGGCATATAAATGCCGGCTTAGGACTGCCGATGATCATGACCGGTATTAGCAATCACAATTCAATTTTGGCAATTTTCTCGTGCTGTTTGTACTTAATAATTCGCGACAAGCTTTTTCTCTGTTCTGAATTGCTAGTTATTCTATTCTGCCGAACCACTTCATGTATGGGAGTGTTCATCTTTCAATAACTCTAACACTACCGAGTAATAAATCCCCTTCATAGGAGTATGGTACCTACATTATCTCCTATGTCTAAGTGATAATAATTACAAGGGAATAGTAATATCCTCGAGTAGCGTGACACCCCTCTAATGCCAGTCTAGTTTTTACTCAGGTACTCTCTTCAAAGAAGTCACCCCCAAACGCTGACGACAACAATCCACCTCTAATTCTATGCTTCCTCGACCGTCTCTCTAGATATAGTCCATGATCATCATAACATAACCCCTTTATTCCGATATCAAGGGGTCCTAAAAGGTAGTCTTCGATGCAACCGCATGCTCAACTCAATAAAATCCTTCCCATTATCAGCCGTAATAACACCATGTCTGATGAAGAAGTCAATAAGCACAGCCGCCGAATCAGGTTTGAACTCTCCATTCAGCAGGCCCTTCTGCACTTCCTCAACAGTCATAGAATAGAACGTTTCAACCTCGTCATCATTTGGCTTCGGAACGACATCGCTAGGAAGCTCGAGGTCGTGGACGTATATGATATCGGGAATGATAAGCCCCTTTTCACCGGGAAATCAGCGCCGGTTGCGGTTATGTACGTTGCACACCGACGGAGCGCACACGCTCACGCACTAGTTTCTCCGGAAGAGAGGCCTCCTCGTCTTCTTCGTGGATGATGGTCTCGAGGGGACTGGAGCCCGCTTTGATGCCCCCTGCTACGGTCCCGTCTAGCATCCCGGGACTCGTATAAAATGAGCCGCGCGACGGCCGATCCAGAGCTTCATCTCTCCCTCGGGGGGGTTGGTGTACGCCGTAATATATGCGCCCCGGCTAGTAATACCAAACAGCGCGCTGCGAAGCGCTCCATGTGGGCGGGGTATTTTGCGCTTACGATGGCGAACGGTTCGCTGTGTTTGCCATCTAGAATGTGGAAGAGGTTCTGCTCGATGCAGATGTTGATTAGTTCTGAGAAGGCCGCATTGACTGCGCCAACTGTGTCTTTCCCGTTAGAGGAGTCTAGCACTGAGACGGTCCGCGGCGTGCTGTGATGGACTTGGAAGTGAGAGGTCCATGGCATTTTCTGGACGATCTCGGGACGTAGATACCCATGTGGTTGGTCATCATTGGGCAGTAATAACAGGTAATATGTGTCTGAGGGCACGATGTCATATGGGAAGCTTTGGGAGTATTAGATATAATACCAAATATTATTATTACTAGGATACTTACTTGTCACACGTTGGAGCAGAGAGGTATGTCCTCCCATTAGCCTCACTGGTCATTGTTCTGGCGTTTGGCTCGTGGGACGAGACTTATTGGTGAACCTTGCCAAATGTTTGCTCAAAAACTGACCGTAGAACTCTAATGTAAGGGAAGTTCCTGTTAGATTAAGTAGGTAATGGTCTTGCTACAAGTATAGTATGATTCTAGTGTAACATGAGTTATGTATCAAAAATAACCCTGTACATGTATGTAGATGGTGATGGACCCTGCAGATTATTGGAGTAAGGGAATGCGGCGCTATATTGAAGCATCAAAGAGCCAGCCGAGTTTAAGCGATATGCAAGTACCCCCCGCACCCCCTTGTATCAGATCATCGTCCCATCTCCTCTCATAATTGTGATACTGGCACCCAATGAGTTTCATCTTTTTATAAATATCATCAACAGCTTCTTCCTCTAAAAAAACAAAGTCAAGTAAAATAAAAATAACTAAATAAAAAGAATACTACAAAAATTTTACTAAGATGCCATCGTCAAAGGCAATGCTAGCTACGGCACTAGCTAAGGCAATACCGCCGTTCAGCTCGATAATACCCAATCACATGCTTTCGCTCGAAAGTACTATCAAGAAGCATGTGCTCTTCTCTCACAGCTCGTTCATAGAGCGTCGAATGAGGAAGACCGACAAAGTTGAGAGCAATTGTAAGTCTCAAACCGTCCAACTATACAACCGTTTACTGATACACTTGACATAGAGGCAAACCTACTTGCTTCGGATAGAACAGTTGGAGAATTCGATACCTGAGGAGTCATAGCGCAAAAGTGTGAAAATATACCCATTGTTAATTTCGGCGAGCATCATTCATGGAGGATCATAGGACTTGTAATGTAATTACCTCATTCACTGACTCGGGAAGTCGTGAGGTCGACTAAGAGGGGGCTTAGTGGTGGTATATGTGTAGGATTTGTACAGTTGTGGTACATTTAATAATTGAGGCATTCTGCCGGGCCTATTTCTGTACTGGAACAGCCTCTTCTGTTTCTGCTGCGAGCTCGTCCACGTCAATACTATCGGGATCAACTTCATCCCCGAAGCTTGTGTAAGCCGAATCACGTTCCGCCTTAACTGCTTCGATCTGCTTTCCAGCCCACTTCTTCCATTGCTCATACTCCCTATCTTCGAGCTCCATACCTACTTGTATGTAGGACTTGCCGAAATATGCGCCCACCATCTGAGCTTCTTCCCTGGCTATCCTGCGCTCGACTTCCTCTTGCTGTCGCAATGCGTAAAACTCCCTCCCTCCGCACTGTGTCGTATGCTTGATCTTTTGTTATGCCTGGGACGTTGTGCATCATCCATAACTGACGTTGAACAACACTGTAAGGGTGTTAACCTATATTCTATCCGACTTCGTAATGCGCAAGTACAAGACGCTTACCATTCACCGCACAAAGGCATACCCGGCTGTATTAATCCCTTAGACCAGTCGTATCTCCGCGCATCTTTCCCGTCCATTTCGATTATCATCCTCGGCCTTGCTAGCTCCCAGGGATGATCTTTGTAAAAGGTCCTCCGTAGCTCGTCCTCTTCGTATACTAATTCTTGCGGTTGGAATAACCTGCTTGGTTTTCGTACCTTGGGGTTCTGTTTCTTGTGTTGAGGTGGAAATGGCCTCGTGAGCATTTCCGAGGGGGGTATCGATTCAACCACCTTGTACCATAACGGCTGCTGAACCTGAACATTTGGGAAAATGCGATTGGTTCATTAATGTCGTGACTGTCTGGTAGACCTACCGGGCAAGATCTGTCTTTGACCACCCATGGCGCATTACACAGAAGTCAACACCCCTATCCTCCCTTATACCGTATAGAAGAGGGCGAGACCTAGGCAATTGATGCTGCGTCGGGGGTATAACAGTCGAATCCAATTGTTCAGAGATGGTTTAGACAATGGAAGTTTAGAAAATTGGTTCAAAAGTCGCATAATTGAATGCTTAGGTGGACCTCGATTGACGATTGGCGGGGATAATCGATTTTCCTAGGTGTTGCTTATAGTTTATTATGTATATGTACATCTACCGAAAGCTAGCCTATGTACCTAAAACTCTTATTTCATATTAAAATCATGGAGGAAAGACATGGAGTACCTTTTATAATACTAGCTTAGTCCCAAAGAAAGTACCCAACTACAAAATCTATCATAATATTGCAGGAAGCTAGAAACCCTGCAGTTCTTATCAGTGGCATTTTTCTTTAAATGTTGCGATAACGCGATCCAAAGTCCGACGGCCCGCCATCATTTAGAAAAGTTGAAATCACAAAAATTTCTTGAATTCTTTACGTCACCATCACACCTATGTCGTCGAGTCCATAGAGGTCCATAGAGAAGCTGTGATGACTGGACCAACATGCGGGACAGCTCATGAGAATCTTTACTCGAATTTACGGGTCGATTTACGGCGCGATACTCTCCCGTCGACCCTCGCCAAGCTCAAGCTCAGTACCCTCATTATATACCACGAAAATACATGATGGGCATAGGAAAGCTAGCGCGAGGGTTTACTTACCGTCCCCGGCTGCTCCTCCTCGGTACGACCTAGGAAGAAGCTTAAAACATCTTGCACTTTTACGTCTACAAGGTACATCAACTCGGCGATAACAACACCAGGCCATCGACCTTCAAGTCCTGGCTATTTCAGCTCGAATTTCCATTGTAGTCGCAAATGGAATCATGCATCCTCGGGCACAGACGATACTCCTTCCCCGTCGCGAGGAGTTACGTCCAGACCTGAGCTCCTTGAAATTGTTGACCAGTACGACGATACCTCTATAAATGAGCACCTTGAATTCTTAAGAGACCCTTACCTACGAAGATATGCTCCCGCAGACGGTCCATATCTTACGGTCTCGGACAGAAGAGAAGATGTCAACCTCCAATCTATTGACGCTAGGCAAAGACTAGACCCCGAAGAATCTGAGGCAGTTCGAAAGCTACGAGAGATTGTACTTCTTAAACTTAGGCGTCCGGCAACGATAGACTTAGATGAGGTATATGACCGATACTTGTCGCTTCCCGGGCCCCGTGCATCACATATTACGGCTCGATTGAGGCATCAGTTGCTTGCGGTCCTAGGAATGACTGAACGGAAAAACTCCAAGTCTATGTTGCGGTACTTTTCTGTGGTGACAGACGTAAAGAACAGCGGTTTTCCCCTAACTAGGCTTGAATGGAATACCGCCATGTCATTTGCTAGTCGGTATGTCGGAAGATCAACAGAAGTAGAGGTTGAGGCTGCGCTTCATCTCTGGCGTGAGATGGAACAGGTTGCAGGTATTCGTGCCTCTGATGTGACTTTCAACATCCTTTTCGACGTTGCATCGAAAGCTGGCAAATTTAATCTTGCCGAGATGATATATCAGGAGATGATGACCCGCGGTTTTCAGTTCAACCGATATCACCATGTCAGTCTGATTCACTACTTTGGTCTCAAACAGGACACCAGCGGGATGAGAGCAGCCTATAGAGAGATGGTGGAGTCGGGTGAAGTAATTGACTCAATCGTACTCAATAGTGTCATATCTGGATTTCTGACAGCTGGGGAAGAAGATTCCGCAGAGAAAGTCTACGAGAAAATGAAACTTTCAGCTCGAGGAACCAGGGTGCTGCCAGATCGTAACTACTCGATGCAGAAGAATATTACCAAGGTACTTATGATGTTTGCAAGAGTAGCCAAAAAACATCCTGAAATGCGTCCGAATTTTCAGCAAACCGCACTGATCTCGCCGGACCTACAAACCTACCGCCTCCTCATCAACCACTATGGCCCGAGATTAGGCAATCTCTCTAAAGTTGCACAGTTCCTCGATGAGATGAAGCTTTTCGAAGTTCAACTCCACGGCGCTATCTTCCTTGCACTTTTCAAGGCATTTGGTAGGCATGGGAGTACCGGATCGGACTGGTCAGCAGAGAGGTTAGTTAGTGTATGGAACGCCTTCTTAGATGCCCTCGACTCTGGGACCGAGGGGTTTTACATCAGTACATGGGCTATGGCTGTTTTGAGAGCCTTCTCCAGATTTTCGACTCGAGATCAGATGTTGGATATATACGAAAGTCTGAGGTCTAGATGGGATCTGGACACAGGAAATTCGCAATTCATGATGGATTTCCTGACAAGGATTATGCAACAAGATAATTTCCTTGCACAATCCAGAGGCATATCATTTTGACGTGGGGAATCAAAACGGGACATATATAGGTGTAAAATAATGGGCAGGGGCAATGGCTGCGGATGGATGATACCACTTATATGTATATATGATGATAAAAATAGACTCGCTTGTAAATACATATCAAGATGTTACGATCTGAATATCAATTGAGGAATCTCACTCCCCAAGAATATCCAAGGTCTTCATAGACGAAATCTTCATTAGAAATCAAGTAAGATATTGCACTAAACGCAGCCGTTCATGTACATACTATAAGTTCTAATAAAGATGAAACTTCATGTTAGGTAGTTCTGGGATTAGATGATAAATTTACGAGCTGGGCTGTTGAAGCTGTGATTCAAACACTAAGCATCATGGTTTAAAAACGTCAAGTTGACTGAAACATATGAGATTGTGCTTGGTGATGGCCTCAATGTCTATTGTCAAGTGTATGTACAACTTGCATCGTGCTCTTTGTCGTCCCCGCCTAGGTGATACTCTATCTCGGCCTGCTTCCCGTAGCTTTACTCTCAACCAATCGCCATAACTTAAGCCTTGGGCTTCTTGGTTTGCCAGACTATATTGCACACGTTAGTATATGATATCATGACCGTCTAAGCAGTCGGGTGAAAGGAAATAACGCACCGGCAATGCCAACGGGCGCGAAGAAACCGGTGAACATGTAGCCCCAGTATCGCAGAGCGAAGAACCGGGTCTTGGTGTTGAAGGGCAAGTTCGAGCGGGGGCCCTCGGAGTAGTGGTACGGAGAGAGAGACGGGTGCGGGTTGCGTGGAAGGCCCGGCGGGTGATCATTGAGGTGATGCGCGGGGCGGCACGAACGGCGGGTTGGGCGACCATCTGAGCGTATCAATTAGCTTTTTAGAGATTCGTATATGAGGTTAGTAGTATATAATTTACCTTGACTATAGAGATTGTGTCGGTTTTGAGGAGTGGAGAGAATGTTTCTTTTATGTACTACAAAGCTTCGAGCCTTTGATTAAAACTTGGAATCATCGGACGATTCCCGTAGCTGCGGCCTTGACCCGAATCACGGTTAATCCTCGGCCCGTGTAACAATAGCGCAAGCTGCAGCTGCCGCTAGGTACTAGGGTACACAACTGCACTAAAGGTAGGTCCTCCACTTGACCGCCTGCCTTTTTCTTTTATCATTTCTGCTGTCCCACTCCTTGCTTGATTTTTCTGCCACGGCCCGGTTTTTTTGTTTTCTGCTGCTATCTCCAGAAAAGTTCACGTTCTCTTTTACAAAAGTACCCATCAAACTCTTTACAGTTTGGGACATTATTTAATCCTTAATACTGGTTGGAACCGTAAGGATTCCTTTAATTTTGTCGGGAAACCTAGCGCTATAAACCTTCACGAGCGTTTCTCTCAATTCTCGCCATTAATTGCACCATTATTGATTGAGTGACGATCTAGTACTCGTTCACAATGGACGAGCTCTTCGACGTTTTCGAGGACCAGCCCGCCAGCAAGGTCAACTCGGAACCTCAACCTTCTTCGGTCGCGAAACCACATAAATCCAAGAAGAAGAGCAAGAAGCGGAAGGCCGACGGTGGCATGAAAAATGGATCTACTGCTGCTGTATCTGTTCCATCCGTGCCAGAAGTCGACATGACGGATATTGCGCCTACGTCGCCAGAGGAAGACGATGCTGAAGATGCCGCGTCCGATAACCAAGGAGATAGCAAGCGAAGACGTAAGAACGACGTCGCCGAACCCGTACTAACAGATACATTTGAGACGGCAGAATCAAGAGAAGTCGCGGCGGCAGCTGGATTTGCCCCGACTAAAGACGAGGCGTCGCTAGTTCTGTCACACAATATTCAACATCAAGTCGCACTTCCCCCGGATCTCGATTACGAATATGTCCCACTATCTGAACACAAACCGCCCGAGAACCCTGCACGAACCTGGCCATTCACACTTGATCCCTTCCAGCGCCTCTCGATCTCCTCTATTGAACGAGATGAGAGTGTCCTAGTGTCGGCGCATACGAGTGCTGGAAAGACTGTCGTAGCCGAGTATGCCATTGCACATTGTCTCAAGCAGAACCAGCGTGTCATCTATACTAGTCCGATCAAGGCATTGAGTAACCAAAAATACCGAGAATTCAACGAAGCTTTTGGCGATGTTGGTCTCATGACTGGTGATGTTACCATCAATCCTACTGCCAGTTGTCTCGTCATGACAACTGAAATTTTGCGGTCGATGTTGTATCGAGGGTCCGAAATAATGCGAGAGGTTGCCTGGGTCGTTTTCGATGAAATCCACTACATGCGAGATAAATCGCGTGGTGTAGTATGGGAAGAGACGATCATTCTCCTTCCCGATAAGGTCCGATATGTGTTCCTATCTGCCACCATTCCTAACGCCTTCCAATTCGCCGAATGGATTGCAAAGATCCATCGACAAGCCTGTCATGTCGTCTATACCGATTTCAGACCGACACCTCTGCAAAACTACTTCTTCCCGGCTGGCGGATCAGGCATATTCCTGGTTGTGGATGAGAAGGGCGTATTCCGAGAGCATAACTTCAACAAGACCATGCAGCTAATAGAAGAGCGCAAGGCCGCTGATGCTAATGATCCCGATGGCAGGCAGAAGGGGAAGGGAAAGCATAAGAAGAACTTTAAGGGCAACAACTCTGATAGTCAAGCCGACATTCAGAAGATCGTGAAGATGATCATGAACAAGAATTTCAACCCCGTGATTGTTTTTAACTTCAGCAAGAGGGAGTGTGAGATGATGGCCTTGACAACTTCGAAATTTGCTTTCAACGACGATAGCGAGAAGGCTATGGTACGAAAAGTATTTGTGAGTGCCATTGAGTCCCTATCAGAGGAAGACCGCGAACTCCCACAAATCCAAAACATTCTTCCTCTCTTAGAAAAGGGAATCGGCGTCCATCATTCCGGTCTTCTGCCCATCCTCAAGGAAACCATCGAAATCCTGTTCCAGGAGGGTTTAATCAAAGTTCTCTTCGCAACTGAGACTTTCTCTATCGGTTTGAACATGCCGGCGAAGACGGTCGTCTTCACAAAAGTCTCGAAATGGGATGGCGTTTCTACACGACCCCTAACTCCGTCCGAGTATATTCAAATGTCTGGACGTGCGGGTCGTAGAGGTCTCGACGAGCGTGGTATCGTCATCATGATGATTGATGACAAGATGGAACCGGAAACGGCCAAGAACATCGTTGTTGGTCAACAGGATAGACTCAATTCCGCCTTTTACCTAGGTTATAACATGGTTCTGAACTTACTAAGAATCGATGCCATCAACCCCGAGTTCATGCTGGAGAACTGTTTCTTCCAGTTCCAGAACACAGCTAGTGTCGCTGGCCTAGAACATGAGTTGATGAAACTACAGAAAACGCGAGACGAGATGGTAATTCCGGACGAGGCTACCGTCAAGGATTATTACGGGTTACGTCAGCAAATTACACAGTACACCAAGGACATGCTAGCCGTCATCCAGCATCCCAATTATTGTATTGAATATCTTCAACCAGGAAGACTCGTGCAAATCGCTAATCCAAAGACGGGCAAGGATTTTGGCTGGGGTGTCGTTGTTAACGTCACGAAGCGCAAGGACCCGAAATTTGGCGAGAAGGAATACCCTCCCCAAGAGTCTTATTTCATAGATGTCTTCCTTCGCCTCGACCCGGCTTGCGATCCTTTTGGACCTGCTAACCCCTCGACTGAGATGCCAGAAGGTGCTCGAGCTAGTGATCCTAACCAAGACAGCATCTTTGAAGTCGTACCCTGCATGCTCACGTGTATCAAAGCTCTAAGCCAGATCCGAGTGTTCATGCCTAAGGATGTGACCAGCCGGGAGGATATAGAAGCGGTTCGTAAGCAGACTCTCAAAGCGCTTAAGGAAGTCGAGCGACGGTTTCCCGACGGATTACCTATATTGGACCCCATTGAGAATATGAACATCACGGACGACTCGTTCAAGAAGCTTCTTCGCAAGATCGAAGTTCTAGAGTCGCGATTACTAGCTAACCCACTTCACGGTTCACCTATGTTGCCTAGTCTTTGGGAGCAGTATTCGGCAAAGATTGCCCGCAACGAGGAGATCAAGGCTCTCAAGAAGAAGATCGCCAAGGCGCATTCCATTGCGCAGCTAGACGAACTCAAGTCGAGGAAGCGAGTCCTCCGTCGTCTCGGTTTTATCAATGAATCCGAAATTGTTCAGATGAAGGCTCGTGTAGCTTGTGAGATTTCCTCGACAGATGGTCACGAGCTACTATTGTCTGAGCTACTTTTCAATCGATTCTTTAACGAGCTCTCCCCCGAGCTATGCGCCGCTATTCTTAGTGTATTCATTTTCGAGGAGAAGGTCGAAGCACAGGCTCTGCCCGACGAGCTGATGAAGCCATATACGCAAGTGCAGGCCCAGGCCCGTATCATTGCCAAAGTCAGTCAAGAGAGCAAACTAGAAGTAAATGAGGAGGAGTACGCCCAGAGCTTAAAATGGCAACTTATGGAGACTGTCTATGCTTGGGCGAACGGAAAATCATTTGCCGAAGTCTGGTAAGTAGACTTGATAATGTAATATGTCTTATAAGCTGACAAATACTCTAGCAAAATGACCAACGCCTACGAGGGTTCCCTGATCCGTCTATTCCGCCGACTCGAGGAGCTCCTTCGCCAGATGGCACAAGCAGGAAAGGTTATGGGTAGCGAAGATCTAACAACCAAGTTTGAGGAGAGTTTGGCGAAGATCCGTCGCGATATCGTAGCCGCCCAATCCCTCTACTTGTAACATGGTTCTACCAACAGGCTTTCTTCAACGATTTTCTTCGACGCATAATCATGCAAGGGTAAGTGGATGGATGAGGATTTGATACTCAACTACTTGGAACCTACAATTATGATTCATGGAGTTTAGGGGGAGGGATACCACTTGTTTCGAGATCAATGACAGAGATCAGCCCTAATAGGGTTTCGTTACGCTTCTTCTAAGGCGTAACCATCTCTTGAGACCTTAGATTCTTTAGTGTGTGCTTAGATAGTGAATGGGGGTGTCGTCATTGTTGGCGATACCCAACCCGCTTGCTTGTCTTCTTGTCTTTTGCCAACGTGATGCAGTTTGTCCATTCATCTTCATAATGTAACTGCTCTAAAACGCCCTACCATGATATAATTGCAAATGCAACGCCTTTCTCATGCTTACTCGTAGATCTATCAGTCCCAATCCAGTGTAATAGTTTTAATGCCAGTTTGTCGAGTAATCATTTCTCGCCGGAAATACTCCTAATAATCCCGATCAAAACACTAAACATAACACCCACGCCAACCATAAACCTCCACCGTCCACTCGCCATACCTTCCTCTCGTACGAGCCATCCCGCGCTACCCAATGGCCACATAAACCCCGTCACCACACCGCGAATCATCACATCAACCAAGGCCACCAACCCAACCTCATCGCTATCCGTCCCATTACTCAACCCTCCCGCTCCCCCACCGCTCCCAAGCGCACCCGTAGCCGGCATCGAAGCCCCATTATCATCGATCCACGCATCCTCCATCCTGCGGAACGAATCCGGTGACGGCAACGTGTCCGGCGTAAAACGCGACGCATGGATACTGCGGAACTGCAGGCGCAGCTGGTTTACCTCCGCGGTGGTAAATCCCGCCGACAGCAACCGGTCGAAACCGCGCGGCGCGGCGGACGTGCTGGGGAGAGGCGTCGGAGCGCGCGATAGCGGCGACGAGGAGCCGCCGGATGGGGCCGGCCTGGGCTGCGGCGGCGGCGGCTTCGGACTCGAGTTCCGCGGTCGTGAGACTATCGCCGATGGAGCAGTTTACGTAGATGCGCTGGGGGGGCTCGGGGCGGCCGGGGATGGATTTGCCTTTGGCTTTGCTGGTGCTGTTTCCATCGTAGTCGAGTCGGGATGATGGTGGTGGTGGTGGTAACGGGGCGCGTAACACGGAGCTTAGCGCGGCGGGGTCGGGCAGGATCTTGCCGCCGTGGATGAAGCGTAGGCGGCGCTGGGAGTTGGGCTCTTGTAGGCGTTGGCGGATTAGGTGTTTGAGGGATATTACGGTGGTGAGGGAGGGGTGCGGGATGTCGAGTTCGAGGTCTGGGATGGAGGCGCTGAAGCGGATTGTTAGGAGGAGGGGGGGTTGGTTTGGGGGGAGGAGAGGCGAGGAGGGGGGTTTGAGGTGTGGTTGGGGGGCGGGTGGTGAGGTTGTCATTTTGAGGGTTGTTGGAGGTGGGATGACATTATTTTTTTTATTTTTTATTTTTATTTTTGCCCGACTTTTTAATGTGAGGTCGATTGAGTGTGTGGTTGTAGAAAGGTAAGGTAGTAGAAAGTCGTTGTAATAGTTGCGATGTGATGCGAGGATATCCGACGGGTTGGGTCGGGTTAGGTTGGATTGGTATCCCTGCTAATTGAACTTTATTTGGGCATTAGACTACCTGAATGCTACTAGCGTATTAAGCTTGTTTAGTGGATACCTACCTGTCATTAGAGCCTCAATGGAAAAGCCTATCCTCCAATACAGGTTAGCTACCTACGCAAGCAATCCCGTTATTTTTTTTTTTTTTTAGGAAATATCGTCAGAGCCCATGAGGGGCTTTTCTCCCTAATTAACTTGGATTGATTAATAGTCATAATCGTGGCTACTGTAACGGCCATAACGGACAGTTGGCGTTGCACTATAGGAATCGTGACTACTTATACTTATAGCAATGGGTTTTATAACACGATAAGCGCCAGCTTACCGTGTCTCACGGTGATAGGCCACAAGGGTCGTATAGGGTTAATTTCAGCTATATGCAGCCAGCCCAATATTATATGCAGGTGACAACTGAGATTTCGTATTACGGATATTCTAGTTGCCACGAGATTACCTACCTGACATAGGATTTTTACGATTGGAGTATACATATATATATACCTCCCTACCTAGGTAGGCAATTAATACATTCCTCTTCCTTTCTACTTGTACCTTTGCAGAGTATCTGAACACATGGTTCTTTTGACCCAACAAGAACTTTTATGATTAGACATACATAAAATTGGCCCTCATAGTACCAATTAGTGTCTAGAGCCATACAATTACCAATCATTCCCTAGTATATATTGTGTGAATCGAGAGAGGCGATTTGGGGGCGAAACGAATCGTCCCGATATCTAAATTGTGCCATTATGCCCAAGCCTTTCGCCCTCTTCACCCGCTTCTTCCGCAGGAATAATGAGAAAGGAAAGAAAAAGGAGAAAGCTCAGGCTGCGGATGTGGGGAACATTAATGAACTTTTGAACGCCGAACAACCGTTGAGTATATCACCTAGTGATGATATTGGGGCGCTAGAATTATTTGACTATTGTGAAGCGCCTGACCGCGGAATCGATCTCATCTTCGTTCATGGACTTCATGGATTCCGAGTGAAAACATGGTCTAAGGATGATATCTTCTGGCCAAGAGATCTACTCAAGGATGATTTGAGAAATACTCGTGTGATCACATGGGGCTACGATGCAAATATTGCCAATGCCTCCTCCTATGCAAGCAAAGAGAGCCTCTCCGGTCATTCCAATGCATTACTAAATGACTTGGCTAGGTTAAGGCGAGGAATTGTAAGACTCTACCACAATCGTTCAAATATCATACCATAAGACTAATCGCAAATAAACAGACCAGGAACATCATATTTATCTGCCATAGCCTTGGAGGTCTTGTTGTCAAGATGGCCTTGAATTCCTCTGCTACTTATTTAAGCCCATAAAAGGCATCATACGCTCGCCCAAATCTACGCCGGAACCATTGGTGTGATGTTTATGGGAACACCACATCGAGGTAGCTCTAAAGCAGCCTATGGTGAAATTGTGGCGGGCGTTGCGCGCTTTTCATTCCGCCAACCGAATAAACAGCTTCTCCAGGCTCTGAAGCCTGACCAGGAAGTCCTTGAGAGACTTCGCGATGACTTCACCACAGTCTCGAACAATATGTATATTGTTTGTATTAGAGAGGAGATCCCAACTACACTAGGCATGGTATAACTTCCCCATAAGTGTAACCGCATTTTATTTACTAAAATCAACCCGGATCAGATCGTTCCAGAATCCTCTGCGTCCTATGATGGGTTCAATGTAATTCGAGATTCAATCCATGCAAATCATATGGATATGGTCAAGTTTTCATCAAAAGACGAGGGCTATAGACGAGTACTTGGTCATATTCAAGATATTCTTGATGCTGAGAGCTCTGAGGCTGGACAAGGTATGTCATACAAAAGCTTTCCTTGATCTTGACGAATAACAATTATAAGTTCCAACTACCATCTCTGCTATCTCTTCAACTGGAACTACTTAGTTCTTCAAGGGGCATTCGAATTTTGGTATCTCTCCGCAGAATCCATATGTGATATAAATTTAATCAGCATTTTTTCGTGGAGAAATTTATATAAATGTGACTGTGATGTGGAATTACAATAGTTTCCTATTTATTTATGACCATATGATAGTACGAAAGCTGACATTCACAAGACAGTAAAATACTTGAATCTCGGAAAGACGGTATGTCTATTCATACTCTTTATATGATTTAGGTTTTTTCTAATACGCGACAGCTATACTAGAAGAATTGCGATTCGATGCGATCGATGCTCGAGAATACGGTATAGAAGATGCTTATGAAGACACTTGTTCCTGGATTCTAGATGGCGAATCGGACGAAAACAAAGCATCCGCCAACCCATGTAAATTCTTGTCATGGCTTCAAAGCGACGAGACTTTCCATTGGATTAGTGGTAAAGCTGGGTGCGGGAAATCTACTGTGATGAAGTACGCATATCATGATAAAAGAACTAAAGCGGCGCTCCAAAACTCTCAATGGGCCAAAGACAAGAACTTGATCCTAATGGGACATTTCTTTTTTGAGCTCGGCGACATGAACCAAAGCTCCAGGGAAGGGATGCTTCGAACTATTCTGTACCAAGAGCTGAAAAGCCGACGTGAACTTATTCCGAAAGTCTTCTCCAAACTTGATCTATCTAGACCTGGAGAGTGCCGATTGCCAAAGGATTTTCTCAATTGGAACAATCTTAGAAGAGCGTTTATTTCCATGTTAAACCATCTGCAAGACTCCAGGATTTGCCTTTTTCTGGATGGTTTGGACGAATATCGTATGGCAGACAGAAAAAACGATTACACCGAAGAAGAACTTGATTTAATTTACGAAGACAACGAACAGGATGAATCGTGGGGCCGGAGCAAGTGGATAACCGATGGTCATAAGGAGATCGCCGAATTTATTCATAGTCTCCGGACTGTCAAGAACGTGAAGGTGTGCATTTCCAGCAGGGAGTTGAACGTGTTCGAACAGGAGTTTAGAGACTTCCCCAGAATAAAGGTTCACGAGTACACAGCCGACTCCATTGCTCAATATTGCAAGGGCTTCTTGACCGATAAGGTACCACAACTTTCAAATATTCCAAAACTCGCATCCGAGGTCACCGAAAAGTCGTGTGGGGTATTTATTTGGGTTCGCCTGGTTATTGGAATCCTAATTGACAAATTCAACGACGGTGGCCACGAGCATGAGCTCCATAAAGCCATAGACAGTCTTCCTGAGGGACTTGGTGGGAAAGCCGGTCTTTATATGCGCATGATGGAGAACGTTAGGCGAGAATATCTACCAGAATCGAAAAGACTATTCGATCTGGTTTTAAGATGGTCTGAAAGACTTGGAAGGGAACTCGACATCATAACTTTATTCTCAGCAGAACCTTGGCATTTCGAAGGCTATAGCCAGGATGAATATCCAAGAAAAACTTGGGAAGAATTACGACCAGAGTGTGAAAGGTTGCAGAGACGCTTAAAGGCACGATGCGCTGGTCTCTTAGAAGGGACAACCAGCGTGCAATTCATGCACCAGACGGCAAAGCAATTCCTGTCCCGAAAGTATGTGCAAAATAAATTCTTCTTGGACACCGCTGGGTATGCTATACCTGATGTAGACCTAGCTCTCATGAGCGGGCTTATTCAACGTCTGAAACACTGTTCCGAAGCTGTAATCAACTTCGACAGTTCCATCGATCTTCCTAATCGTAAGGTCGACGACGTCTACGTTCCTAATATTACTAGGGACCTACTCAATTCTATACTTGACTGCGCTAAAATAGAATCTTTCAAAGCACACAATCTCACGAGTGATACCCGCTACTCTTATATAGAGCTTCTTGACGAACTAGATGACGTCGGGGGTAAACTCATAAGGAACAATATTGATAGTTTGGAAGTCTATTGGGCTGAATTCTTTTTTCATGGAACTGATTCTGACAATAACCCAGCGAGGATAGAAAATTTTTGGCAACTTGCATTCTTGAAAGGACTATTTCTATATATGGCAACCAAAATAAAAGATGAAACTTCTAAAGACCGATTGGAATCTTACCTATCACAGTTCCATCGGTACAAGTACATGAAAGATAGGAGTGGCTACTCATGGGTAGATACGTACACTCTCGACCACCTACCAGCCATTTATGAGATGATATTCGAAAAAGGTATTGACCCAAATTGCTTGGACACTGAACGTCCGCCTCCCACAGGCTCATTAAATCGCTACACTGTTTGGGAAATACATCTCCTACGGACCCGAGAAAGTATTGATTATGAAGATGGCGAATATGGCGAATATGGCGTGTGGGCCGCTTTAACAAAGGTTTTCCTCAAGTACGGGGCCGATCCAACGATAAATAGGGCAGAATGGGAGCATCATATGGTTGAGGATATCATTAAATATTTTTGTTCGGATATTCCTGAGTTAGAAAAAGAGAAGGGCGAGCTATTGAGGCTATTAGATGAAGCGAAGGAAAGATGGAAAGCTAAGTAGCTCTGTGTCCGAGTTTTACGAGGCTACTTATATCAACCCCTTTTCTTTGAAAGGTCTTGTTCTTAGTCATGATAAGAAAGGCAATCGTAATCCGTTATAAAACCTGTGTAGCTATTTGTAAGAGGGTTTAGCTTGTAAAAAACGATGAGGTGCAAGGTGTGGGAGTTGAACGTACGGTTAATAAAAAGATGGGTAAAACTCGGGGTATTGTGTTACTCTAGTTATATGTAGGCGCTAAGGTTTGAAGTGCTCGGCGCGGAAATGACGTGACGCTTTAGCTGCAGCTGCTCAAACCAATTTGGAGTACATAATCGCAGTTCCAATTACAAGACGCCGATTACGGAACAGTCAATTATGAACTCTCTGTAAGGGAAGAAGAGTTATCATAGAATAAAGTAAAAATACACTAGAGAAATACCCTTCTACTTTTAATATTACTACCTAATTGACAAATCAAAATTATTTACTTTGGGGAGGCATAAATGTGCACGTGAGATATTTGATATACCGGCGCACGTTTGCATACATGCATTGCTTCACCCGCCTAAGATCTTGTCCTAGATTATTCTACCCAAAGATACCCTACATCAGCAGCGCAAATCAGGGATTCGCTACCAGAAACCGGGGGTTTCATTCAACAACTATGTCAGCACAACTCCCACCTAAGCTTAAGCCTGCCGCTCGGGTTGCAGGTCAAAGACAAGATGTCTGGTCTATCGTTAACGAGGCGGCGGCGGCCTCTCCAAAGCAGCCTATCGTGAACATGGGACAGGGCTTCTTCGGCTATAACCCGCCGCCTTTCATTATCAATGCTGCCAAGTCGGCTTTGGATCGAGTAGACTGTAACCAGTACAGTCCTACGAAGGGTAGGCCGCGACTAAAGAAGGCTATCGCAGATGCCTACGAACCCTTCTGGGGACGGAAGCTCAACCCGGAGACTGAAGTTACTATCACCACTGGAGCGAATGAAGGCATGTTGAGTGCATTCATGGCTTTCATTGAACCTGGAGATGAGGTCATTATTTTTGAGCCGTTCTTTGACCAGTGAGTCATTTTCCCTATATCAGGACATTCCGTTTGCCAACTATGGTCTAGATACATCAGCAACATTGAGATGCCCGGTGGGAAGATTGTATACGTCCCTCTACACCCGCCAAAAGATGGAGCGACACGTACTTCGTCGTCTGCTGAGTGGGCCGTCGACTTTGAAGAGCTTGAGAAGGCTATTACGCCCAAGACGAAAATGATTGTCATCAATACGCCTCGTTAGTATCTCACCATTTGAAGTTAGTAAAATGAAATAGCTAACTCACAACTATCCTAGATAACCCTGTTGGCAAAGTCTTCTCAAAGGAGGAACTTCAGAGAATAGGAGACATCTGCGTCAAGAACGAGATTATCATTCTCTCCGACGAAGTGTATGACCGCCTTTACTACACACCCTTTACGAGGATTGCAACACTCTCGCCTGAGATCGAGAACTTAACACTGACCGTCGGCTCGGCTGGTAAAAACTTCTATGCCACCGGATGGCGAGTGGGTACGTTAGATATACAATTTCTGCTCAAAACCTATCACTAACAACACATAGGCTGGCTCATGGGTCCCGAACACCTGATCCGCTACGTCTCCGCGGCACACACGCGCATCTGCTACTCGTCTGTTTCGCCATTACAAGAAGCCTGCGCAGTTGGTACGTCCAACCCACTCCCCTATATTTAAACACGTGACATGTGTATTAACCCACTCTAGGCTTCGAACAAGCCGAAGCCGAAGGATTCTGGGAAGAGACGGTCCGGGACATGAAGAGCAAGATGAAGCTATTCAACGAAGTATGGGACGAGCTAGGCCTGTCGTACACAGACCCCGAGGGCGGGTATTTCGTGATGGTGAACATGCAGAAGGTCAAGTTGCCAGAGGATTACCCGTTCCCGCCACACGTAGCAAGTCGACCCCGCGACTTCAAGCTCTCCTGGTTTCTGATCCAGGAGGTTGGTGTGGCTGCTATCCCGCCTACGGAGTTTTACACCGATTCCAACGCGCATATTGCGCAGGATTATATCCGTTTTGCGGTGTGCAAGGAGGATCATATTTTAGAGACGGCGAAAGAACGGCTTAGGGGATTGAAGAAGTACATAGAGGGTTAGAGGGTGGAGTTTGCCAGGAGATGCGATAGATTTGCAAGGCGATAGATTTATCAAGACACGTTAAAGTTAAAGTATGGCTATGAGTGTTTAGGTGCTGAGTGAACCCTGCGTTTATAATATTCGATCGACTAGTTACCTTAGGTAGGTAGTCATGCTCATACACCTGGTACTCATTCGGCACCAACAACTACGAGAGTATGGCACTAATAACTGTAATCACGAATGATTCATATGTACCTATATGTGTATATATATCCCTCTACAGTATACTATACCACAAATATTTACAGAAACTCTAGCCCGCTCTATACGTAACAAAGAAACCTTCTTCCTCTCCCCATTCTTCACTCCCCAATACAGACCACCTACTTACTCCCCTCTACCAACCGCCTACTTAGCGATCTGCAAACTCTGCGTATGGCAATAATGCAGCAGCCCCTGCTTTCCGAGCTCTCCACCAAAACCGCTAAGCTTCCAGCCGCCGAAGAAACCGGCGTGGTGAGGCCGCTCGAACTGGTTGATCCACACGGTTCCCGACTCGAGCTGTCGCGCGATGCGCTGCGCGCGGTCGAGGTCGGGCGTGTATACTGATGCGCCGAGCCCGGCGTTGTCTAGGTTTGCGCGGGCGATTACGTCGTCTTCTGAGGACCAGGACATTACGGGGACGATGGGGGCTGGGGAGGGTTAGGGTTAGTTGAGTGTGTTTCTTGGATGTGGAGGATAATGAAAAAAAAAAGGGGGTATGGGAATGCATGAGTAAAATCTCATAGCTTACCGAATTGTTCCTCCCTAACAATCAAGGAGTCCTCAGGTGGTTTCGAGACAATAGTCGGGGGCAGCCAGAACCCCTTCTTAGTCGGCCGGACCTCGCCGCCCGTAACGATCTTATACCCGTTCTTCTTGCAGTCCTCAATGATTCCCACCGCACGCTCGTAATTAGCGCGGTTCGACAGCGGGCCAAAAGCAACGGACTCGTCGTCTTCCACGGCGAATTTCTTCGACTCCTCGACGAGCTTCTCCAGGAAGCGGTCGTACAGGGACTCGTGGACGTAGATGCGCTTGGACGCAACGCACACCTGGCCGGCGTGGAACAGAGCGCCGGTAGTAACCTGGGGCACGACCTTATCGAGGTCGACGTCGTCGCACACGATGCACGCGTTGTTGCCCGCGAGCTCGAGAATCACTTTCTTTAGGGTGCCGGCGCAGTTGCGCAGAATGCGCTGGCCGACGGCGATGGTGCCCGTGAAGCTGATGTGGTGGATGCCCGGGTGCAGGGTCATCAGCTCGCCGAGATCGGCGCCGCCGTTGATGGCTTGGAAGACGCCTGGGGGCAGGACCGACTGCGCTAGCTCGCAGAACTTGAGCAGCGAGTATGGCGTGAAGGGGGATGGCTTGATGATGCAGCAGTTGCCCGTGGCGAGCGCGGAGACGATCTTCACCGTGGAGAGGATTAGTGGGAAGTTCCACGGGGAGATGGCGCCGAGCACGCCGATGGGCGCGTGGGTTGCGATGATCCGGATTGTGTCGTCTTCGTATTGGAGCTCATCTTCGAGGGTTACGCTTTCTTGATGGGTGTGTAAGTCAGTGCACGATAAAGGGGGAGCGGGCGGTGCATACTGTAATACTCGAAATGCCATGCCGCCCTCTCAACATCAAATTTCGACATGAGCCTAGACTTGCCAGTTTCTTTCATCTGGACCTCGGTTAAGATATCTAGGTTTTCTAGAATGATGTTGGCTACATCGTGAACGGCCTTCTGGCGCTCGGCCACGGTGCTCTTCTTCCATGTCTTGAAAGCCCGGTTGGCCGCCTCGACGGCATCGTCCAGGTCCTTTGACGATGCGATGGGAGCGTCCCAGAGAGGCTCTTCTGTGCGGGGATCGATAACCTGGTGATGATCCTTGGAGGTGCGGGGCTTTCCGTCGATGATGTTGTAGAATTGGAAGGCGGATTGCCCATTCGAGCCGTTTGTCTCAAGAGAAGGCATCTTGGCTTATAACGGCAACAGTAGCTGTACAAGGCGCGTGTTCCGTATATCGAATAAATAACCTGATCACCACATGCAGCGAGTAGAGAACACAATAATACAGAGTCGTAAGGAAAGGATAAAAGTATCTCTACTTTAGCCACGTGGGCAAAGCAGACAGATTGCCATCTATCCGCATGGCTATTTTGCCCATATATACTACCGGTATGCAGTAAGGTAGGATGAGGGGTTAATAATGTTTGAATGAATTGCCGGTTTTTAGGGCTGGTACACTCTTCCACATGAGGGTAAGACCCCGGGAAAAGTCCCCAAAAGCTCTCTAGGGTAGGATGATCTCGACAATATTTGGGGTTCTTCTGGGCTCGAGTTAGCGATAGCTTGTGATATACTCGGTAATACTAATGTTACAACATCACGAAAATAATAATAGTGATCCGAGGTAATAGTTCAAATTAACTAGTTAGATCTTAAAAGTAATATTCAATTGTTTATAAAAGTATGCTATGCGGTGTCTGTCATGCTGATCTATACTGTATTAGTTGACGAAAATAGTTGAACTTGACTATAAAATCAGTCAAGACCGAGAAAATTAGTCGAAACGTGATCAACAGTTAGAAGTTCGGCAACTGTTTGGCGCGCTCTTGGCTTCTGTCTAATCAGATCCAGACCCTTTAGTTTGCGGGGTGACTAGGAATGTCCCCTGTGAGGTGGAAGCGGCTTAGTTATAGTTGAAGTTGTATAACTTTGTAGGAAACGAAGGATCTTATAGTTTCCCTTTAGACTAAGTTGGGTAACAAGCTATAATACAATGACGTACTAAACTAGTCGTGACCTCCGAGTATTTCGAGAGTGAAGCTAGAAAGAAAATATCGCGGAAGTCGGAGTCAGCCGAAGTTGTGGATACGTAGCTGGATCCTTAGATAAGGCTAACGACGCTACGTAATACGTACATGTAGCTCTACAGCGATAAGCTAGTACCCCGCAGCTGACCGGTTTTAGTTAGACCCTAGGAAATCTCGGGTTTATACTCTCCTAAGTTGCATATCTCAAACCCGTTGTGACTTCTTCATCATATCTGATTCGATCGATTCGATATGACTTTCTTCTAATTCGCCCCTCCATGTCATATGTATCAAATGGCGGCTCAGCTATCAGCTTTCCGTTTGTCATTACTGGTTCACCGAACCTCTAGATTGGGTACCGGCGAATGAAAGACGAGTCGGACTTTACATAAGTCACGATAAACGTAGATTGCCACCCAACTAAGGTATAGAACTTTAGAAGTGCAACACTTGTTCTACTTGTTCGCAACATAGTTTAAACTATCGTATTCTCTTCTCACTGTCGTCCCGGTAATTTACTCAAGCTAAAAACTTGAAGACTTATTATTTCTCTTTCCCGACCTCGGTAGTCCAATTGGTAATAACCAATAACCAAGTCGACATATAGCAATATCCATCATTGTCTCAGATACCCATGTGAAATATCAACTTTGCGGTATCATCAGTTAAAGCTACGGAATTAAGGGGGGAGTTTTGACATCATGGCTCCAATTGCCATCTCCCCCGAAAGAGACCCGGCACTACCAGGTGGGGAATCCGGACTAACTGGGTGTACGATGATACTATTCGTTTCTTCCTTAACGGTACTCGAGTGGTTCTCGACGAGATCGACCCGGAAGTTACCCTGCTTGAATACTTAAGAGGAATAGGTTTAACTGGAACAAAACTGTAAGTCCGGACTACGTTTGACTATGTCAGATTAACCAATGCTGATAGCTAGAGCGCAGGGGTTGCGGTGAAGGCGGGTGCGGCGCCTGTACAGTCGTAGTGAGCCAATATAACCCGACAACCAAGCAGATATACCATGCTAGTGTTAACGCCTGTTTGGCACCACTCGCCAGTGTAGACGGCAAGCATGTTATCACAATTGAGGGCATAGGAAACGTTAAGCAACCCCATCCGGCACAGGAACGTATTGCCAAGGGCAATGGAAGCCAATGCGGATTTTGCACCCCGGGAATTGTTATGAGTTTGTATGCTCTGTTGAGAAATAACGAGAGCCCTACAGAACATGACATCGAAGAAGCTTTCGACGGTAACCTCTGCCGATGTACTGGCTATCGCCCAATCTTAGACGCCGCTCAGACCTTTAGCGCCGGAAATGCGTGTGGTAAAAGCACTGCGAATGGCGGCTCGGGTTGTTGCATGGAAAACGGCGACGGTGCGAATGGAGGTTGCTGTAAGAGCAAGGATCTCAGCGATGGACAGCCCATCAAAAAATTCACGCCGCCAGGATTTATCGAATACAAGCCAGACACCGAACTCATCTTCCCTCCATCACTGAAGAAACACGTATTTAAGCCTCTGTCCTTTGGAAATAAAAGGAAGAGGTGGTATCGACCCGTTACGGTAGAGCAGTTGCTGGAGATAAAAAGCGTCTATCCCAATGCGAAGATCATCGCGGGAGCACGGAAACGCAAATTGAGATCAAGTTTAAGGCTTTGCAATATCCAGTTTCGGTATTCGTCGGAGATATCCCCGAGCTGCGGCAGTATTCTTTCAAGGACGACCATCTTGAGATCGGCGGGAACGTCGTACTCACTGACCTTGAGAATATCTGCCAGGAAGCCATTAATCATTATGGAGAAGCAAAAGGCCAAGTGTTTCAAGCCGTGTACAAGCAACTCAAGTACTTCGCTGGACGGCAAATCAGAAATGTCGGTACCCCTGCTGGGAATTTAGTTACAGCTTCGCCCATCTCTGATTTAAATCCCGTATTTATGGCAGCAGACTGCGTTCTAGTCGCTAAATCTTTGAATAAAGAGATTGAACTACCTATGGCATCATTTTTCAAGGGTTATCGCAGGACAGTCCTAGAACAAGACGCAATTCTTGCATCTATCCGTATTCCCGTAACCCGCGAGAAGGGAGAATATTTCAGAGCCTACAAGCAGGCAAAACGCAAGGATGATGATATTGCTATTGTTACAGGAGCGTTACATGCCAGGCTAGACCAGAAAGGTGTCGTTGAACATTGCAATCTGGTTTATGGCGGCATGGCGCCCTCTACTGTCGCAGCAAAGAAAGCTAATGAGTACCTCAGGGGCAAATTATTTGCCCATCCCGATACGCTGGAAGGTGTTATGAATGCGCTCGAGTCCGATTTTGATCTCGTGTTCAGTGTTCCTGGAGGCATGGCTTCGTATCGGAAGTCACTAGCACTTGGTTTCTTTTACCGGTTCTATCACGATGTGTTGTCAGGTATTAGCATAGAAAGCGAACACGGTGATAGCCAAGCCGTTGAGGAGCTTGAAAGAGCTTTATCATCTGGCTGGAAGGACCACGAGGCAACTTCCGATTACATTAAGGGGCCCTTAGGGAAAGCCGATAGCCACGTGGCGGCTCTGAAACAGAGTACAGGGGAAGCGCAGTATACAGACGATATCCCGCCGCTCAAGAACGAACTACACGCATCTATAGTGTTGTCTACGAGGGCGCACGCAAAGATCAAATCAATTGATTATTCCGCGGCGTTAGATATCCCAGGTGTAATAGATATCGTCGATAAGGATGACTTGCACAATCCTGAACACAACAAATGGGGTGCGCCTAATTTTGACGACCTGTTCTTTGTCGAAGATGAGGTTTTCACTGCCGGCCAGCCAATTGCCGTTGTTTTGGCTACCTCTCAGGCAAGAGCAGCACAGGGAGTCAGGGCCGTGAAGATCGAGTATGAAGATCTCCCTTCCATTTTCACTATTGAAGAGGCAATCGAAAAGGAAAGTTTTCATAAATACTTTCGGTATATCAAGAAGGGAGACCCGGAAGAGGCTTTTGAACATTGTGACTATACCTTCACAGGTGTCGCGCGAATGGGAGGTCAAGAACACTTCTACCTCGAAACAAATGCGTGCCTAGCTATACCCAAACCTGAAGATGGTGAGATGGAAATTTGGACCAGCAGTCAAAATCCCACTGAAAGGTATGTTTTCTCATGATATTTAACATTAGGGGTCTGATAAGCTAACTTCCGCCTAGCCAAGCGTACGCATCTAAGATTCTTGGTGTACAGTCAAATAAAGTGGTAGCTCGCGTCAAGCGTCTTGGTGGCGGCTTCGGCGGGAAGGAAACCAGATGTGTCCATCTCAGCACTATTTGCGCGCTAGCTGCACAAAAGACTAAACGGCCTGTCAGATGTATGCTCAACCGAGATGAAGATATGGCATTATCTGGTCAGCGGCACCCTTTCCTCGCCAAGTGGAAAGTGGGTGTGAATAAAGACGGCAAACTCCAAGCTCTTGACATGGACGTCTTCGCTAATGCTGGCTGGTCATTCGACTTGAGTCCCGCCGTGTGCGAACGCTCCTTAAGCCATAGCGATGGCTGCTACAAGGTCCCAAATGTTCACGTTCGCGGGCGGCTGTGCAAGACCAACACTATGTCTAATACGGCCTTCCGTGGCTTTGGGGGGCCTCAAGGCTTATTCTTTGCCGAGTGCTACATGTCTGAAGTTGCTGACCGCCTCGGTATACCAGTTGAGAGGTTCCGGGAAATCAATTTCTACAAAGCTAACGAGGAGACTCACTTCAATCAGCCCCTTCAAGACTGGCACGTACCTCTGATGTATAAGCAGGTTCAGGATGAATCGGACTACGCCGCCCGCCGCAAAGCCGTTGAGGTATTCAATACGGAACACAAGTGGCGTAAACGGGGTTTGGCGCTGATTCCCACAAAATTTGGTATATCCTTTACCGCTCTTTGGCTAAACCAGGCCGGGGCCTTGGTGCATATCTATCACGATGGATCGGTTCTAGTCGCGCACGGCGGTACAGAGATGGGTCAGGGGTTGCATACTAAGATCATCACAATTGCAGCGCAAGCGCTTCAGGTACCGAAAGAGGACGTGCACATTTCGGAGACATCCACTATGACGGTGGCAAATACGTCCCCTACCGCCGCCTCGGCGTCGTCCGATCTAAATGGCTACGCCGTCTGGAATGCCTGCGAACAGATCAACGAACGGCTTGCGCCGTACAGGAAGAAGTTGGGACCTCAAGCTACCATGAAGGAGCTTGCCCACGCAGCCTATTTTGACCGTGTGAACCTAAGCGCCAATGGATATTACAAGACACCGGAAATTGGGTACACGTGGGGTGAGAATACCGGAAAGATGTTCTTCTACTTTACTCAAGGCGTTACGGCGGCCGAGGTTGAGGTTGACTGTCTGACTGGTACTTGGACGTGCTTGCGCGCCGATATCAAGATGGATGTAGGACGGTCGATCAACCCCTCAATCGATTACGGTCAGATCGAGGGTGCGTTCACCCAAGGTCTTGGTTTGTTCACCATGGAGGAGAGTCTATGGCTTCGTAATGGTCCGATGGCGGGTAACTTATTTACGAAGGGTCCGGGTTCATATAAGATCCCAGGATTCCGCGACATACCTCAGGTCTTCAACGTCAGTTTGCTCAAGGGCGTGACATGGGAGAACCTGCGCACCATCCAGCGTAGCAGAGGTGTTGGCGAACCACCCCTATTCATGGGCAGTGCGGTATTCTTTGCGATCCGTGACGCACTCAAGGCAGCGCGTGCGGACTACGGAGTGAAGGCTAAGTTGTTTGCACAAGGGGGCGAGGATGATGGATTGTTAAGGCTCGAGAGCCCAGCTACTCCCGAGAGGATCAGACTTTCGTGTGTTGATCCTATAATGGAGCGGGCTAGAGTGATGCCGAAGGAGGGTGAGAAGAGCTTCTTCGTTGCTATTTAGGCGTGTAAAGGTATTCGAGATTGCAGGTCTTTAGACGAGCATAATGAGATGAACGTATATAGCGTTATTAGCTTGCGTTTTTATTCTGCGGGCCAAGTATTGAGCTTTAGCATAGTTGACACGAGCAATAAATCGACGAATTAGAACGTCTTCTCCTTGATTTATATAGTTTCTGACTGTCCCTTTTCAGTATTCTATTGTTTTGCCGTATGATTATAAAGTAAAAACTTAACAATCGACAGAAATGTTTCTTCAGTCAATACTACTAGAACTAGAGTTCTCAAGACAGTCTTAGTCCTATACGACCCACACTTGGAATTAAAGCCGAAAATGAAACTACCGATTATAAATAATAAACGATCTCGGTTAGTTTCCATGACGTTTTGATATCATTTAGATATGTTAAATATGCATCCGCCATAGCTTATAAATGCCCCGAATACACATTTCGATTTGTAACCAAATATAGAATATAAATATTCTCCTCGCCAGTACCTTTACAGATTTGCAATATAATATAAAATAAAAATAAATAACACCATCATCATCATGCCCACGATAGCAATAGCAGGCGCATCCGGCAAACTCGGCGGCGCAACGCTCTCCGCGCTGCTCGCGCACAACCTCATCCCCGCATCCTCCATCATCGCACTAACTTCCTCCCACCCCGGCTCATCTACATTCACCGCCCTAGCCGCCACCGCCCCGGGGCTCCAAGTCCGCCACGCCAGCTTCGAGGACCCCGCGTCGTTCGAGCAGGCGCTCCGCGGCGTAGATCGGTTTTTCTTAGTGTCGACGCCGCATATACAACTAGACTTCGACCGCGAAGTTCAGGGGGAGGAGAAGACGACAACGACGACGGCAGTGGCAAGAATAAGAAGAGAAAGAAGTGGGTAGAGGTATCTGACGGCGACGGCCGCGAGCGCCACCACCGCGTTGCTATCAATGCGGCCGTGAAAGCTGGTGTTAGGTGTATATACTACTCAAGCCTAGCATTCGCGTATTCGCCACAGACCAGATCCGGCACGAGCACCAGCAAAGCGGCCGTTATGCGCGCGCATCTGCGCACGGAGGCGTATCTGACGCGGCTGCGCGACGGGAAACAACTCGACAGCGTGACGGTTCTGCGCGAGGGCTTGTACGCCGAGTCCTGGCCGCTGTATCTGGGGTACTTTGCGGCGGACGGCGCGGACCCCCGGCGCGAGGTGCTGCTCGCGGGCGACGGGAAGGTCAGTTGGACGGCGATCCGGGATTTGGGGATCGCGAGCGCGGTGGTTCTTGCGGCGGAGGGGGGGTCTGAGTTTGATAATGGCTTGTTTTACTTGTCTACGCGGGCTAGGACGGCGATGGATATGGCTGAGGTGGCGGGGCTGGTGGGTGCAGCGAGGGGGGGGAAGGAGGAGGAGGAGGTAGTAAGTGAGGGTTGTGGGGAGGGACGAGCACGAGAGGTATTATGTGGAGGAGAAGGGGTTGGATGAGGCGGCGGTTCGGTGGTGGGCTAGTACGTATGAGGCGTTGGAGGAGGGGGAGTGCGAGGTTGATGATGGGATGTTGGAGGAGCTGTTGGGGCGGGTGGGGGTGAAGCCGGAGGGGATGGAGGAGGTTGTTAGGAGGATGGTTAAGGGGTAGGGGAAAGGGGAAAGGAGGTTAACGTAGAGAGAGAGAAAAGGAGAGAGAGGGACAGGACGAGAGGGTTGGTGTTATTGCCGAGCATGATTCTAGATGATGGTTAAGTTTAGGGGACAAGATAAAAATCGGTGTCGAAGAGACTATCGGATTATCTCGAGGTAAATAGGGGGCAATATATCTTGGATAGAACTACATGCAACACCCTCCAAGTCTACCCGGCAGTAAGATTCTACTCAAGTCGAAAAGTAAAGTCGACAACAACAACAACAACAACATCATCATCATCACCTCTAGTCTAAAACTCTCGTCTCTTCATACAATTTATTCACTACATAGCAAACAACACCAAACCAAACCAAACCAATTAAGTGCGGATCCACTCCCAGCCAATAAACCCACCATCCACCCGCCCACAACCCGCCGCCGCTAATATAAAAAACACCATAAGTCACGACAACGGTCAGTCCGGTATAGTGTAACGGCTAACATACCTCGTTTTCACCGAGGAGCTCGGGGTTCGATTCCCCGTACCGGAGACATTTATTTTTGCAATTGTTTTATTTTATATCTTTTATTTTTTTTCATCCTAGGCAAACCCTCCTCCTCCCTCATAGGATCATGTCCCCAATTCTTCAAGCTCCTATCACTCTTACTCCCCGGATCCCGTTTCGCCATGTCCTCCTGCGCAAGATGCCGCTTACAGTACGCGACGACGCGGCGCATGTGGTCGATGTCGTCCTGTCCGTATTTCTGCGGATCTTTATCTGGATTCTTCTGTAAAATATCGATGATCTTACGTCCGCTTTCTTTCGGTCAGTTATGATTTCTTGAGGTGGGTTTATATGTCTGCGTGAGACGGGTCGAACAGGAGAAGAGACATAGGTAGCATGTTGTAGTGGCAGTAAAGGAGAGTGAGAGAAGGACTACCTCTCGTGCCCGATTGTCTCTCCCGAGCCGTCATCCTTGTCCCAGCCCGCTGACTCAGATGACTCCTCTTTGAGCCATGTCTCGAGGTCCGAGGCCGACATGTTGACGAGGTCCCTAACCATGAAATCCCTTATTAGTACTATGAAGGTTCCAGGAAAGATTAACTAAGACTTACTCTATAACAGTCTGCTTGTCTTTCACCATTTTAGTTGTGTTAAGTTAAATCCCTAAGAATTTAGATGGTAAATTCGATGTTAGTGATGTCGAAAGATAGATGCGACGAGGATTTTGCCTGTTGTTGTTGATGCGGAATACTCTTAAGCCACGGCCTAAGGTCAAACTATGTCGAAGACGTCATGACTACGCTCCATTAACTATCGCGATACAGTACTTCTTAAATATGTGTACTCGTGCAGCTCTAGAAGAAAAAGAAAGGAGAAAAGATGGTTATATCAAGAACAATGGCAACATTATGCAGACCAATCGGCAAGTATCAATTATATTTGGGCGATTGATTTACGCCACATCTCTATAGAGAAATGACGTTATAATTATATCAAAAGATTATAAATTTATATAGCTACCTTACGTAGAAATATGAACCGTCACTGCATAGGTCCCAATATGTCTAAGTCAAATAAGCTAGGTAGATATTTGCCTGTTGTCATTTTTAAAACTTACATTTTAATAAGTTGACTTAGCTAGATTCAATCAGCTATTAAAGCTACCTAGGTACCCAGCACGCTTAATGCTATCGACATATTTATGTCCATGGAATAGGAGAACCTTACATAGGTTTTTTGGTGTTATCCACCGTGGAGTTAATTACAGAAGGTCAAGGGACATAGCTAGTTAGGTAGCTGCAGGATATGGCAACGAATATTATGAAGCATCATGAATCCCATTTGAGACTGATTTGCCTCTTTTGAAGCTCTCGTTCCAGGTCGCCCCCATCTTCATGGTAATGTGCCAATGTGAGCGCGTGCGTGATCCACTGCTTACTGAGCTCGTCTTCCTTGGCCCCGTATAGGTCGACACCGTGGTTGAATGCCGTCGTCGTAAACCATTCAACCTCGAGAGACGGGATGGGCTTTTCGCTCTATGGCCATCTTTAGTAAAAATCACTTACCTTCTGTAACACTGTGACCAGAAGGATAACGTACGCCTGCGCATTGCTTCACAAGCCTACATATGTCCTCCATAATCTTTAGGGGGTATTCCGGTTCTGAAGCGAGAGTAACCTTGAGTAAACATCGCAGGTATTTCGCGAGCTTCTCGTTATCGAAATTTTCAAGCGAAAATATTTGGTTTATAATCTTGCGCAGAGTAGAATATAGTACTAGCATCGGTCAGAAAAAGCAGTGCCTCTGCCGTAGCAAATCCGTACCTTGTCCAGGAACAGACTGGGCTCGGAGGACACAATCTGCCATCGCTTGAAATATGGATAGATTATGGCAAGTTTTAGCTTTTAATATGATCTCTGACAAGTCATCCTATGCCTTAAGACAGATAGCCCCTTCAAAGTCGAAGACGAGAAGGGTTGAAAGCTTTATTTGTAGGTCGTTCTTGGACACTTCATCTAAACCGTTTAGCCGAGCCTCTAGTTCTCCGTCAAACCCTTTGACATGATTGCGCATCAAGAGGTAGTTTTGGAGCTGCGTTTCGATTCTGTCTTCAGATCGGGCTAAGGCAATATGTGCTGATGCCATTAGAAAATGACAGAACATCGCGCGTAGTGACAGATCCCCAGCTGCTTGAATTGGTATGTCCTGAGGATATTGAGATATGATTGAAAGGCAGCATTGAAAGATGCGAATACTTTGCCTCGGCTGCCAAATAGTGATGTTTTTGACAGCCAGATTATAGGCATTTTTACTAAACCAATCTAGTTCTTCTACCGTAAATATTTTATCGCCGTTACTATTCCGCGGGTCTCGCTGTATGGCTGGTACGACTAGGCAATTTAGTATAACCCGATAGATCCATGCAGAGAAACTCACCCCCTTCGAAGACTTGGCAGATATCATCTATTAACAAGCTACAGTCAGCATCCTTGCAGTCTTTTTCGTTCATAAGTGATGTCTCGAGACGTATAACAACCCGAAGCAGCGCCGGTAGATGAACAGCATCCGACGAGCTGTATTCGGACTTCTGTATCAAATACTTTAACGCCTCGATCGCGCACATTTTGTCTTCCGCTTCCTGCGCGTCTATGCAGCACGCGTACAGGTATTGAGGATCTTTTGACGAGGCTTCGCTAATGTGTCTTAAACAGTCAGAGGCCATTCCCCGGTCTCCGCACCTTAGAGCTAATTTGTACGCGAGGTATAACGTCATTGGCTCACGTTTAGTTGAATCACTCATAGATTGGAAGATCTCTGCGGCATTCTCCAAGTTGTTTCTCTGAAGGGCGCAACACACCAATTTCCTATTTTCGTCAGACAGAACATATTATTACACACCTAGGCAGGTAAAGCTTACCTAGTGATCTTTGCTGTATTCGCCGGACCCGAATTACGAAGAGCTGGATGCATGGCTACGTAGCACCATTTCTCTGCAATATCCAGCTCCCCTTGATTGAATGAGGCATCAACCCTTTTCCATATAAGCTATTAATAATTAGCGCATGTCCAAAAGGGATGAAGATGTGTTGGGTGGCTGGCTGACCATTTGTATGGCGAGAACAGCAGCAGCTGATAATGAGTTTTTTAGGTTGGCCTCGATATTATCAAATATGGTTCCGAGTTCTTGTATTGTTTCGTGAGTGTCCCGATGCGTTGTTGCTATCTGCGTGTAAAGCACGATGGCTCGTTCAACCCAGGTGTCCTGTTGGGTGGGCAATACTCCCAATGTTATAAATTCGCCGAGAACGGAGGAGGCCAGGCTCGGGCTCTTGTCGTTTAGCTTACGTATATGGTGTATCATAAGATTGAGACTTGATTCTGAGACTTCAGTGCTCCTGATCATCCGCCGAAGGATGCCAGCATATGCATTGCTATCGAATACTTCGGCTGGTGAGCTGAGTAGGAGTTCCAGTCTAAGTAGAAGGACAACAAGTTTATCACCGAGCTCGGATTCAACGTAACAAACATGATTTTCAGCCTTTTTGAAGCCTTCAGTCGTATCTAATTTTAAATAGGCGCGAATGAGCGCCTGGGACACTGCTAGTCTCAACTCGATAACCTCTCTTGGTAGATGCTCGAGGTCTTGGCTGTTGATGAATTCGTAAGCCCGCTCTAACCACTTTACTGCCAGCGAGAAGTTCTGCTTCGCTGTTAAGTCTTTCCCAATCTCAAAAAATGAGTCGGCAAAATTCTCTGCCGATGCTGGGTTTGTAGTATGTTTACAGTCTTGTACCTTTTCGTACAGATGGTCTGCTACGTCAAGGCGGTCTTCTTTCCAGGCCTTCTAGGGTTGTCAGCAGCTGAACGAGGGGTAAATAGTAATATGCGGCTTACCAACACTATACGAAGTGTAAAATACTCTGTCTCTAGCTTCCTACAGGCGTCGGACTCCTCGTCCGGCAGCTTCGCCTGCAGATTCTGCAACAACCCGTTATATTCCGCGGCCTTCTGCAGAACCATGAGCGCAAACTTGAGCTCGCCGTCCACTAGCCAGTGTCAGTAAATCATGCAGCTCTGCAACTGTGGTGGGACAAAGATGCAATATACCAATACAAGATCTGCCGGTTTTGATTGCCAATTTTTCCAAGCGGAGGAGATCACCCGGTGTGTTATGATCACCCCATTGCGCCAGCGCCAGAATTAGGAACGAGAATACCCGGCAGAAAGTTAGGAGCCTCTTTCTCACTGATGATACTTCACTTCCATCTTCGCGTTTAATCTGAACACACCAGTTCCAAAGATCGGTGCCGGCGCTATCTAGTTGTGCATGACGATGCGAGCCGGGAGATTTAAGAGTAGGACTTGATAGCGTTGATCTGATTCTCTAACTCGTCAACTTGACTATTTAGCGCTCGTTCATCATTCTTGCTAGGCAACTGCTTCTGAAGATCATGACAGAAAGCTTAGGGAGTCAGTATACATCCCTAAACGGCACGGAGAATACGGACATATGATAGACTTGATACGCTTATCTCGGGCAGAATGTGACGAATTCACAGAGGTGTCCATGCTGACACACTGGGAACCCGAGGGTCCGATATAGAGAGGCCGACCAATATATTGAGATGTGCTGCAATGTGGCTTTGTTTGATGCAGTTTTGGTGGGTATAGATACTACCTACTAAACCCTCTTGGGGGTTGGTCAAGAAAGATGGTGACGATGACTACATTCGGATCAGTGCGTAAGCGGCGGGTAGATCGGTTAGCGACAAGAAAAAGTCACCTTGAAAGAGTTTCGGATCTCGATAGCTTGCCTACCTAACCTAGGGAGTTTGCTAAAGGGGTATTCACCATGGAAAAAACGGGAGATCTTGAGTCGATTGGTAAAGGGTAAAGGTGGGAAAAAGTATGAAAGCTATTTGGTGGAATTCTATTTGTCTTTGCTCCAAAAGTCTATGGTCAGGTACGAAAAGGTAGTGTTGTACTTTACTTTCCAATCAGGGGAAGTCGTAGCAGAAAGATCCAATAGCACCTTCCAAACCTAGTGGGATACCATCGTTGCTTCCATCTCTCCCTCTTAGTGCCCCGAAACAAATATCTGCACGATAGTACCGCTAATACCGCTAGTAGACATGACGTATCCCCTGAAGCTCTTGGATAAGAATACATCTATCATATCTTGAAATAGCCAACAACGTTTGTAGATTACCTATCACTATGCCATTGATATAACGTATAAGAGGTAATTAATGCGGAAATAATACCTGCTTTGATGCCCAAATAGAAGTTATTCGAATGCCGACCAACATCCTATACCTATAAAGATACGATATGCTTCTAAGAATGCGAAGGGTCATGCGGAAGGAAATTGCCAACGATGAGGCTGGGTCTGTAGAAGTAGAAATGGCAGTTAGCAGTATTCCTATATCTAAACTACTTTGCCTAGGCTGAGGCTCGCTACTCACATCTTGTGATCGTCCCTACGTATCATAAATGAAAAACAGCAGTTAATGATCGGATCGTTCGATCGGTCATCTGGGGTCTTCAAAGCACACGCCGTTAGAAGCGTGTCGTGCGCCGCGTCAAACGCGATAGTGCCAAATTCTTCCCAATACCGTACGAGCGACTCTTCTGTCAGTATTTCGTGCAGCGAAATTTTACCCTATACGTAAAGTTGATTAGCAGACTTCTCGGTTATTACTATTTCAATACTTACATCTCGTAGCTTATCCACTGGAACGTGAATAAGTTCAGCCATCTCCTTGTTGCCCCTAAAGATCTCCCCGGTGCGTCTCCAGCAGCAAGCTGGGACCGCCATAGCTGCGAAGACTCGGTCATATTCTAGTAGGGTCTTCTCGAACCACATCTCTACGTAGACAAGCTCGATGTCTGTAAGTCCCTGCACCTTCTCTCGGAACTTGGGTCGAAAGCGGTCCAGTTGTCGTAGGATCTTCTGCTTCGATGCGGGAGCAATATGGCTATCCATGTACGACGACAACCGAGCGTAGCCTTTGATGTAATTGAACGGCTTCAGAAGGCCCGCATTATATTTGGCCTTCATCACACTATGCATGCGCGCCTCTGGCGTGTCGTTGCCTGATGGATCCGCCGCTTGGAGATAGAATTCACGCGTCTTATCTGCTGAGATGGCACTGGGGCCGGCCTGCTCCGTGCTTGGCGGAGGCATGGAACCTGCCTGCATCGAATTCGTAGATAGAATGTTGCTATTGCTGCCAGCCACGAAGCTTGCCATTTCGGACGGATTAGGTTGCGATTGGTTATTCCTGAAGAGCAGATTCTGGTCTTCTGGCAGGTTCCCCGCGTCATCGAGGAGACTAGTGTTCAGAAAATCATTGAGCAGATTAAATTCGTGGGAGACTTCTGGGGCAAGCATATATTGAGGATGGTAGTGATGCATATCGTGGAATTGATTTTGGGCGGATAGCCAGGCATCAGAGAACCCACCGACTACGAGATCAATTCAGCTTTTTTTCCCCTAGCCAGCACGACGTTCACAAGGGTTTTACAAAACCTACATTGGTTCATATTGCTGCCAGAGCCATTGGCCTGCATGCTGGAGACCGGATTCGGTGACACAAGCTGTAGGGGGTTTGCCTGACCTAGTGCAGCTGCACCAAAACCTTGCTTAGGTCTTTGAGCTGCTCCAGTTCCGTCGAATGACGGTGGTGCCATGGCAGCGGCGCTCTGATCTATTGAATTCTGCGGTAGCTCGGGCTGGATCTCCGACTCTTCGTGTCCAGCCGCACCGGGTGTGCCTTTGAGCTTCTTTGAATCCGGATCCCGGGGCTCATCATGGCATAGATGGCCAATATTTCGCTTGATACATCTCGTGCATGGTCTCTCCTGTTCAATAGGGGTAAGGCCCCGGTTAATCTTGGCTCATGCAAACCTAGGTAGGCAACGCCCCCCAAGCCATAGATACAGAAAAGTAGGAACAGATCTTACATACGAGATCGCAAGTCATATGCTATAAGCCCGGAAATATTGGTATTAGCCAAGTACTTTGTGAAGCCCAACAACACGCACGAACGCGCGCACGCGCACAGATACGCACGCACAAATACTAGAAAAGACTCGGGCGCATCGCCCGTGACATCAGCAACCTAGGCGGTTGCAGTTGGGAAAAAAATAACCCATCCGTATAAACAAGGGGGGAGGGGGCGCCAGCATTTCTACATGCGTAGATACGCAGACGTGGAACCAATGAATTAGAGCGTCTGACAAACTTGCTAAATGAGGACTTACAGATCGACGGCAGTATACACAAGCTGTAGGAACGCGCGACCAAAATTAGCCCACAGGACAGATAGATACGACGAGGACGACATCGAGGTGAGTTAGGGTAATATTGGAATATTTAGAAGAATGGTACGGCATACCATGGTTTACCTTGCGCCTCTTCTTGGGGCTCTTATTGGTATTGTCAGGGGGGGTGGTGGTGGTTGAGGTCGTAGGGGTGTCGTCCTTAGACCTGGCGTCGCTGTCGGGCCTCTTGTCCTTGGCGTGGCTGCCATTGCTTTCCATGACTGCGTCCTACTTGAGATGTTATCGGGACTGGTATATGCGAGAGGCTCCCATTGGGTCCTCGGGTTACGCAATGGACATGTAGTTCGCGGACAATCGAGTTAGCTGCCGGCGGCTTTGTGCAGGACCAAGAGATGATTTGTTCAAGGGGTTCCGAAGAGAGGGCTGCTGGTCGGCGATAGACACTGCTAAGAGGGCGTCTGGGAATGACGGGCAAGATTTGGGGGGTGCGTATCGCGATCGACAAAGAGGAAATCTTGCCGGACCGAAGAGCTGTCGGCGTCCACGTGTGATCCAAGACCGGACACAATCAGGTACTAGATTGATTACCTTTCCTCCTTATCCAAACAAGACAAAGTCTCGGTTGCGATCGCGGCAGAGAACGAGACTTGAGTTGAGAGGTGTGTGTTGAACGTAGACGTGGGTCAAGCTTCAAAGCTAACTTAGAAGGTAAAGCTCAAAAAAATTGTTGCCAAAGTACAAATTTCAAATGTTTTTCTACTAAAATAAATTTCCTCCAACGTTGGCCCAACTTTATCCTCAACGCTCCTCCTTCCTTTGTTTTTTCCCGTTTTGAGTACTGGAAAAGGAAGGAATGAATGACATGACATGAATGGCCTCGACGTTGATTCGGGCAATCACGCTTCAGGCGCAAGACCAACGAGGCCAATAGCGAGGGTCACAAGAACCCGGGTCCATCTTAATCCAGTAGGATGAAGCCATGAGAGCCGAGGGGTTTAGAATTTTACAGGGGCCGAGGGGACTCGATTAGGAGCCGATTAGGAGCTAGAGGGGCGCTTTCGGCATGGTTTATAGTGGGGTTCTGGCCCTTAAGACCGTTGGTTTCCCCCTGAACGCCTTAGCGAATTATAAAGGGAAGGGACTTTTTTTTTTATAGCTACCTAACCTAGACCGTTATAGAACGAATGGAAGCTACAGGTGGAGGTAAAGCACCTGCAAGTAAGGTACCGATCTCTAAGTGGTAACCTTCCGTGCTTTACTCGCCGCTATCATGTCATGTCTAATATCATGTCTAGTGCGGGTTACTACCGGTGACGTCGTGGTTGTGGGTAATAAGAGGTATGTTAGGTACCTAAGTATCGGACTATATAACAGAAGAGGTAGCTACAACTGCAGTCAGCGTCACTTGACCTATTAAGCTTTTTATCTACCTCTTAAATAATTAATCACCTTTAGACAAGTCTAGATTATCATACCCAAGCACACCACCAAGCACACCATCCCTAGGTAAGTAATCAACTTCTCGTGACATTGCACATATGCCAAGCGCCTTTGGTGCGAGACAGTTTCTAAAGCCAAGCCTACGTACACCCCTTGATGAGCTTGGCTCGCATTGACGTTTGTCATTGTTTGGTGGTGAGATATACGACCTTGAACTTACAAGTTTCATTGCCAAGTCTGTTTCCAGAGCATCGGGTGCTTGAATCTGCAAAGCATATGCATCTACCACAGCCAACCTCCATCTCAGGCCAAGCCGACAAACGCATAATGACAACACCTCGACGGCCGAAAGCCGTTTGCATCTGCACGGCTACAGTGTTAGGCACCTGAGCGGTAGACGTCGCCTCCTTGCAGGGCTCGATCGACTTTTTAGAATACTAGCGCCATGTAAAAGTCGATGCTAGGATAACCCATGCCGATGATCAATCCTTTTGATCTCACCTCACGTACAGAAAGAAGTACAACCCACATAGCCGTGTATAACGTGGTACAACTACTTGTTATCCGGTGGAAATACCTTTAGAAACCAGCCAGCGCATTCTTCATTATGGTAACATCAATGCCGCGGATGGGAATACGCCGGAGTAAACGGTTTTAATTTATACGCCCTTGGGGTATTGTAATTCTCCCTGACTGTTTGGGTACTGATATATCGGTAGCCTTCTATCCGAAAGAGAAAGCTCCGCGATGGGCGTCACGCGAGCTCAAGGATTCGCTCACAACTATGCAACTAGTATATGATGCGTCGGCTGATCTTGTTGGATCGCTTTTTAATGTTTTTTTTTCTTTCTCCTGCTGTGTCTCCGATGCTACTATTAAGTTCATCCTGTCAGGGCTGACCACGAGGGTCAAGTTACACCAGATAATTACAATACGACGAGACCATTCTATTCCCCGTTAAGGTACCGGTCCGGTCGTCGATCTACCCGCTTCACCCGAAGCGCCTACCGACTCCGTGGTGCGGTTGTTTATCCCTTAGATACGTATTAACATCCTATTAGATTTAGAGGTACCCCACAACACATCAAAATCCTGCCGTCTGAATTATATCCGTAGCGCATCCTTTATTTCGGCAAATACCTACACAAGATCAGACATAGTTGTATCAAAGTTCAACCATACCGAGTGAGAGACATTCGCGATCCTTTCAATATCTCAGCTACGCTTTTAATAACGAATACTTGTTTATGGTTATTTCGGCATTTAGTGTCTAGGCTTTCAATATCTACAATAAGCCAAAGGACCAATGGTGTCAGTTAATTAGAATGGCTGCTATTAGCCCTAACGTACGCGTCACCAGCTGCACCGTTATTGTACGACATAACTTACCAATTACCGTTTGAGTCGGGTACTTAAGTTTACTTTCCTAACTTAAAGTAGAGATGGCTAAGTTGTCGATCATATTATATAAGTGGCAATACTATAGCGCTTATGAGCAAGTTGTTTTGTAGTACAACGGTGTGTTTTGGGCATACTTAACTAATAGTGCTTACTATTTTTTATACATCTATTACCTAAGCCTTTTGTTTTATTTTATTTTATTTTTCTATTGCTAACCTAAACAATGGCCTGGCAACAAATCAAATCATAACAGATTTACTGCAAAAAGAGATAGCCAATGATTTAGTTTCCGTCCACCAGAATTAATCCATACTTCGTACCACATATAGGCAGTCAGCTTGAACCTGAATTCGGTTCTGTTTACGAAATCCTCTATCCTGTTCAACTATATACGTTTAGCCACGTTGGTCGGCATGAACCTTCTACAATTGTATGCGGTGCATATTACCCCTGATGTAGTGCATAATCGGTTTCCATCCAGATCGTCCTTATTTGTGTCTTTAAAGCTTAGCACTGGCCAGGAGTTCCATGGAACCTCATGACGCGGCATTTGACGTCGTTTCGGCCCTGGTCTCCAGGCCATTCAGCTTTCTAATAGATGCCCTATTTCCCCGAAGTAGCCGAGTCTCTGACCGCTCAATAACAATATCGATACCTGTATGACAGCTAACCTGAGTCATCGCTGTTCTATTAGGTAGCTCGAAGATTTTAGATTTGTAAGATCTCCCGGCCAGGTACCATAATGTTCAGGCAGCCTCTAAGCAGGAGATCTGACCTATTCTACAAGAGAGCTCATGCATGGCTATGATATGCAGTCATCAGCCAGAAGGTCGATATACGTAGGAGGCGCTGGATACTTCTAAATACGGAATACGTCAACGCTGTGATTAATACGAGGTACCTGCAGCAAAATGTAAGCGATTTATCGTACAGCAACCGGGGAAACGAGGTTCTACCATGAAGAGGCGTCCTTTGAATCACCATCCAACACGGTCTTCATTAGCCAATCTTATTTCAGCTACCCACAGCACAGCGAGTAGAATACGATAGCGAGCATCGACGTGGAGCTACTTATTAGAAGTATAGATATCGTGCGTACTTCTAGTCTCTCATCATTGTTAAGTTGGCATTTCACTTGACTTAAAATAATATACTAGGTCCTAAATTTGCACAGATGAGGGATCGAGCCGATCTTACTTATGCCGAACCGACGACCGGGAGATCAAGATGCTTTTAGCCTAATGGAGGTCTTACCTCCGGCTCTAGAATAGGAGCGGTCGTGTTACATGTAAGGTACGCGTGATCCGTGATTGGCTAGTAGCTTTTGTAAAGGGATAAAATAAGGCTGGAGCTACTATTCTGAAGTCAATTAGTCGAGTGCTATCTACGTATACTCTAGAATCTAACGGATATGTTGGTAAACAGATATGCTTCCTATGCTATCGAATGCAGTAAGGATGAACGTTAAAACCGTCGTGTCAATGCAAGGAGTATCGTATCCCACCGTAGGAAATCTAGTCGCAAAAAGTAAAGATTTGAAACCGATTAGACTTGGTATGGAATAGTATATCACACGAGGAACGAAAGTATCATGAGTATATCACCGCTATATTAAGACGATAGAGGGGGACAACGGATCCAGGATATACGCAAAGAGGCTTTCCTTATGTAGAGACATGAGAGATACCTGCCGCTGAGAAAACAGCCTCAACTAAGAAAAGCAATGAAAGATACCGGAATACCATATAACTCACCAAATAGTTTGATTCACATCTACTTAGATTATAAAATCCTATTGTATTTTATTAATCATTACAAGACTCGGACATACAACCATACACCCTCTAACTCAGGTATCTCATCTCATTTTATCATATATCTACCTCTTACCAACTTAACTTTACTTGACCTTACCCATAATAGTCTCAGCGCCCCTCACAACATCCATCTGCGCCGCGCGCGCCTTAACCGCGTTCAACATGCCCCTCTCAAAGTCGTCGCGGGACCTAAGCACCGCTTCCACCCACGTGATCTGGAGGTCCCAATACTTGGTCTTGAAGTCCTGGAACACGTCCGGCACGCTCTCCTTCGGGGCGGTGAGCAGGCCCAAGAAGTCCTCGGTTACGCGCCAGCTCTGCGTGATGTCGTTGCTCAGGTCCGCGTTGGGGAGGGAGCGGAAGTACTCGAAGGCCGTGGACACGTCGTTGAAGATCTTGTCTTGGAAGGGGTCTGTTCGTCGGAATTTGGCGCCTTTGTTGCGCACGCTCATTAGGTACTGTGCTAGGAGCTCGTCGGCGAGGATCTGGATGAAGACGTCGACGAGGGAGTGGTGCAGCACTTGTTGGTAGTCGCCGATGTACTCTTCGATTGTGATTATCATCTGTTTCATCGCGGTCGTCTCGTACCATCGCGGCGTGAAGAATGTCGGCATCACGGCCTTGAAGTCGACTGATATAACGAGCTGGGCAAATTTATTGAGACACCAGGTACTCAGATCGATGTAGCTCTCGCTAAGCGAAGCGATCTCGTTCTCGGCACGCTCCATGTATTGCGGCGTGACTAGCGGTTCAAACTTCTGCTTGAAGCTCGAAAGGTAAGCAAACCGGCCCTCTTCTTCGTTGTCGTCGATGCACGCCATCTGGTCGTTGGCAGTCGCAATGAGCCAATCTTGCAATGCCTGGAAACCCTCTAACTCGGACATCTTGTCTGCCTCGAATATTGCCGCTTCTTCCTCGAGCATCTTCTGGAAAGACTGCTGGCGGCCGCGCAGCCGGAGGAACATGGCGTCAATAACACCCTCGGCGACATCAGTTCTCTGCGAATTCGCAGCCGCGTCGACCTGTTCTCGTAACATGCGCCACATGTCGACCAGATTCTTGGTTCGGAAATAGCCATACTCATCCGTATCCAAATTCGAGCCCTCCACGTTTCGGTCCGCAAAGTCGCGCCTCTCCTGCGCGAAAATCCTCTCGATCCACTCGTCGAGGAATTTGATGATGAGCTGCCGGAAGTCCTTAACCAACTCTTGCTCCCGGTTATCGATCACGTGGGGTCTGAGATCGCTCTCCGAGAAACCGAGTTTCCGCATCTTCTTGTAGTACTTCTCGGGCCAGTTGATGATCTCGAGAGTGTTTGCCGAGCTCGAATCGGGGTCGTCTATCATGCCAACCAGGAAGTCATGCATTAATTGGTGGTATATATCGCCAAATGTCTTGAGTATTTTCCACTTCTTGGGCATCAAGGGTACCATCCCTTGCTTGACGGCGTTAAGATCGTTGAAAAACCACTTCATTATTTTGTCTAGCTTCGTAGGATCGTCCAGGAACTCGCCCCTAGCTTCAGCAAATTGTCCTTCGCAATTGACAGAAATTGCCTTTAGGAATTTCTCCTTATATCCTCTGACCTTCTTGGCACCGTCCGTAATACTTTGGAATCGTGTTGCCATTTCCTTGTGGTCCTTTAATGCTTCCTGTAGAGCTTCGACTCTTTGATCGCTTTTCTCCTCGGCCTCGACGATGATTGCTAGACGGACCACGAGGCTATTGTTATCGGCTATCAAGAGGTTGATCATGTTTAATGCAATGAGACCGACGTGTTCGTCGAACCAGTCTATTGCATCGTCTAACCTCGAAAAGTAGTTTTCTAGTGTGGATTGTAGGCTCGGATCGTCGGCTCGTTGTATCTGTTCCATAGCATCGTCTCGAATATTTCGTAGCTGCGTTAATTCGTAATGAACTGAAAGAAGATTCGCATGTTCTCCTTGTCCTCTTCATCTTCTCTCAACATACTCTCAACCCTATTAAGGCGATCGTTAAATGTCTGGAGATTTTCTACCATGAGTTCTACAGCACCAAAATTCCTGTGGGCCTGTGATACTAAATTTATGCTAGTAAAGTCTTTAATCATATCCTGCGACTCGGAGCAAAGCTTGTCGATCTTCATCATCTCGTCCCTAATCGCTTGTAACGTCTTTTGGCCATCGGTAATACCACTCATACCAGTCTGTGTCATCTCTAACTGATCCCTCAAACCTCCCCTTAGCTGCGAGTCGACGGCAGCTTTCTTGCGCGTGAATTCCAGCTTCAGCGCGGGGATCTTGTCGAGGTCATCTGGATGTCGGAGGAGCTCCGAGAGCTTGACTGGCGGCGCGTCCATGGTGAAGTCGGCGGGGCACCGCTGCGACCGTCATGCGGGTTTTCGTATTTCAGATCATTCCGTAGTAAATCTATGGATGCGCCGCGTTAAGAAAATCAGTTGCGTTCGCTGTTGCTGTCGTCGCTTGTAGTATAGAAGGATTCGTTGGATTACGTGGAAAGTGATGTCTAATTGGCTATGATGCGCCCTCAGCCTGCGAATTGACGTTAAGGTAAACCCTGATATTTCATCTGATAAGCGCATATATATTTATAATATGCAACAATGCAGCCTATTCGGGTAACCACCACTCGTCATAACGTTTGTCTCTCCCTTCCCCCTATTCACAAAGTATAGCAAAGCCAACATTGCTCTTAGATATATCCTACTGAACTGGGTTTTCTCATTACCTATATAGAATATGTTATAACAGGTACACATGTTATATCCTATCTCGGTTGATAATAGCTTCGTTCCATTAAACCCCCAAATATCCTACTTCGACTAAAAGAATCAAGGCCATAATCAAACAGAATATCCATTCCGAAATTATCACACTACAATTTTAAACGCTTTACAAAACAAATATGGCAATATATCATCATTTTAAATATCATCAAATTAGACGGAGCTATTTTTCGAACGCCGTAACCAACCCACGTCACGCACATCACTACCGCTCTTCCGTGAAGAGTTGCTAAGAGCCGGCCTTTCCGTTATATTCCTCAGCTCATCGCGGTGCGGCATCAGCGCCTCGTTAAATGCTTTCGTATTCTCCTTCCCATCCTCTATACGGTGTTTGACTTCCGTCGTTACCGTTATAGCACCTGTCTGATCGCTCTTATGCGGGAATATCTCGTCCTGGCTGCCGTTTTCGCTGATCGCGTCCATCACCGTGGCCGTCACTCGGCTTGTCGTCCCAAACGCGCTCGACATATGTTGATTTCTCATCTTCGACTTCTGTGATTGTATGTACTCTTTGCGGCTCCAACTCTTGAGTGGTATCGAGAGGTTTTTAAGTCCAGAGTGGCCATACGAGCCCCCGCCGGATGAGAGCCCGAGGGCGCTGTTGAGCCCAGGGATAAATGCTGCGACTTGTCTGAGCGAGGGGATGCAAGAGCATATGATAAGCGCGCATATCTCTACCATTGACCATACAAGGGGTTCTGCAAGTTGGTCTGTTATATTGTTACTAACCGACCATCTGCTATAACCATCGAGGTACTTACATGTATCATCATGGCCTATGGACGTAACGTAGAAAATGCGAATTACGGATATAGATGTTACACTAGGCCTATATTTAGCAGAGTTTTATGAGCGCTCTAGGTTAGGATACTCACAGCAAGCCTAGCGAAAGCATGCAGATCAGTCCTAGTCTTTTGGCAAGAGGTAGTTGAAGCCTCCACGTCGAGGGTATAGGTTCAAGAAACAGGGCGAGATCGGTGATTAGGTTGAAGATGAACTGATCGGCCAAAGGCATACCTCTTAGCACTCTCAACACAGCGAGTCAGATTTGAATCACTTACAGTAGAATACCAAAGCGGATGAAGATCGAAGCACGAGCCCTCCAGCTTGAAGTCCCACGATTTTCGAATAGGTTTACATTTAAATAAACAACACACGTTTCCTCGGTGGCCTGCGCAAAGAGAAACGCGATTAAAAACTTGTTAGCAACCCTGAATCCGCCGTCAGGGAATATTCTGAGGTATAGCACTGCAAAGCTGGCTTTTGCTGCTACAACACCCCAGCTATACGTAATTGAGCTGGCGATTTGAAGCTGGAAAAAGTCAGGTTAGGTGTGGGTAACAGAATCATCAATTGGCCTTCTACCTGTAGGTATTTGTTATAGTCGTCATCATCGACTTCATCACGATGGTCCCCGAGTCCGTGTTGTGTAGCTTTGTTCCGGTTAGCCTGAAGCTATATAGAGGAAAGACACATATACATACCGAGCATTACGCAAGAACATATCCCTATTGATAACATCTATAATGATTAGTGGTCTATTAAAGAATCTCATGTATGTTTTAGATCCCCGCGAAGCGACATACCCAACTCAGGAAAATTAGAACTGCAAGAGGTAAGTAGATATCCTTTAGAAGGTATAGAAAAGCTAACCATCATCCACACCCATAGTCTTATGAAGCAATCGAGCCGTAATCCTCGAAGCCATAGATACCGCCGTAATCGCAACTAACACCGCTCCGGCGCAGACGACCGAATGTGCCTTGGAAGCGGCCATTATCGCCGATATCAAACGTGGGTCGTTACCACGGAAGGTATCTTCGACCCAGAGTCGTGGATCGACGGAGTGGATGCCATACTTATTATACATAGTAGGCGAAGCCGAAATATTCCTAGGTAAATACACTACTTAAAGCACATTCTATTCTCTGTAATAATTCTTCTCTATTATGCGAGCTAAGTACATGGGAGCACACACTAGACCCTTGGTTGGACTTTTTGTTCCGGAAGCTTGGGACTGGGGTTGGGGCCTGAGGCCTGGATTATGCTAATATGCCAGGTACCATGAACAATCTTGTCGGTATGCCAGTGCCAAGTTATAGCTGAAGACAAGCATTTGTTCAAGGCATAGGGTTACTCCTGGGGAAACTTGTTCTTCCATGTAAATCGGGGGTGTCTAAATTACTATGTAGGTGAGCTCGACTTGGTGGACTCCCTATTTAACATAACGGCGTTCCCACATAACTGCGCACTTATATGGGGGACTACCGCCTCTGTTTTGGCGATGCCTTTAGAGTGAACTCTATCTATTCAGGTTAAGATGGTAATGAGATACACATTAGATTGTTCGGCATCTAAACTAGACTAGGGCGCCTTAGATGGGTTATTTCCCAGCTTATTACCTACAGTGGGTTACAAAGTAGAACACGTGAGTAGCACGTTTATCATGGATGGTCCTCGGGGAAAGATCTCTAGATTAAGCTGTTCAGGTTACTGCCCACGTGTACAAACCCAAGAGTATGGTCAAACTAAGAAGACTCGATCTACATAGACGAGATCGAGGAACAACCAACTGATAAATTCTAAAGTTTTACCTACATATCTGACAACACACCATTCCAAACCCCACAATCTGTCTTCCTCCGAAGGCAACCATATCGTGCATGCAGCCGATGCACCGCAACCTCAATCATATCATCGGGACCCAGAGCCATAGTAGGCGAGAACAAGGATACACTAACTGACCAGGGATAAACCGGGGAAGCGTTTAGTCGCTACGCTAGTCTGCTGGATGGCCTGACTGGATTCAACTAAGAGCTGGGGTAAGGAAATTATGCGGACATGCTACCGGCAACCCCGACATATATACCAGCCTACACTGCAGTTGATGTAGTTTCGTCATTAATGGATGATGACTACCTACCTATCTTATGACTCGGGTTTTGTTGTATGGGAGATTTGGTTATAATATAGGTACTTTTTTATGGCCCATTAGCAACAACATAAGGAACCTATTCGCAATTCTACGATATAGTCCAACACGTGCAATTACTCTCGTGTATAATACAGCTTCATATAGATCCCATGTGGGCCTCATATGCACGTCGTATAGATAGACAGCCCTAGTAATAATCTGTTATACATACTAGTGGAAAAAGAAAGAAACCCGAGACTACTACATAAACTATGAACGGCTTCAAGCCAAGAATAGAGAGGTAATCTAACTAACCTAGACGTTAACAGATACCTTACCCATCTCCATAAACCAAGCCACCAACACACCCAAAAAAGAACCAACTGTCTTCACCCTTGCTTATATATCTCCAAGCACCATACATAAATACGTCCATAGCAGCTGAACACACTACCTAGCTAAACTCCAAAGCGCCTAGGCTAGGCACTTCCATCCTGACGAACCGGCTGTTCTTCCGTACGTCTGAGCGCCCCTCCCCAAGGCGAAACTTGTTTGATGTCAGTGTTCATTCGTATCGGCATGGAGAACGTAACGCTCGCTTCGTTTTCCGGGGTAGATGCCACACGAACGCGAACTACATACACTAGCAGAAGCGAATTTCGGGGTGTGTCGAAGGAGGTCTTGTTTTAGGTACCAAGTAGCTAAGGTCAAATTCAGAATCACGGCACTTGAACTCGTAATGTAGGAGTACAGGTCTATTGTCCATTTTCAAACGATAGTGTCAAGTGTCCTCCCATGTTATTGAACCCAAATACTAGGCTTGGCCAATCCCTGTACGGTCATCAATATCATCTCGTCATTATGCTATAAGTTGCTTCAAGCTGGATCTATATAGGTACCTAGGTAGGTATACCACCGCAAGCCAGACATCATATTCTACACATCCACATCCACCTCCTAATCAGCCTCCAGCCTCGCAACCGGAGCGTTATCATTAACTTGAATGCCACCACGCTTCTTCTCATCCGAGTCCCAAAACGGCAACCTCCACCCGCCCTCGTCCTGCGGCACCGCCAACCACAGCCTTAGCAGATGCCGTCTCGGCTTGCCGCTATCGGGCCCGAAGTCGCGGTACGCCGTCCGCGCGTGCAGCGTATGCGAGTTAGCCACGAACTGGATATCGCCGACGTCCAGTATCATGTGCAGCTTCACCCTCTCGCACGTCTCCTCGAATCCGCGTGGCTTCCTGCTGCGCGGGCGACAGCGCCGGGATGATGCCCTGGTCCGAGAACCGCGTTAGGCTGCGCACGTAGTACGGATCCCACTTGCAGTAGACGCGCTGCTCGCGCGCGGGCTGCGCCGGGTCCGCCGTCTCGAGGTAGAACACCGAGGTCCGGATATACGGCTCCTCGCCCTCGGAGACCTCGCCTTTGCGGTCGAAGTACCAGATCGGCTGCGTGAGCAGCTCGGCCACGTCGGGACGCTCGGCTTGCAGGATGTTCCAGACGTTGTGGATGGACGCTACGTCGGACTCGCCGCCAAACTCGGCTTTGGAGAGGCATAGCAAGCCTACGATGTCGCAGTCGTCGGCGTGGAAGAACTGCCGCGCGTTGGTCCGGTATATCCGCACTTTGTCGATCTGTGTGCTGTCCTCGCCGAGGTCCTTGACGTGGCCTAGGATGTGGCCGTGGCCGTTTTGCGATACCGGGTAGCCGATGTAGACGCCTAGGCCCATGTAGGCGACGGCTGATTTGGGGATACCCCATTCGTCGACGGGGAAGCCTTTGTATAGGATGAATCCCTTTCCGTTTAGGAGCTCTCGACGCATAGTTTCTAATGCTGGTTCTAAACCTGGAAGTCGGAAGTTTTCTTTCGAGATTCCAGTTAAGGGTAGACCTAATTGGATGAAACTATCCGCCGCCTTGGATATCCCATCAAGTTCATCTTCGGAGAATTGGTGAACCCATCTCTCTGGGTTGCTGGAGTAGTCCTCTGCCTTCCATTCTGTAGGTCCCTCAATGTGCTTGGGAAAAGCACTGTAGGGGTAGAGCTTATCATATAGCGGCGGATGTTGACCTATATAGCAATGAGTAACTACTCGGTATAGAGATCTTATAAATAGGGATTTTTCTAACCTGTTGTCTTTAATCCATCTGGGAAGATCGAGTGATCAATTTGCTTAGCTTTGGCCTTCAGGCCCTGAATGACATCAGCCGGTGTCTCAATATCTACGGCGGGAGCCATGACTAGGGAGTCTTTCTCTGGTCTATCCCGATATGTCTAAGGGGGTGAGATAGGTTAGGGTATCTGAGTTGAAGGATGAAGGAGGGTAACTGATTAAGAGATAAGGTATAAATTCATTTGATGTGGTTAAATAGCTACCTTATTGTACTACTATCACCTTTATCATCTATAACATAGCCGAATAATGGCATCATATATTATCTCTTACCGCCGTCTTAGGCCGTAAAGGGGAACCAAGATTAGGTTAAAGGCACTGTAACCTTTCCCTTTCTCCCTATCTTCCCCTCTACGGTCTACCTATCGCGGGGCTTCGATCACGCAATACCTAGCACGCAATCCTAGACTGGGTTGCACCATTGTGTATCATTCATATGTGTTTACTATACACAAGATACAGCAGCGATTGGCCAATTCCTCCTACTTTTGTGTATGTATTCCGAAGTCTAAGCATCGAAGCATCCATCTACATGCGTGTCGTCGGCCTTGGCGTCATCATGTTGAAGAAGATTTGAATTTCTCGGGGCGATCCGAGTTATAAAACAAGCAATTTTATTGTTGCCTCGAATTATTAGAGTGATATGTGGCCCGATTGTTTCTAGAAGTCGTCTTGAAACAATAGAATTCTCCAGCACGCCATAGCGGGCCAAGATAGCAGAAATGCATTAGTAGGAGAATATCGCGATGAAGTTCGACGACATCGGAGTGAGGGGATAATCGGTTACAATACCCTTTTTAGTTCAAGGTGCTCATAACTTATATTTAAATATCATTGGATGGATGAGACTTAGTTAAGTGCTATGAAAGATTTCCCACGATAGCTTCCTAATTCGTAAATCTATATCTGACTATAAATAGGAAGTTGATTATTATTCCGCAACAATATCTCCGATAACACTATACAGGTTAGGTAGCCTCAGGCACATAAATTCAATTCGCTTATTAGAGTCCACTTGATCCGACGCTGCCTTTGAAGTCAAACTAAGTGATATCGTGTAAAGTACTGTAACTAACATTACATTCTTCAAAGCTAGAGATAACTATTTAATAACTATAACAAGTTAAAGAGATTCATAAGTCTTCCCTCCAACATGTGCTGTGATACATAAGGATATAGTATGTCACTTGACAAGTAAGTAAATATAAATATAAAATATTGTTATTAGATATAAGTCGCAGGGTCATCACTCAAAACGGCCTATAAAAGACAAGAAATATAAAAGGGAAAAAAGCGATATTATCTATTCATTCGCGCGCGTAAGGGGGTATCTCTCTCATCTAGCTCATCAAGCGTCAAAAATCATATGCCAATATTCTCATACTCCATTCTCTTCTTCTTTTCTTTCCCTCCCTTTTCCCTTTCAATGATTCTTCTCCTCCCCTCCCCTCCCATTCCTCCTACTTCTTATGCAAAAGACTCGACACCGACCCCGAAAGCGGACTGGGCTGGAACCCCGGGCGTTCCTGTGTCTGCAAATCCGACCTTAACTCCTGCGTCTCCCCTTGCTCCTCCTCCCCCAACAACCGACCCTTCCCTTCATCATCCCCCTCGCTCTCCGGCGGCGCGCACTTGATCTCGCCCCTGAGGATCTCGACGACGGTCGCCAGCGGCAAGAGCAACATGCCCACCGAAAGCAGCTGTCCAAAACTCCACTCCCGCTCGCCGCTGTCGCTTAGCCGGATAGGCGTCGAGTGCGCGAACGCGTCGGCGAGGTACGCCACGCGGACCGTCGCTCCGACCGCAAACGCCGCCATGAGGACCAACCCGACAGCCTGGACGGCAACATAAAAACGCCGCGCGCGCGCGTGCAGATACCATATCGCCAGCGCGAAGATCGCCACGTTCCCCGCGATCACGGCGCCGGTGCCTACGTACGAGACCGCCGCGTTGCCGGCGGCCGGCCCGTCCTGCGTCTCCGGGCGCCACGCGCATTCGACGGGGAACGTAGCGTCGTTGATGCCGCGCTGGACGGCGCGCAGGATAAATATCCCGTACGTGCACGACAGGACGAGGTTTACGAGCATGAGCAGCTCGCGCATCCAGCGAAGCACCCAGTCGCGGCGGAAGTCGCGGGCGAGGGCGAGCAAGGTGGCGTTGTGCACGGCCATAGACAAGAGAGAAAGCATCCACACGAGGAAGAAGTGGTACGGGACCAGGCTCGTTCGTTTGGCCAGGCCGACGGATTGGATGCCGATGCCCGTGAGGATCTGCTGGTCCGAGTACGAGTTGAGCAGCCTGCGGCGCAGGATCGAGGGTTTCTGGACGTTGCGCATTTCCTGGAAGACTAGGGAGGCGCTGATGAGGAGGGCTATGGCGGCCGTGACTATGAAGGAGAGCAGTACGCCGATGCCTGCGATGCCGGCGTCGCTGGGGACGGCGGCGGGCGCGTTGGTGCAGTTCATTGTTTTTTTTGTGAATATCGAAGTGGACGATTACGAGATGATGTACTACGGATTTTTTATCGAATCGTCGAAACTAGGTCAAAGAGAAATAAAAAGAAAAAAGGATGACAAAAAAAAAATAATAAACTTCAAAATCGTAGTTACGTTTCCTCCTCGCAACGCAGCGAATTTCGCGGGTGGTGGGTAATATATCAACACCAAACCTGTGAACAATACCCACGTTTCAGAAAGAATCTACAAGAAAGCGAGCAAACAATGATTTCCATTAACTTACTTAATTGTTCTGGAATCCAGCCCGCCCTTTGTAGATATGTAAATAATGACTTACGCCCTCCTCCTTTAGAATGTGCAAGCCTCCCCCTCCCCTTGTCTTACACAGTGACGTCGCCCTTGATGCCAAATGCCAATAAGCGCCCCGGATGAAACGTCGCGCAGATCGCCTGGACCCCTGTTGTTTGGGTAATCTACTGGCTGGGAGAAACTCGTCGACATGTCTAAGTGCGGCTGTGCTTTCAGGCTTCAGTTTCTAGGCGCTGCGATTCGATAGTAGCGAGTTAATGTCGCATCAATTTAAAGAGACTCTGCGGCTATGTATTTGTTAAGACAATTATTTTTTTATTTTATTTTTCTAATTAATTTTATATTTAACGTTCTGACCACCATCATCACCTTATCTACGTGACACAAGTGAGTTGAGTCAAGACTCAAGAGTACCTTAGGTACACAACGAATATCAGGTACGCATCAGATATCAAGCGACGAGAACTCATATGAAGAAAACAAGTCATTGATTCAACCTCCAAGTTGAAATCTGTCCAATACATCAACATAACTACTAAACTACCTAACCCTCCTAGGAAAAAATCGCGAGCCCGCGAGTCTAAAATCTATCAAAAGGTCATAGCTTAACTCGTGTCATCAATTTCTCCGCCGTATGTGTTCCTCGTATCGACGAGGCCTTTTGTCTTTACTAGCAGGAAAAAGGGAAAGACCCGTTGGGATATCAATGAAATAAACGATTGCTGCCTCCAACTCCGTCCAACTCCGACGCCCTCGCGGCGCTGAGACCTCGCTTTAAGCAGTAAGGGCGTGCCCTCAAACCTCCGTCCATGTTAAGCCTTCCGAAGAGCTGGCTCTGATAGAGCGTTTTGCTAAAGATGTAAATACTCTAATGCGCCCCCTTTTTCATTTTTCACTTGGTTAGACTTTTGTGAATTCGTAACGTGCCATTTGTCCGCCAATGTAATATTATGCCTTTCTTTGCCTTTTGGTAGCTCGGCTGGGGCTATCGTCTAAATCATTTCGTAATATCTCCTCAGTAACGCTCGGACTTGGCGACTTGTGGCTTGGCGTATTTGTCTCTACGATCCGTCCTGTGTTTAGACCATCGGTGGCAGCAAACTCACTGCCGTCGGCATTCCAGTCAAAATTGGTGCCGTCGTTGAAGGTTGTGGTATCAAAGTTGAAGTCGTTTCCGGATGTGTCAGCGGTATATGCATTTGGGTCTAGGTATTGGTTCAAGTCGATGTTATCATCAAAATAGGCACTCGAATCATCTAGGCCAGGTATTCGGCCTGATGGACTTAGGGGACCTAGCAGGTGGTTGAGATCATCCAGCTTCTGGGCCTGTTCACTTTGCAGGCGTTGAAGCTGTTCGAGCTCTTCCTCCGTTTGCGATATTCGTTGGATCGACGGTGGGGGGATTGATGATAAGATAGGGGACAGTGAATTGCGCCCGCCCACGGCAGGTATACCTCCAGTTAATGGAATTCCTATGGAGGATGGACTTGTTGTTGTCGGTATTGGGGGCGAAGAGGCCGAGGAGAGAGGAGTGGGGGTAGCGCTGCTATGGCCCCCAGACATGATGCTTAACATGCGGTTCCGCTGGTCATTTGTCAGAGTTGCTGACGTATGAGCAGCAACATTGGGTAGGTCAACGGAATGATTCCCCGCATTCGTGTTCGCGTCTTGAATAATCTTCATCATGCCCTCCTGAGGATTCGACTCGAGTTCTTGTTTGAGGTAAGCAGGAGTCGGCGACTCTATTGGGGTGTCAATGACTTCTGTGACATGCCCCATCTGTGGTGATTGCTGCTGATTCGAATAGTTTGAAAATGACGCGGGAGTACCGGTAGTAGATGCCATCACTGGAGGTGTTTTAATGCTTTGATTCTGAGGAATAGGAGGCAAAAGGCGATGCTGTCTCTTCGGTGTACCCACCGGCGCCGAGGTATTGGGCACCTGCTGTTGCACCCAATCCCCTAGATCAACCACACTACCTTGGCCTTGCGCCGTTGGCATCTGTACATTGGGTATGATGCTAGCTAGTAGGTCATTCACATTCTGCACGCCTCCTTGCTCCTCGAGCGACTTTCTAAAGACGTTCGCTAGGAAATTTAGGATGGCATTGATAGAGTTCTCATGACGGTCATGCATATTCTGGAACATGATTGCTTGCTGATAAAGTTGGTTATGTTCTTGCCGGAGCCGCTGGATGGCTTCGCTGATTTGTTTCTGCCGCGTCTGCAGCGCCGCCATTTGATCTCTGACGACTGCCAATTCCTTCTTTTGGAGTGGCCCTGTCTCTGGTGCTGGTAGTGCTCGATTCTGCGTAGTTGGTTGAGGGAAAGGGTGACCGATGGCTTCATCTGCCACGATAACATCCTCGTCGCTCTCACCCTCACCTTCTTCTCGTTTCTTGATAGGCTTTTTAGGGCCACCACTTTTCGGCTTGTTGATTAGCCAAAGCAGATTCGGGTGACCACGCTTGAAGTAAGGGTTGTAGTATTCGCTTGGGCTCTTGTTTTTACGTTCGCTAGCCTTCATAGAATTATCTGAAAGGCCAACTTTCTTGTGGAATCCGTACATGTTGAGTTGCCGAACAAAGGACGCGTAGTTATTGTGCTTGAAGAGCTCAGGAATTAAGGACTTGGCAAACTCATCTTCATCGAGAACAATAAAAGAGTCACCCTTCTCTGACCACCTAATTAGATCCGTATTCTTCGACTCTTCCAGAAAACTATTGAGGATGTTAGCAGTGTAAGCATGGCGTTAGAAAGGCATCACGCGTACCTATTCAACTTTTGTACGAAAGGAGGGATCTGCTTCCGCTTCGCCTGGGCCTCCCTCTTTGCCCTCTGAGCCTTCTCCTCAAGTAACTCTATGTTGTCATGCTCGTCGACAGTCCCACTGGGCTGACTTGCAATCAGATTCTCCTCAAAGCCCGGCCATGTGTCGTTCTGTTGCGGGGTGAATGCGCGATTAGTGGCAACGAGAGCATTGTTCATGCCTCGCCTCGCAACGACGTTCGAAGGGGTAGCTTGAGGGTACTGTGATGGTGCCGAGGGCGGCATAACGCCGTAAGAGTTTACTCCATTCGAAGCGTTATCAACGAAGGTCCCTGGGTTATTCCCATTCCACCTCAGCAATTGGTCTGGTGTACTATACGGTGCCGCCATTGGATGCTGTATCGGTATACTACCGGGTGCTGGCCTTTTTCGAGGATTCGGTGATGACATAGGGTGGTAGTAACTGTACATGAACCACGACCAAGGGAAGTGGTTCTGTGAGCGCGGATAAGTGTAGCTACCGGTCTACTTCGCCAGAAGACGACTATCAGTACCGTATATCCCGTAGCGAGTAGCTCGTAGTATTATATGCTGCTGGATCTAATGATATTGGAATGCAACTATGGCGGGGATGGTCGACGTGGGCCAAAGTTGGGTGTCAAAGAGGGGAAATCGTAGGAGCGGGGAGTTGGAAGTTGGAAGGGAGCGAAGATTGGGAGAGCTGTGGTAGGACCGTGTATGAAGCCGCAAGGCTATCGAGAGATGGTAGGCGGTCGGTTTAGGCGACTAGGCTAGGCGCGCAGGTTTTTTTCTGCCGAATAGTCGTCGCGGCGCAAGGCTATGATATCGTTTCGGTGAGAAGAATCGCGATGATTAGGTATGGATCAAGGCGACCAATCAGACGTGAATAGATTATGCGCGCAGATTTTCAAATTTCGCTGCAGATTTCGTAGGGAATGTCAGGTTCTGGCAGATTTCAATTCCGATGGAGTAAAATGGTGGGTTCCAGGCTTTCCTGCGCATTCATAGCTCTGCCTATATACCGGCCGAGCTTCATAAAGAGCTTGAACGACAACAGAAGGAATTGAGACAGCACTAGAAGCTGTAAAGAGCCTTCAAGACCCCCGATTAAGCTGTCTCTAGTAGTTGCGACAACAATCAAGTGAACAGCCTGAGATATGGGAGTCAGTCAAGGGTAGAAAACAAGGGTAGAAGGTAAAGCCCGTTGTTCTCGAAGTCGCAAAAGAACAGTTCGATGTCCTAGATTGTCTAAGGTGGATTAAATAAATTGTCGGCATGTATCTAGCCTAACATTTTAGAGACGTATATTCAAGGTGACGTAGCTGCGCAAAGTTGAGTTAAGTTGAATGTGCGGACGCCAGCGTGGTCAAGGGGACGGGAATGTAAATGGGAATGCAAAATGGGAATGTAAGCTTTTGATGGGATTTTTAGAATTGACCGGCCTTCCGGCTCACACGCCGTGACACACCCAAGCAGAAGAATTCGTTCTTTTCCGTTCTTGGCTTAGTTCTTTCTTAGGTACTGTGCGCACTGGCACCGAACCGAACCGAGAATTGAGGAAACGACCTCCTAAAAAATAAGTAGCCGTATAAGCGTATAAGCGGGACAAGGGAGCAATCTGGAGAAGCTTCAAAACAATTTAAGCTAAGCTTCAATTATAGTAGCTGGTATCAATGTTCATTGTAGATGCTCAAGTATAACACAAATATAACATGAACTGTAGGTAAGTATATATTTATGAAATCTAGATATAGCGTCAGCTTACATAGCATAGGTATACCTACATCAGGTACCTAATGGACTGATAAGACTGATAACGAGATGAATTGCGCTAAGTACCGTACCTATGCTAAAATTTTGATAGATGCGTTGTTGTTTATTGCCTGCAACCTTACGGCGAAACGGGTTTAACAGAATTAACATGGCCCACTAGCATGTACCTGGTTAGTAAGTCTATGGCACATGCGCTACAAGCTTACAAGCCTACAGCATGGTCTACAAATTGTTACTACATAGTACATACATATAGCTATCTGGCCAATCATTAGTAAAAATGTTAAGATATTCTTATAAGATTATTATCGTCATTCATACGATCAGATGATTATCTCGTCATAAAATGTCTAGCTTATACACTATACATGTTCTATGAATTCATCTCATTGGATATCAAGACCCTCGGCTCTCTATGCTTGTGTACTGTCACCATATCTATCGTCTTACGATCTTCAAATTTATTGATGCTGTTAAGACTGCGGAGAAAAATATACAAGGATGCCATACATACATATGTACATATGGTACGGAGCATTATGAGCGAAGCCATACTCAAAGCTGTCAAGCTGTGGAGTTATTAATAAGAACCATGTTCCGAACACCTACAGGTCCGGACCATCATCTCCAGTCGATGCAACGCTAAGCCGAAGTGCTGGAGACTTGTAAGATCCAATCTGACCAATTACAAGTGTCCAGATGTATCATAGCTTTCCCCATAGTCTACCCAAGTAGGATGAAACTTCGATTCTCAGCGTTATGCACGATTGTATCGCAATATCGAAAAAGCATAGCAAAACATAGACCTTCACATTTTTTACATGTGTTTGCAGGACCCACGTAGCTTGTCAAAATGCAAACCTCCTTTTATAAACGAAGACCAAGGGGAAAATACCCATGCCAGCTTCAACCTGGGAAGGCGATAGAACTTTCTAAAATCAAGGGGTATCAATGGTCATTTCAAGCCTCAAGAAATACGGGGAAAAGGCTCCTACGGTGAACGTGTTACTTAGCCCCTCTACCGGCCAGAGCTGATGCTCTCGCCAATTTGGCATTCCTCGCTTGGTCCCATTCCCTTCCGGAGTTTCCAGCCTGTGCCTCTCTTTGCGCCCTCTTCTCCTCCTTAAGCGTCCGGGCTTTTTCTCTCGGATCAATGACAACCAATTCATCTTCGGCCTTCTTCCGGTATGACAAGTCTTTACCGAGCTTGTCGGCTGCAAAGCTCAAGGCATGGGACATCCAGCCCTCATCGTCGCTCTCTTCCTTTTCAGCCTTGTCCCACGAGTTGCAGCTTTGGCAGTTGGCAATAAAGTGTAGATCGCATAGTTCCGCCTCGTCGTCTTGCTCGCCCGAACCTTGTTCAGCACCACCCTCCTCGGTAGGTACGTTTAGTTGTTCTTTCTCAGGTCCTGCTTGGCTGAGCTTGGAACGAAAGGCTTGAAGCTTTAGTAAATCTTCGTTTACAGCAGGGCCCTCGCCTCCTCTTCTCCTTTTCCGGCCCCGCGTAGAATTCTCCGGTATTAATTGCTCCAGTGCCGTTTTCTTAACCTCTTTGACCGGCTCAGAATGAATAGTCCGTTTCATAGATGCCTTCAAGGCTGCGATCTCTTCATTTGCTTGCTGTAGTGCGGATTTCTTTGGTAGCTCTGGCTCTGGAGATGATTCATCCTCAATTGGGATAAGTATGCTCTTCGTAGGTTTGTGGGGTGGGTTCGTCTCCAATTTCGAGTCAGTCCGAAGCTCACGAACCGGTATAGAAGACCCGGTCGCCTTAGCCTCCTTATTACTACTACTTTTTGGCGGCTTGGCAGTAGGTGTTGGCTCTTCATCTACATCCATGACAATACGCGAGTCGAATTTTGCTTTTTTTTAGGACCGGCGCGTCATCGTCGCCTTCTTCGTCTCCAAAACTCAATAACTTCTTCCCCCCTTAGATTTGGGTTTCTTCTTCTTCTCAGTAGCAGGCGCCTCGTGAGTTCGTTTGGCAATCCTTTCTCGCTTTTTCATATCATCAAAAGGATTAACAAGAATCTCTACATTCGTAATCCTTATAGGGTAGAGAGGCCGTTCGGTTCCTTCTGCTATTTCTGCCTCACCCATGCGGGCCAAGTTGTAAATTGTATCGCCCACCACTCTCCCAAACACAGTATTCTTGTTGTTCAGCTCCTCAGCTTTTTCCAGTGTAAAGAAAAATTGGCTGGCGTTTTGTATCCGGTTTGCTCTCGTTGGCCATACCCAACAGTCCCCTTCGGTTGAATTTTAGTCGCGAATGAAACTCATCTTTGAAGTTTACACCCGTAGGTCCAGCATTCTTCCCACGGCGCTGGTCCATGGGCCACGGATCCAGATCGCCGCTATATGCGCCGCCATCGTAAATGGATTCTCCCCCATTTCCTGTCCCAGTGGGATCACCTCCTTGTATGATAAAACCGGGAACTAGGCGATGGAATATCGTATTGTCGTAATAACCATCGAGGCATAGCTGGAGGAAGTTTCGCGATGCAGCGGTGTTTGTTTTGCGAATAGCTCGACAGATAAGTCGCCCAGTGTCGTATGGAGAATCAGCGAAGCGGTAGGCTGAGGCTCGAGATTGTAGATGGAGGACATATTGCGCAGCGATCTCAATCTCAAATAACGGTCAATGGAAAATTCGAGCTAGAGGAAAAGCAGACTTTTGATTTTGCGATACTGTTTTTAACGTTGAAATAAAAACATGAAGTCTAGAAGTTGATTAACCTAGATGCAGCCGACGTGCGAGTAACTTCCTCAATACAGCGCGTTTCTGTACCTGGAAGGTAAGTTCCTTAGCACTTAAGCTCCTAACCGCTATGGACCCCATTTGGCACATACCCACTTTGTGGGACACTTCCCACCAAAACACTACCTTTTCAACCTTAAATAATATTATATATTGATGATATTTACTTGAGGCTAGTATTAGCTAATAGGTAATTAATTTATATTTATAACTATATATATAATATTAAAATTAAAATGGTGGTTATAATAAAATTAATATTTTAATATATTATATAAATATTACATATAAATTAAATATAAAAAAATATTACAATTATTTATTTAAAACGTTTTATTTAAAACTATTATCATTAAAAAGTTAATATTGTTAATTTTAAACTATATATAAGTTTTATAACTATAATTAAATTAAATGGTTTAATATAAGTTGAAAATTTTGCTTATATAAATAATATAATTTAATATAAGTTATTTTTAAATTTAAATATTTTAATAATAAAAAATACTAATAACCAATTATATATTATATATAAAGAATTTAAAATATTATATTACTAGATTTAAATTTAAAATATAAAGTTTTATTATTATAATATTTTAATTTCCCATATATTAAAAATATTTATTTTTATATTTAATTTATCTAAAACAATGTATTTTTTATATTATATAATTATAACAATTATGTTATAATTAAATTTTTTATTTTATTAAAGTATATTATTAGTAATAGGGCCTTATAAGGTATTAATAAATCTAATCTTAAATTTATATCATTAATATATATAATGTTATTCAAGGTTGAAAAAGTAGTAGTTTAGGTGTAAACCTATGCCACAAAGTGGGTATGTGCCAAATGGGATCGCTAGCGGTTAGGTTAGTCTGCTGCCGACAAAATAAACCTTATCTTATCGGGTTCTTGCCTACAATCTACAAGGTACATGTACATAGGTACTCGTGCAAAAATTTCCCACTCTCCACCCGTAGGGCAATCAAGCAGGGGTTCTATCATGTACCTATTCGCCTCAACGTGCCATCGAAAAGGTTTTTATATGCTAACATAAATAGGTACAAACATCGGCCGTATGGCCCAAATTTATAATAAGTCGTCAAGGGGGAATTATATTTCATTGCATATCAGGCGATTTTATCTAAAGTTTATTACTGAGTCGTGAGAGTTAACTACCTGGTACTCAATACTCTGAATAACTTACACCCACAAACTGGTCGGGCTTGGTGTATACCTAGATAATTGTCACTAAACCCTCTAAAAATTAAAAGCTTTCTACTACACAAAGAATACGTGAAAGCGCCATTTAATACCATGGCGGCGCAGGAGCTAAACCCGAATTTACCGCCTTCGGAGGCAACAAACGCTGTTCTTGTTCCGTCCGATGAACTACCAGAAGGAGCTCAGAAAGTTGAGGAGATCGATTTTAATGCTTTCAAGGGGCGACCGATTACTGTGGATGATGTGCTTGGAGGCATGAAACATATGGGCTTCCAGGCATCTTCTATGGCCGAAGCAGTACGGATTATCAATGACATGGTTAGTAAAGGGAAAGTATTCATCTCCTAGCATTTAACTGACAAATCCTGAAGCGAGCATGGCGTGACCCGGAGACGGGCGACAAGACGACGATATTTCTTGGCTATACATCTAATATGATTTCATCTGGACTAAGAGGCATATTTCGATACCTAGTAGAGAACAAGCACGTCTCGTGCATAGTCACATCTGCAGGTGGTATTGAAGAAGACTTCATCAAATGCCTCGGCGACACATACATGTCTTCCTTCAGCGCTAGAGGGGCCGAGTTAAGAGCTAAAGGTCTCAACCGAATAGGCAATCTGATGGTTCCCAATGCGAACTATTGTGCATTTGAAGACTGGGTTGTGCCTATTCTAGACAAGATGCTCGAAGAGCAAGAAGCAAGCAAAGGAACTGAAGAGGAAATCAACTGGACCCCATCCAAGGTTATTCACCGGCTCGGAAAGGAGATCAACGACGAGAGATCAGTATATTACTGGGCATACAAGAATGATATCCCCGTGTTCTGTCCAGCTCTGACAGATGGTAGTTTAGGTGATATGCTATATTTCCACACGTTTAAAGCCTCACCATTGCAGTTGAAGATCGATATAGTGGAAGACATTCGACGCATCAACACCATATCCGTACGGGCAAAACGAGCCGGTATGATTATATTGGGCGGTGGAGTTATCAAGCATCATATCGCAAATGCCTGCTTGATGAGAAACGGAGCCGAGTCTGCCGTTTATATCAACACTGCCCAGGAGTTTGATGGTAGTGATGCTGGCGCCCGGCCAGATGAAGCGGTTTCCTGGGGAAAGATTAAAGTGGGAGCAGATCACGTAAAGGTAAGGAACTAAATTCCTTAGAAGGCTTGTTTCTGGATTCACCCGATCTAATATTTATCCTAGGTCTACCTCGAGGCTTCCGCGTGTTTCCCTTTCATTGTAGCCAGCACGTTTGCCAAGGATGGGTAGGTAGAATATGTGTTACAAGGAGTCAATGATATTAGCATACAGCTAAGAAAGCCCAAATTTATCTAACAATCACATGGCTCGTATCTTCTCGACTTCTATACCTAAGTACCTAAACTATCTGAGCAGTAAAGTTTACTGCTAAAAGCAGCCATTAGTAAGAGCCTCCCAATTTAAGTGTCTGAGGGGGTGTCTTTGCGGACCAAAAAAAAAACTAAAAAAAACCTAGGTTAGTTAAAACATTCTTGTTTCTACTCAATGGGATCGTTCGCGTCTAGGATTACCACCAGATCGGAGTCAAACCTCAACTTTCAACAGATAGTTAGTACAGACTCGATATACTAAGTAACGCCTATAGCCCAAGCTCCCTCACCATTTTAAAAGACGACCGTGGGTTTACATGATTATAAAAAGATGTCCTGCTGTGATAATCAGTTCGACTTGAATTTCAAAGCGGATGATATTGACCACTTTGAAAATATTAATAAGATCCCCGGACGAGCCCCTTTTCATCACTAGGCCTCGCAAGGACATACTTTAGGCGCCTTTCTTTACTACTCTTATTCAACCCGCCCCTTATAATATCATCCTACACTAGAAGAAATTCTTGACAATTCTCTACTGGCCATCTAGAGGTTTCTAATAAGGATCTCTACAGAACCTCTCTGTACGCGATTACCTTTTTTATAAAAAAAAAAAAAAAAAAAAAAAAAAAACCCGTCTAACAACATTCTATCTAATGATATTTCAACATGCTTCCTCCTTTTGATACGATCCTACGGATGAAAAGGATGAATTAGGTATAGAATTAAGTATAATACCAACTTTGTCAAGACATGCACCAGACTTTACAACTATCACTCCTGGGTTAACTCGTCCCGAGTCACCAAATAATCGCATGCACATCCCATACCAATCTATGAAATCAAATAGCAACCCCGACGCGTCTCGTGCAACAACATCAACACCTAGGTTATCATCTACGCGGCGTGTTTGTCGGGCCCAATTTCGAGCAGCAAAAACTCTCCTTCGCTTAAAACATGCAAAAACCGAGGAAGGTGCTCAGGCGTTAACGCCCTGCTTGGAAAGCGCAGCCAATATTAACTTAGCTGTGAATGGCAATATCAACCCGGCTCTTTCCTCTTCATCAGTGAACAACGTCTCTCAGTAAGTGTTTTACTGCTGTCATTGATTTCCTTAAACTTCATATTGTGATTAAGCTTGACGATAACTATCGCATTGTTCAACTAAACTGAATAAAATCCACAGAACTCTCGGCTTTGTTCCTATTGTTAAGAAAACAAGCTCACTTCGTCGGCAAGCAGATGGACGGAGTAGACAGAAATACGCTGCAGGCTTGAAATCTGAAGCCTCGATAGTCACAATGAGTCAGCGCAATGACCAAGTAGACTTACCAAAGCCGAGAGCTAGAAAAAGGAGCGATGCTAGGTCATCAGTAAATAGACTTATGAACGAAGTTAACGATACGGTGGGAGGCGAGCCAGCCGACGATGCTACGAAGGAGGAATGGGATCGCTACTTGGGCATTTACATAAAGGAACTGGATCGGGTCTCCGGGTCGAGCTCATGGCCTCAACTTGAAAAGGCTGAACGGTATGTCAAGAAAATGGGGCAAGCACCTTTAAAAAGGGTAGACTATAGCAGTGACGAGGACGTCACGCCCAAAGCTAGCGGATCGACAGCACTAGGTCAACAGAAAGTTCAGACCGGAAAAAGCCATAATAACAATAAGGCCACCGCTACGAATGGCAAGCCTCGAGGAAGACGTCGTGAGACGACAGAGCCGAGAAAGAACGAAGTGCGGACAGCTTCCGTTGAAAAGCAAGCGGCAAATAATCTTCAGGAAGAAGACGCAGAACGGTCAAGTAGCGGCAATGGAGTGAAAGCTTCCACATCCAACATTATTCCACCAGGCCCGAGCCCGACGACGGATCGAGATAGTCCGCCGCATAAAAAGAGATGCCGGAGAGCAGTAGAATCCCTAATGTCGGAATTGGGCAAGAACTGGCAACCTCATGCTGACGAACAAGGACGAAGGCTAGTCAGGGGGGGAACTAACAAAAATTGATTGGCAACCTACTTACCTAAATACCTATGCTCATGAACTACATTTATATGATCTGGCAGAGCTCTAGGGTACAGGACCTATCATGACGGGGAAAGGTGTATTCTATGATATCGAAGGTTGTCTTTAGTTATTCTATTAGGCTACTGAGATATATATTCATGCACGTTCGAGCAGCTATGTATTTCTAGCAACTATTTCTAGTAATAACATGGAAAAAGTTCGGAGTTACTAGAATTTTGATATTATTTCAGCATCTGGTTGGACGGCGGCATTGAGGATTGCATTTCTCGAAAAAGTTAGCGCAAAAATTATTTACGGGCTTAGTCTTGTTTTGTATTACAACGATTCTACATGTAAATACTAAAATACAAACACAAAATTATGTATATGCCCTAAGGTTTCAAACTGTATTATCCATAAAAGCACCCTTAGAGATCCGTTAATTAGGTACTAATAGGTACCTTTGAATTATAGAATTTGCTGCACGTTGTACTATGTATATTAACCTCAGTATAGGTACATTAGGTAGCCTTCTGCACATAGTACAAGGACAATTAAAATTTTTGTTTATTGAATAGTGCGTCTTAACTGTTTGTATACGAGAGTTACACGCGGAGGATCTTCGTGCTACATATATACATGTACATAGGTAGTACATACAGATAAACTTCCATGATCATGCATGTCTGTGGTTGGCTAACTTGGCAGTCTCAAAATGCGCGGGCAGTTATGATGGGAACAGGTGATTGGACATTTAAGACAGGCAGGTGCAAGGCTTGGGACAAATTGTAGATTGAAGATGGAGCCCGATTGGGTCTTCATGGGGGGGCTAGCATCTTTAATGCTAAATGCTTAATAGTCGTTGCAAGCCTACATTAACTAGCGGCTTATGGGTTCCGGGCGTCCTGCATCCCTGCTCGGGGTTCGGTTTAGTCTAACCTGTCTTGGATTTCTCTGGTCATCGTCCCAGCAGGTGCCACGCGAAGTTTGTGTTTTCGAGGGTCTCCAATTTCAGCCTCTTCAACCCTTCTCGTTTTCAACCTTCCTATCGAATACAGCGTTTTAACTCATCTATCATCTTAAGCATTCGACAGGTGTCTTATCGCATAGCAACATCCGAGTTTACAGGGCTCTAAACAACCAATCAAATTTAAGTTGAGAGCACAAGGGAGGGGCTGTGGTTGTAGCGTCTTCTAATTCAGTGCACCGTCTGTCCGCAATCCTACCGTCGCCAAAACTCCAACCGTATTGAAACCCCGTGCTTGCTAAGCTCTTATGATCATCCGAGTCAATTTCTAGCCTGCGAATCTATGAGAAATTCATAGACTACTTAAAGGCGGGCCTGTTCTTGCCTCGTGCTAGACATGTAAGTTAAATTTCTCTTTCGGGCGACCTGTTGGATTTTCGATAGCGACACAATTTTTGTTAAGCATTCATCTTGCACCGAATACTAAGCTACCACCTCTGCTTTATACGGCACGAAAAATACGGCAGAAGTGCCGCGAGATTACAAAATGTTCAAAATGATATGCACTTTCATTCTAGACCCAAGAGTGATAGAGAAGGTTGTCCTAAACCTAGGGCGACCTCTAAATTTTTTGATAATCATCTAATTCCTTCGCGTAGGGCTTCCCGCTATAATGGATCGCGGTATGATGGCGATTCGCGCCGCTCTAGGTCTCGAGATCGCTCGCCAGATCGGAGATCGCTGTATAGTGACGGCGGACCGCGACGTTCTTCTGCTGAATCTCGAGTGAATACCTCTGCGTTTCAGACCAACCGGGATAACTTTCGCGATGCCCCCCTTTCAAGAGACCCCCCTCGGGGCCCAAAAGCCTTACTCGATGCGCCTAGCGGGCCTCGCGGAGGAGGATATTCCGGAGATTTCCGCGGTAGGGGTCGCGGAAGGGGTAGAGGTTGGCGAGATGATAGCCGGGACCGCGGGAGGGATAGGGATATCGATTTCAGAGATCGGAGAGACAACTCTTACCGCGATGAACGCAGCCGAGAACGTGATCGTGGTGATTGGCGGGACCGTGATCGAGATAGCTTCAGAGGACGGCGACCATCACCCCGTGGACGATCGCCCCCCGGCAGGGATTTTCGGGATTCGAGAGACTTGAGAGATGCTCCACTAGGCGTCGATGCGGAGCGCGCTCGACGTGGATCAAGGGACGGACCACTTTCGGCCGGATCATCTTCATCTGATCCTCCTTTTGGGCCTTCGTCCTATCGCGGTGGGTATAGTGGTCGGGGTCGCGGGAGAGGACGTGGCGACTGGGATAGAGGCCGCGGACGGGGATTTTACGATGATCGTGATAGATACGGCCCGGCTTTTAGATCGCGTTCTCAAGAGGGACGATACCGAGATCGAGACGACCGCGATCGCGACAATAGATATCTCGATCCCGACTTGCGCCCACGCGATCATCGAGATGATCGCGATGTGCGAGACCGCGAAGTTCGGCCCAAACTCGAGAGAGCATCGCACGAACCGCCCCCATTACCGCCAAAAGACGTTTCGCCCCCTCCAGTCGCTCCAGCTGCGCCATCCTTTGGATCGGTACCGAACAGAACTGCCTCAACGTCTGAGGCCGGACCGGCCATGGGCAAGGCGCCGCCAACAGGACCAAGGGCACTCAAAGAAGAGCGACCAACGGCGCCTGGCCCTGCGCCTAATACAGATCCAAGACTGCCACCTATCGGTCCATCTAGATCGTCCTTCCTGGAAATGAGCCCTACCACTATTCCTTCTGGTCCACGCTCCCAAACACGGCCAGGCCCCTCGAGCAAGCAATGGATCAATCCTAATATTAAGAATCGGGTCCCCGAATCACCTAAGCTAAGTAGATCTCAGAGTCTAGCCCAACCGCGACCTGTCGGATTCCGTCCCGACGGAACGCATTCAGATCAGCCGGTGGATAACGACCAACGACCGCCTAGTGGCGATGCAAAAGTAGACCTACAGCCAGCTTCGGTAGATAAACATGTTCATGACTCCCATACCGCAGATCTAGGTGAGGCGGCTGTTAGACATGATCAGCCACCTCAGTCTGATAGGTCGTCTTTGGATCGAGAACGTCAGCCTCAGGAGCGACCTGGTAGCAGAGGTAAGAATGAAGACGGCGAGATAGACGAGAGCGGTCGCTCTGTGGAAGAGATGCCCACTGTGGAACTGAAGACCATACCAGTGACGGACGCGGCAAAGCCAAAACCAGAGCGAAAGCCTATCCTCAAAGTATCCTTGCGACACGTTTCCTTGCCTCAGAAGGAAGTGAAATTGCCTATTTTGGATCAGTCATCGGAGTCAGACGATGAGGAATTTGGTGATGTCATTGAATCGCAAATGGCTGAAGTAGAGGCAAAGTTAAAGCGGCTTGAGGGGATTGAGGAAGCCGTACCAACGGATGCTATAATGCGACACGCGGTGGTGTCACTCGAGGCTATTACGAAAATTCTGAACGAGCCTGAAAATTTAGGAGAGATGGTTGGTCGTGTTCCGGACGATGTTTCTCCGCCTGGTAAAATACCTACGGAACCAGAACCCCAGGTTGAGGAGGCTCCGGTAGTCGAAGATACTAAGGAGGTTAGTGATACTACAGAAGTCGTTAAGGAGAAGACCCCTCAGCCGGCAGTGGAAGAACCGACCCCAGCGGTTGCAGCTCCAAGTGCAGAGCTTCCCCAGCCATCTATCGAGCACGACATCGATGTACCCCACGACTCAGGAGGCGCCTCTCGACGAACAACACAGACCAAAGAATGACGACGGAGATGTACCTATGGAAGATGTATCAGACGCTGCCCAGGTCGATTCTGAATTACAGGCCCCACTCCGAACTCAACTATCAGCTCCTCATAAGCAATCTATTGAACCGCCGTTTGAGGAAGCTCAGATACAATCGCAAGAAATCAGTAAAAGGGGCTCAAGCACGCCATCTCCAGGGGAAGATGAAGACGAAACGGATATCGAGGATGTTGACCTTCAGACGATCGAGATTGTCCGTGAGCATATGGCAACTCCTCCAATTGAGAGTCTACCCTACTTTGATGAGAAACCATGGTTTAAGGACGCGGCTTTCCTAAAGTCGATAGACGCTCAGCAGCCGAGCCTCAATTCATTCATCTTGGAAAGGCTAAAAGACGAAGCACAGCACCGGTTCGTAGAGGAGACGCGGATGAAGTCGATCTACGACGTGAACTATAATAACTATCTACGATTCACTATGTCTAACGATCCTGTTGCTGTTAAGAGCCGGGAGAAGTTTACTTGCATCGCTGGAGTGGAGAGCAATGGCCACAAGCCTGGTTTCCACGAGTCGAAGCCTGAAGGGACAAGGCGTAGCAGATACGCATCAGAACGTGATCTGGAACGAATCTTGGAGGAGTCGCGACGCGTAGAGGATGAGAAAAGGGAGCGGCAAATGCAGGCAGAAAGAGAAAGATACAGGACTGAGAAGGAAGCAGTATTACCTCGTCAGTATCAGGAACCTACGGAGCGAGAGAATGATTTCTATCGAGATGTGACTGGGTTTATTCAACCCGAGAAAATTGTAGCAGCTTGGCAAACTTTACCCCCCGTGGATAATTTTACCGAGGAAGAAACCGCAATATTCGAAAAGGCTTATCTCGAATTTCCTAAGCAGTGGGGTCGTGTCTCCGACCCGTTAGCGAATAGGGACTTTGGAACCAGTATCCAGTTCTATTACCTTAAGAAAGAGAAGAATGAACTCAACCTAAAGGAGAAGTTGAAGAAGCGTCCGAGGCAGCGTAAGAAGGGCGGACGCGGCAAACAACGGTCTAGTGCACTGGTCTCCGAACTTGGTAATGGGGATAACGAGAACGAAGAAAACCAGGAGACGGGCGAAAATGGAGAGCGGCGCCGACCTAGGCGTGCGGCCGCTCCTACTTTTAACTCAGAGGCCACACCGGCCACGGACGGCGAAGGAACACCGGTCGGTACTCCTGGACGCAGAGGGGCCGGTTCTAAGGGAGACGGAAGCTCCGAGAAGCCAGAACGCAAGCCTAGAGGGCGCCGGGCTGCTAAGGACAGAGAAGCGAAACAACCCCGGGTCAACCAGACACTTGCAGCGGCCCCGCCTCCGGTGATTAAAGGTAACCGCTCGCGATCCAGCTCTCGGGTTCATGGCCCGGAATGGACCTCTCAGCAGGTACCGAACGAAGCAGGTAGGGTTCCAACTCAGTACGAATTAGCTCCAAGCACTACGGCCGTTCCACCGGTTACTATTCCCGCGCCATTCCCACACGCGCAGCCGATGCTCAGTCCCGAAAGGGGTGTTCCTCCTCCGCCTCCACCACCGGTCTCGATGTCAATGGACGCGATGGGTCCTCCGCCTTTGCGCCCCGAGCCGCCGCAACAACCCTCTGTTGCTATGCTTGATCTTGGCACTCCTACAGTATCTGATCGCAGAACCGCTACGCAGGCATCTAGTTACTGGAGCGTACCTGAAGCGAATGATTTCCCACAGTTGCTTCGTTCCTTCGGAAGCGATTGGGCAGCTATTGCTACGCATATGCGGACTAAGACTCCAGTCATGGTAAGCTCCCAATCAATATTTGACTTGATAACATTACTAACTCCGACAGGTAAAAAACTTTTATACCCGAAAGAAAGACACTAACGATTGGCAAGACATCGTTAAGGAGGCGGATGCTAAGAAACAACGAGGAGAGAAGAGGCCTGCGCCTCCAGCACCTAGTTCTGGTGTTAAAAAGCGCTATGAAACATCTGGTAATCGACCACTCGCAGCCGCTGATGCGGTTATGGAAGATAGTCCTGGCGCAAAAGTCGAGCATTCTCAACCCGCACAGCCGACGACGGGTCGCTTCAACGTTCCGATCGCAGCCCAACCGCAGCCTACGCTCTTGCAGGCATCATTCGTGCCGCCTCAGGCTTCGATGGCCCAGAGCCACGGCGCTACCCCGCCTGGATCCCAGCCTCTAGCTCAGCCAGTGACGCAGACCATGTCTCCTCGGCCTATGAGGGCACCTTTTTCATTTGGCGAAAGAGAACGGGAAATGCCGCCTCAGCAGACTCCTCGCGTTCCATTAATTCAGAAGACGACCCAGCAAGGGCCTCCGGCGGCACCCGAACCCCCCATGGGGAGACATCCTTTGCCTACATCCCTTATCGAGCCTCAGTCAGAACGGCCTAAAGTTGAACCTAAAATTCCAAAGGAACAGCCTCGTCACCAGGATCGTCAACACCTCCGTGTGAAGCAGGAACCGGACCTTATCCACCAGTATGACCCGTATGCTTCTCAGACCCACCAAAATATTCGAATGGCATCATCTCGTCCGGATAGTGTATCCATGTCTCGTCCTCCAGACCCTCCTCGTGCCGTAGCCCCAGCACCAGTGCCGGCCCCACAGGCGCCCTTTGCCACTATCCTTCAACATCACAGCCGAGCATTATCAGGCGAGGGTATCCCATCTCCACGTTCTCGTCCAATGCCAAATCTTTCACGGCCGACATCTGGGGCTAGCAGTGGAACGGAGCCGTTCAGCGCTCCGCCAGCACAACCTACGCCGCCTGCTGTTGTCTCAACGCCCACCCCCAACCAGACGTAAGACATCTAGCTTGATGGCACTTCTGAATGACGACCCACCTCCGCCTCCCCCCAAACGAGTGACCGAGGTACCTGCAGCCGCGAAGCCATCCTCAACACCCCCACCTCAATCTAGTCTATCGCGCCCTCCCCCTCCCGCCGCCGCCACCGTCTCATATTCGGAGAGAATCAGATCAAAGTTACGGATACGGTCGGAATCCACCACCAGCACCATCCGCGATGCCCCCTCTAAAACCATATGCATCCGCGTCGCCTCAAGCGCAGTCCTTAAATGCTCCCCGACATATGCCGTTAGAGACGGCAGCGGAGCGAGAGTATTATGGTGGCCGGCCGCGATCTTTTCCTGCCGGACACCAGCCTCCAGCGACAAATTCGCCCCAGAATACGCATCACTATCCACCTCCGAACCAGCCGCCTCAAATGCAGTACCAGCAACCACAACCATCGTACCAATATGGTGCGCAAGTTCAGCCGCCTAACGTAGCATCTCCCCCACCTCAATACGGAGGCCATCCTGCTCCTAGAGGCCACGAGTCACAGTCCAGTAGGGATATGGGCCGAGACATGGGCCGAGACATGGGCCGGGATATGAGCCGGGATATGAATCGAGATATGAGTCGAGATATGGGTCGAGATATGGGTTGGCCCGGAACACATCAAGGACACCCGCTGCAACAGCAACAGCTACAACAGCAACAACAGCCACCACCGCAGCCGCAGCCAACTTGGGTATCACACCCTCCCCAACCACCAAAGTCCACGCAACCTCCGCCAACCCAGTCGGCATGGGCTGCACAACATGCCCCTACGCCAAAACCCCCCTCCGCCTAGCAGTTCCGTTCCGCCGCAACCTTCTTGGGCTTCTGCTCCGCCACCGCCGAGAGGTCATGATCCCATGGCACTACGTGATGTTCGCGACGTCTACCCGCCGCATAGGATGCAGCCTCTACAGCAATACGCACCTGCTTCACGTGCCCCTGAACCACCTCCCCCACAAGCACCGGCGGCATACCCTCGCTATGCAAATACACCGGTGCCCGGGCGAGATCCTCGCGATCCTGGTCCCCCGAGGAGTTATACACCTGTAAACGCCTACGACAGTAGAGGTTACCCACCGCCTTCCGCTCAAGACATCCGCGAAGCGCATTTGCGCGAGCAGCAACAACAAGTCAATGCTGCAGCAGTCATTAAGGCCTCAGGATAGACATAGCCTATATGACCGTCCACCACCTGCGCCTGATAGGTATGGGAGGTAGGAGTACCCATATCCACGAGGGCTGGCGCCGTTACTCAACTGCGAATATATAGAAGCAGGTAGGATCGAGCCCGAACAGGGAGGAGTCAGAGTCCATCGTCCCATAGACACTAGAGACCCATGAGACCCGAACAAGAACCGTTGAAGGCTGCCAACCTGTTCTTTTTTTCTTTCGACTAATTCCAAGGTTAAACTTTCGTCTATGCGAACATACCGACCAATGCTTATTGCAGCGTGGCATACCAGTAGGGTATAGTTCGATACTTGGGCTTACTTACCTAGTCGTCGCTTGGTGGGAACCAGCATCTTTTCATTTCGTTTAGACCGCTTGTCTATCTCCTAGGTGTTCGTTACCAAAAATATTGAGACTGGACTGGAGCATGTTAGTTTACTGGTTTTTCCCGTCCTCGGTTCGCGTTCGATTCTTCGTCTTATCATCACACAACCATCTGACGCAGGCGGGACTTTTTTTTATGCAATGTGATGATCTGACGTCCACCGGAAGGAATGGATGGTATATCTTTTGTCGGCGGAGGAGGGAACGAGGGAGAAATAGGAAGCTGGCTTATTCATCGGATTGGCAGGCTGGTTGTGAGAGTGTGTATAGCATAAGGAGCATTATGAAGGCAGACAGACCTTTTTTTTTTTTACCTTTCTGAGAAAATCACTTGTTAGCTTGTTGTACATATATGAGTTCCTGCGATATGCGAGTCTGTATCGATGTGCTGTAGTCGCTGGAAAGGAAGTATATACGCTGAATTATCTTGGCCTTTTAAATGTGTGTTGTCTGTAATTTGTCAGTTGTGATGATTCTTAAAAATAGGCAAGTGATAACGTAGCTACAATAGATATGTTCTAATATGTAAGTGTGTAATCAGACATCCTCGGGTAAGTATCGATAAATGGATAGAAATGAATGGGCTAATTAATCAGGATTGGATGTGGTGTAGGGAGATTGAAGATTTGTAGGTTCGACCATAGGTTCGACCTTAGGGAGAGGGAGCCCGGCTATTTAATCATGTTGAACTCGGACCTCGATTCGAAGGGCTCGGATCATCGACAAATGTAATAATGAGTCATTCTAACGTATAGCGATAAATCTCGAACCAGACTATAGTTGCTCTTAGAAGTAACTAGTTAGTAATTTCTATAGAAGCTAAGGTTGACTATGAGATGTTAGGCTACGACTCACTCAAACGGTGCTAGAAAATAACCGAGAAACGAAGGATGTTTTATATGTAGTTAGGTAATTACCTAGGTTTTAAATCTAATCATGTTAAAACACCTGTTTATAAGATACTAATCACTACAGAGGTTACATGTCATGAAAAGTCAACTCCAGAGACACCAGACATAAGACACTACCCTAGGTGGATAGGTAGGCATAGGTGTAGGTATAGGGGTGGGTATCCATTAAATTCACTCGCAGTGTAGACCTCTAAGCCCATTCATCAGGCTGTAGCATCTAATCGTCTAACTCTAAGCACCCCCCTCTGTTCTTCCGACTAATAGGATATCCAGCTCGCTAAGACGATACCACAACAGCCCTCCCCACAACCGCCACCACAAACCCCAAAACACCCACGGCCCCCAACCCAAGCGCCGCTGCCGTCGGCCTCCACGACCACGTCCGAGGCGCGTCAATCATCTGCGCCACGATATCGTCTAGCCGTTTCGCCATGTGCGCCTCACCGAAATTCTCTTTTACGCGGGAGACGCCCGCCTTTGATAAAGCGGCGAGCTCGTCGGGAGATAGGCGGTTGAGCACGTTATCCATGACTTCGGTCCACGACGCCACGTCGGCAGGCGACCTGAGCCACCCCGTCACGCCCTCGACAACCGTCTCGGTCGGCCCGCCTGTGTCGGCGGCTAGCACCGGGACGCCTGCGAGCATGGCTTCTAGGGGCACGATGCCGAAGTGTTCGTTCGCGGGGGTGTACACGAGCAGGCGGGCTGAGGCGAGGAGCGCTGCTTTTAGCAGGTTCGGCACCGAGTGCAGGAATAGCACTTGTACGTCGTCGGGGATCTCGAGGGCGGTAACGTGAGTCTTGGCTGTCATGCAGCGCAGCCCGAGAGTCTCGGATAGCTCGACAAGTTCCTTATGATACCCAACGTTCTCCGCAACGCGCGGGTCGTAGCCTCCCGCCACAACCAACCGCACATCTTTACGAGCGTGCGGGGACAAGCCAGCGAAGGCGCGTATAGCAAGCGCGATATCCTTCTTGCGCTCGAAGCGGTTGATGCTGAGAAGGAATTTTTTGCCGTTCCACAGGGGCTTCGCGTGCTCCCGCATATCCTTCTCCTTGGTGTCGACGCACGGATACACAACCTGCAACTCCATGCCTCGCCCTCGCCCTCGGCCCCCCTGCACCAACGCCGGCCAAGTGCGGCCCACGACGCCCTTGGTAAACCGGGAGTTGACAGCGACCGCGTCGGCAAAGCTCATGCTCCACTGCTCCCACGCGTCGAACGGCACGCGGTACGCGCGCTTCCACCAGCGCTGCCGGCCCTGCGCCAATAGCAGGTCGGGAAAATGGCAGTAGAACAGGACGCGGGCGCGCGGGTACACGAGGTGCAGGAGGGGCACGCCGGCGCTGAGCTGGTCGACGAAGAAGGCGTCGGGGCGCAGGGAGTGCAGCTCCGCGGACAGGAAGATCTGGATTATGAGGTGTAGTTGTCGTAGGATGGAACAGAGGATGATGAAGCGCGAGAGGATGGACGGCGGTACGATGGTGTTGCCGCGGACGCGGACGTCGAGGGTTCCTGATTTTGTTAGAGTTTTATTCTATTCTTCGTTTTCTTCTCCTCTCCTCTCCTATCCCCGAATATAACATAATATAATATAATATAACATAATTATAAATATACATACCATCTCTCGCCTCGTCAAAGCAATGTTTCGGATCGCAATGACTAGTAAAAACAACAACCTTGTGCCCTCGATTCTGCAATCCGACCGCCGCGTCAACAACTAATCTCTCAGCGCCGCCGATCCCTAGGTCGGGGTGGAGGAAGACGATAGTCTTAGCGGCCCTTGTCTTTTCCGTCATGTCGGATGTTTCGTTGACACCATCGGCATCGGGTGAAGTTGATGGAAAGTTGCGGCTCTGGAGTTTCGTCGATTTTTTAGGGTCGGAGCTTGACATTTCCTTCCTACCGCCGATCCCTCCTACCTGTCCTCAGCCCTACCGGGTTACGGGTTACGTAGATAGGTACCTTCTACCTAGATATGTAATACCCCACTATTTACCCGCCTACCAACCCCGCAATGACAGTTGCCTGCATTGATTAATATGTCATTTCATGTGATAGAAAAGTTACATGCATATTCTCATTTATAGTCGAGTTGACATAGCAGACCTCTTCAAAAATAGACAATCCGCATGAAGAAATCGTGAAAAACAATAAACTGCAATATAAGACACAACACACAAACACAAATGACCAAGTCATAAACTCATTATTTATTTTATCTACTACCCTTAATACCATACCATACCATACCAAACCATAACCGACCAGTCCCTCTAAACACAAACCAGCAAGCTACGTAAAACAAATAACATCGTGGGTAGCGTAAGCCAGCTTTATCTCATTCTGATATCAACTCCCCCGAGAGACCCGATCAACCAACTAATATGACAGCCTTGCCTTGCCCTTGCTCTTGCTCTTGCTCTTGCTATCATTCAAGACTGGTGGAATATTAGGTAGCCACTGTCAATCAACCCCCTTCCCTCCGGCTTTGTCTCCGTTTCTTTTCTCGTATCGCAAGACGCCTCAAACATGCGGGTATGTTAAAAAAGTAAAAGTGACAAAAAAAACCAACAAAAGAGGTAAAAAATAAAAATTAAGTAAAAATAAAAACATCATGACTATACTTAGTCCGACCCAAAAAAAAAAAAAAAAAAAAAAAAAGCGCCAGTTTGCGGACCGATGACCTAGCACACCGGTGCGCCATTCTAGGAAATCCATCCGAAAACTATAAACAGAGAAGCGAAGTATATGGTCGCTAAGTTAGGATGTTGATGTGACTCTCCTGGCGGGTTGCTTGCTGCAGCATTTCTCAATAATCCACATTCTCACTCGCTGACGGAATCCTCCTCATAGTCGTCCCTTTCAATTTCTTCTCCGACTTCGCTTTGTCTACGTGGCGTAGCTAATCCCAACTCGTTGCGTACGTCCTTCTGTATCTTTAAGAAGTATTTTCTAAGAGTTGCAAGACCACGGAGAAATCCTCGGTCTGGTTCGTTTGGATGTTTCGGCGGGCATGGTTTGTTTTCGGCCAGGTCTCCTGCCGTGACGCTGTTGGCAAAGTCGGCCATCTTGAAGTCGATCTCCTTCTTGTTGATCCGACGTTTTCTGATATCCCACACATCTTCCGTGTCTGTTGGGAAGTCGGTAGTGGACTCGTCAGCGCCCGTATCGTAGCCCTCATCCGAATTGTCGGCATCGTAAAACATTAGTAGGCTAGCCGCGTAGAACCGATAACCGCGCAGCCTACGGATGGTCATCTCAAGTTGGTTCAGTTTCTGTAGGATTGTTGGGATATGTCTTAGGACGCTGCTATAGTCTACGCCGTCGTAGAGGAACATAGTTAGAGCATTTTGAAACTCTGCACCTGCCTTGAGACTACGTCCGTAGTATTTGTCTTTGAAGACGTAAGTCTGGGATTTGGCGTCCCAAGCCTGTAGTCCACAAACCCTAACGCCTAGCTCTCTGGATGTCGTGTTGGCGCATTTACGCTGCTGCGACTCACGCTTCTTTGGGTTGGCATCTACACCATACTGCCGAGTACCCATCTTCAAATCCATGATGCAGGGCCGTTTCATACCAGCAGTAAGGTCCTCCAACAATAAGAAATATTCTACCCTTGAGTCGCGCTGCGTCTGCGCTTCTTTGGGGTTGATAGGCCGTGGAATTTTCTTAAGTTCCATCGTAGGGCTCGGAAGAGCCGAAGGTGCCTCTGATGAAAGATTTGACTGAAATACGGAGCCATCTCCATTTCCATTCTCGATAGTGTCGACTTCGAGCTTGTGTCCATTTGTTTTATGTACATGATTCCGCAATTCTGCCTGAGGTTCGTTATCCCTCCTATATTCAACTTCGTCTGGGTCTTCGAAATACTTAAGATGTCCACGCGGGTCTGCGACGTCCTCGGGCTTCCGCCTAAGTTTGCTTCCCGAGTTGCGCCGCCTCCGCCTTTGAGCGAACTTTTCTGATAAAATTTCAGGCTCCGGCGCACTAGTCCCTGTAACATCTTTCATATGGTCCATGCCTTCAACTCCCGAACAAACCGAGTCGACACTAGCATCACTTTGAGTCTGTACAAGCAGTGGGGGAGGCTTTGGTGGATTTGCTTCGTGAGAATGTCGAACATGACCATTAGTCTTGTCTCGACCAGGCAAAGCACCCTCAGCAGTCATCGGCCGCTCGACTTGCTGTACTGAGCGACGAGGGATCGACCGCTGTTGGGACGCCGGTCTCCGGTGTTTATGTATTGCGATAGGCTGCTTCAAAAAAGCATCATTAAAGACTTCGTTTCGTAGTCTCTTATTAACAGTCGTAGCACCCCAGCTATTAGCATGCCGATCTTCCAGAGACGGCCGGTTTGACAATATCCCCATTTGAAGATTTTTATCACGCAAATATTGCTGGCCTACAGCGGCGGAGGCGCTCCTTGGGCGACCGTCGTTGTCGGCTGCAGATACCGCAGGTCGGAGTAAACTTCGAGGTAGAATGTGACGGTTATCAACAAAAGTGACTGTTGGTATCGGGTTCTGCGACGATTGGAGGGATTGGCTGACAATCCTGCGATGATGACGCTGATCTTCTCTATCCGATGCGTCAAATCCTTGCAGGACCCCTAGGCTAGCCGTTCCCTTATGCCCGTTTGGCTGCTCATCTTGCTCGCCCGTTTTCTTTTCTGGTGTATGGTTGTCATCTTTTTTGACCGTCGATTTTCGCCGTGGTTGTTTCTGAAAGGTGACATTAAGAACACCAATATACCTAAAGAAATGTTAGCTTCTCCCAACAAGCTTGCGGTCTACTCCGTAGAAGCCGTATTGGATATCGAGCTCGGGCAATAGAATTGGCAATAACACACCTGGGCAGGAAGGGTAGGAGATCACGATGATATCGTTCAATTTTCTCATAAAATTCGTTTTCTCGGTTGTTTAATTGCTTGCACACAGCCCTCTTGGAAAATCTCCAGATGGTTGTATGACCACCGACCTGATGCTTATAAGGTATAAGTTCAATTGCATCAAGGGGTAATTCTGGTTCATTTTGATGATCTTGCACCATGTCCTCAAAATACTGGGAGGGCGGTTGAGATGGTCTAGTAGATATATCACGAGATTTTTGGGGGGACTCGATCTCATCCTCGATAGCACATTCATCATCTATTCGCGAGAAGTCTTGAACATGCGAGGCTGGGTCATTATTACGGTTGACATTACCACCGTCCAGTCCATCAGCCCTCGTCCCATCTTCAGCTTCAGGCTCATCTGCTTTTACCAACCAAGGGTGAAAATTCTCACCGTGGGTTTTGCGAGAGACAGGCTGCGAGATATTGAAATCCTTCTGAAGAGCATCCCTTTTTTCCGGACTCTGGTTCAAGCCCTGATGCGGTAGAAACACAGCCGAAGATATCTTTTCTTCAGATGACTCGTCGCCCTCTTCGGCTACATCTCCAACTTCCGTCGTGTCACTTGATTCACGATGAATATCTCCAACACCCTCATCGGGTACGATAGCAGAACCGTTGTGTCCACTGTAAGTCCGTTGTTTTGCAGTAAGAGGCTCCCGGGAAGACGCTCTGGCAGGGTCGGAAATGTGCTTCGGCGGTAGTTGCAAGCCGAAGTAATCGAGTTCAGTAGTTTCACAAGGAACAGACTTGGCATCTGAGTTACCCCAAGGAAAAGACTGCACGCTTGGGCCATGAGAAGGAGAGTGGTCGCCTTCAATAGACTGGGGCGAGGGTACTGGGGACTGAAAAACACTATTATCATCGGAACATTTCTGATAATTTGCATCTGCGGCCAAGCCCTTGGCGATCAATGACTTGTCTCGCTGATGTCCTACTGATTTTGATTCCCTCCGCCTGCCTTTCTCTTCTGGGAGACCCTCCTTGAAGAAACGTAGACTATGACTTGCTTTCCGGCTCCGCGTCGGTTCAACACCGGCTAGCACCTCCGTAATAGATTTTTCAACCTGTCCATCTTGGTGGCCGATTATATCGTTAGTGCCAATGGACCAGGCTTTCTCTGGGCCCATGGAGAGCGTACGGTCGACTCTCCAAGCCCTGTATTGGGCCCGCGGGTCAGAAATGAATTCCGGCTTATCGCCAGTAGAAGGTGCGATATCGGTAGCACCGACTGCATGGGAAAACGCAGTGTCCCCAACGTTATCGGAAAGCGTTTTAGGGCGGTTCAACAATCTTAAATAAATTTCCCTGTCTGTACGTTCCAATGAGCGCCCTCTACCAATGCCCAAATCAAAATCCCTGTTCCCTATAAGCGTCGTAGTTGAGCTTATGGTTCCGGGCATGGCGATAGGTGACGGTGTTGCAGCTTGTCCTAGAGGGGTAATCGAAGATAGTGACGGCACGGATGTCGCTATGGAGGCCTCAGCAAGCCCCGGTTGGTTAATTAGTGTCAGAGAGCCATGCTCGCTCCGCTCATGATAGTCATCTTGTGGTGCGACTATGGAGTTTCCGGTAGGTGTATCAAGTACGTTTCTCGGCTGGCTAGGTCGGTTCGGTGCATTGGAATATACAGGCTTCTGCTCGGGACGTCGCTGGTCTGTCTGAGTTTGGGAGGCGTGCGAAGAGGGTATTCCACGAGCAGAAGCCAGAGCTTGCGAGAGTAGGGACGGGCCATTGGACCTCTGGGGGACCGAGGGCGGCCTTGACTTATTATTGTTGTGGTCGACATGGTTAGTAGTAAGGGATGAGGGAAAGGTGGATGCGGATAGCACATGGGAACCGGGGGGTGCTGGTACGGCAGGCAAGACACTTGCAGATGGCCGTGCATGGTCAGATACGGAGGGCGAACCAGTCACAGTAACGGAAGAAGAGGATGGGACAGTCGCTGTCCCAGTGGCAGCGGCAGCGTTAGCAGCATTAGCAGCATTGGGACTCCCAGAGGCCACACCTTGGGGGCTCACCGGTGCGGCAGTTGCGGCATTTTCGGGCTTACGATGCGGGCTGGACATGAGGTAAACATCTGGCGAATACCATGGCAGTGTGGGAGGAATGATTCGCAGGAGATTGAGCGGTAGAGCGGGTGGTATTCGGGATCGTAGGTAGTGTTAAAAGTTGAATTATGATGAAAAGGTACAAGCCTAGATACAAAGCCTAAGAAAGCTACAAGTTTAATTCTGGTGGCGGTTTCGGTCAAAGTGGAGACCAACTTACCATAGCCTACCAGTCCGTACCTCCCCCCAAAAATGCCCAAAGCCGGGTAACCTTAGGGGAGGGGTCCCCCGGATTCCAAGACCTAAATTAACGTATGTAGTGCGTCCAACGCCTCCGATACCTAAACAGTACCTACTTATTTGTAGTATATCACGTACCTAACCCCAGATTCTAGCACTATATAAACCTTTCGGTATCTTACATCTTTAAGTATTTTCTAGGTACTTCTTAATATACTAAACCATTAAAACCAATACGGCTCATTTTACCTTACCTATATCAATGACGATCTAAAACGCTAGAATATCCACGTGCTACTGAACCAGTGACCATCGAAATATACCAACCCAAACTATAACCAGCCAAATTCATACCAAAAGCATTCTAATCCCCAAGACCACTCCAAGAGTCTCCAAGAAGCCACCAAGAGCCGTGAATCGATTTTCTTAGATTCTATCGAGCCATCCTCCGCTTGATACGACCTCGTTACATTATAAATCGTTCTTTTTAATGTCAAGACCATCACGCCTCACGTCCATTGGACCAGCGAAATAACCACTCGTAGCACTAATGCTTGGTAGATCGAGATGTCTAATTAATGCCTAGTCTCCGGATGCTGTCGACTGACCGCTTGACACCCAAGAAGTAGGCCTTTCATCGCGATGAGGACGATGATCCAATCTACAAAACTTCGATCCCGGGCTTTCGGGGTTCTTGACCGCTTCAATGAGAGCCGAAGTCAGACAATCCTATAGAGCTCGGACTTGCGCTCTGACGTGTTGGCGTTCTTGTTGTCCGTCGTTAACTTCGGTTATTCTCTAATTCAACACACGTTGTTGCTCTCTCACTTATTACAGGCTATAACAATCTTCTCTATGAGGGATATGAGGGATAATACTTCACGATGGCCCGTGTGCTACTCGTGCTAGGTCGGCACTCCTGAGTCATGCTACGTTTGGTTTTACCATGAGCTGCCACGTTGTTCGTCCGACATGCATAGTCTTAGGTTTGCATAGTTGGTATAGGGCAGCTTACCTTTGAGGAAGCCTCAAACTGTTGCTTCCAAGACGCATGAAGCCTTGGGGTCGGCGTGATTATCTGCATATCTACGTCGTTTGTGTATCACATCAGTCAGAGTAAGGCAAGATGGCTTGCTTTTTCTTAGGCACACTACACAATAATGGCTTGCTTGCACTTATTACGGCAAACCATCCGAGAAGGGTTCTTAACTTCAACGGGACGATATGTTAAACGAATGCGTCGATCGTAGACAGAATTGTGTCAAGCACGGAACCACATTCCATGTCGTTAAGCTTACAGACAATAGGCCTGGGTCTCGGCCTCCTTATTATTCGTGGATTTGCAGGCCTCAAGATCCTTTCTCGGCCAATCATTCAACAACGTGCCCTTTTGACAATTCTTCACTCGAAGAAAATATCGAGTCAGAGGCTTCTTATACAACAAACTAATTCAGGAACAGCCGGCCCTAGGAGATCTAATCATTTCCCCCATTATTTCGCGGCATTCATAGCATAATTCCGAGTCGCATATTCTTCTCTGCTGCCACACGTGGTTGTGCGACGAGAATAGTTGGGTCATGTAACAGAACAGCGGCACCTCGGCTTCTAATCCAATATGATGAGACGGTGGAGTTTCGCAAGATCCAGTCATAAGAGTTTATACCTTACATACATGTAGATTGACGTAGCTATTTTGCAGAGCCTCATGATACTCGTCGTCGTTACAGCTCACGTATAGACAAGACTAATTATTAGTGTGTATAATGCTTTATATTCTCCATCAACGACGGTATTCTATAAAAGTAAATAATAAATTAATTAACACAATAAATAATGAACGTCTTATTCAAGTATACTCAACTTGGGCTATTCGTCCATCCGGTCTCTTTCCCATCTATCACTGGACGTCCATCGGATCACCTGCTTCGGAATATTCAGTATCTTCCTTTTCGCCATCACCTGATGTTTCAGGCTGAAAAAATATTCTCAATACCCAGGACTCGATTGCGTCGTCATGCTCGCCTGAAAACGTCTTTTTCGCGCCTCTCCCTGCCTGGCGTGACAAGTCTAGCAGGGTCGGACGATCACGGGGATCATGTCTCATGCATGCTGCAATCGTTTCTCGAAGTTCCCTATCAACATATCCGAACTGTTCTTCGTCGTCGAGTATTACCGGGCAATAGTGGAGCGGCTCACCATCTTGCCTTTGAGGTGCATCTGGCACCCTGCACCCCGTGATGAGCTGCCACATACTCTGTATAAACATTAGATTAGATTATCTCAAATTCTTGCTGTTTTACTCGGGAGCGTTACCCATGCAATTCCCCATACGTTCGTGGCATACGAGTAGTTACCAGCAATCGGTTGTTCGGAAAGCTCACAGCCGTCAGGATCTGTAGGCGCGATATGTTCCCATTCTACACCGAACTGTTCAGGGGCAAAGTATCCTTGTTTAGCCATTCGACGCCTATCGAGGTAATATACGTTCTTCTTGTTTTGCTTCATAACGCGGGCACATCCAAAATCTGCAAGCTATCGAATACTCTTGTTAGCACAAGAAAACTTACTTGTCTGATATGAATAAAATACCTTCAATCTAGGGATTAAATCATGCTCACCATCTCTGGCACCGAAGTCAGGAGGGGCGATGAATACTTGGAGGTAGTTAGTCACCGAAACCTACCGATAAGACAGCTTTCGTTACTCACTATTGCTAGGATCAATATCGAAATGAATCAGGTTCTTGCGAGCCCATCTGCGTCCCTCAACAGGGATTTCTTCGAAAAGATCATTTCCCAGGGTTTTCCCAACGACAACATCTTCTCCATGTTCTTGTCTCCTTACTAGATCATCAATCTCGTCGTCGTCTGCATGATCCTGGGGTCTTCCACGGCGCCTAGGGTGGAATTTCCGTGGAGGATAACTACAATGACGCGTCAGCTTTTATGCCATGTGTACTATATGTGCCTACCATATGAAAAGACCCGAAGAATTCGATGGCTTCGTGGCGTATGTAAATATCTAGGGATTCCTTACTCCATAGCGATACAGGCTTTAACCACTAATAATTTAATTAGCCAACAATTCGCAAAAGAAGGGGAAGGAAGACAAGCTCTTCACATACAACAATTCCAGAATGACCAAAGGACACGGTTAGGAATATTCTCGGACATTCGGTGTATTTTAGAAATAGCGTGGGCAAGATCACCAAGTTGCATAAACTCGAGAAGGAGGAAATCCTTATAATCTAAGCTCCACGACCTGATAAAGTCAGGATCAACTGTTTTCCCTTGCTCTAACATTTTAGTTACTGTCCTAAGGTTAGACTGCCAGGTTTCGAGTTCATAGCGCCTTGAATCCTTTCTCTCTTCGTGTCGTGCAAATTTCTCTAGCATCTGTTCGGGCTCGTTATCCAGTCGCCACCTCCGATTGGGACCCGCTGGAGGTGTGCCACTACGGCTCTCGTCGCCACTGGATTCTCCTTCAGAACTTGAATCATATCGAGGTATCTCCTGGAATTCAAATTTTTCTTTTGGTGGCATTCCTATCTCTACGGGGTCGATGGCCTGGATAGTATGAGCCGCTCGAGACACATGCTACGAGGTAATTAGATAAAGCTTATAAAAGTGAGTGGTAGTGGGTATAGGTTACCCTCATCATTTCCTCTTCATGACGAATATCCAAGCTATACCATCCCTTAAGACCTATTTTCAGTACGATATCTCGGTCATCACGTCCAACCTCTGAACCTCGCCACTTAAAATGAACAGTTAGTCCCAAACCACCATATCCTAGGTGTCTTATATAATCGAATCTTCCCTGCTGAAGAAAATAGTTTTTGGCCTCATCGAGTCTTTTCTGTGCCCGGTCGTTAAGGTTTCTAACCCCGTCAACCATGTAAGGGTTCCAATAATATGACGGAAAGGGCCCATCTCGGAGGTTAGGTGAACCTCCTCTTGGAAATGGGTGTGCCAACCAACTCCCCCTGTTTCGGGCAAATTCCTCGGCGCTAGGTTCTCTGTAGCCCCATCGTCGGTATCGAAAGAACCTCCAATTCTGCGCTCGATACTTTTCCTCGAAGATGGTGGGATCATAACTGACCACATCTGGACCATCCAAGCCTCCGTATGATGCCATTGTAGTTGTAGCTTATAATGTAGAAGCTCTGACTAGTCCGCCGAAAGACAAATCAAGAGTAGGTTCCACTGGATACTTATTGTTATGGCACTAAATAGATCTGGATAATATATGAACAAAGAAGGAATTGCTTACGGGTGATATCTCTAGCGGTTGCTGCCATACTGTTTGCGGGAAAATTGCTTTGATTAGGGATGTGTAAAACAAAGCGTTGATAGAATTACATAGTAGTCTAGGGTGTGGCGTCTAGGATCTTTTATACTATAAGATATTTTAGGTAGGTAGTTATTCATATTTATAATTACCTAAACTTATCCGGTTGAATTCTTGATCCATCGAAGGTATCTTTGATACCAAACCTCATGTTAGGATTTTTCACCAGCCGGCTATTTAGAATCATTGGCATCATTAGTAGACTCCCATTGGACCATGGCCGATTCCTACATGTAAACCTTGAAAGCTTAGCGCTGTTGTTGAGCCTCACGAGCTAGGGTCACATCACAACATGAATGCGGCTGATTCCAGACTCAGCTGAGACTTACAGCTCTGATATGGTCCTGGGTCCTTGATATCTGTCATAGCGCGCATTGAATAATTCCTATATTCGTTCACGTACGAAACGAGGAGAGCATAGGCGTGTTTGCTACATGCTTGTTAGTCTCCTGATAATTTAATATGTTAGCTGTTTGATATGAGGTTGCAAACGTCAGGTGGATATTTAGATGTAGGTAGATCTGATCAGCGTGATGCTATCTTTAGCGTATTGGAGCATTGGAGCATTAATTCAAGCATTAATAACGGCCCTTCAAAACTAGGAATTAACGCTAGTAAGATCACGGGGGTATATATACCTGGTATTTAGGTACTTAAGGCATGCAGGTGCAGATGCGATACTCCATTGGATCTTTTAACTTTTCGATGAGAAACGGAAGCGGAGCAGTGGAAACGGAAAGAACGTACTGGCCGCCCCGCTTACTAAAGGCACCGAACTGGTATGTATGAAGAATAGGTACATACGAGAAGGGTTAGTCAGAGTCTGGAGATGCAAGAGATTCCCGACTCTGTATGTACCTACATCTCACATATTGCTGTACCTTGTACACACTTCATGCATGTTTCGCCGTTTCATTTGTGTGGACTAGCTGACTGGAGACCTCTGAGACGACCGGCTATGGCTGGCTTTTTCAGTTGCAATCCTTTCGTCATCTGTCATAATTGCATTTTGATTGTACCGCGTACCGATGTTCCATGTTCCATGTCCAATTGTTCCAACCCAAACTTTTCCAAGTTATTTACTGCACTTACGCCAACCATTCTTCTTCTGGTTGCGTTTTTAACTTATTTATACATCCTCTTCTTCTTCTTCTTCCCATTCCGTCAACTCGGAAGTCTGCAGTAGGAATCCTGCAAATTTTCGCACTTGTTGCGACTCGTTTTACTATTGTATTCTTCATATCTCTTTCATCTTCTACTATTTCTTTTTCTTCTAAGCTTGTAGTTCACTTGTGGTTCTTGTGGCGGCTACCTATCATTTCAAAATCCCATTCGTTCCCACTTTACTGTTAGCTGCGTTACTTCGTTGTTGGCCTGTGGTTGGAGAACGCCACACCAAACGAACAGTGACAACGAGCAGAGCATAATTGAGACTCGATTATTTTACACGAATTATAGAAAGACAAATTACGACCCATAAACATACCCTGCTGGTGCTGCAGACAGTCAACTAATTTTCGTCATTTTTGTCGTGCCGCACCCCCTCTCATCTCTTACGTGCATCACAGTTGACCGTTGACCGTTGATCCTGGATAAGCGCGTTTATACATAACGCCCCTCCTAACCCAACAATCCGTCGTCACAATGCGTCGCGCTTCCGTAGATTTGACCGACCCCTCTCGAAATATCGAGGAATCAATAGGCACTCCAGACCCGACATCTATAGATTCTGATCTAGATATGACTTTGACAACAGATGATGAGGGCGCTAGAATATACACCCCGCCTCCTCACATAGCCGCACGATTTTATCGACCTAGTCAGAATCGTCGAAAAGAGTCGGCCGCCTCGTCGCGTCGTAATTCGATTTCCTCTGCGCATTCGCGGTCTTCGCATGGCTTCAATCACCATGGCGGCCCGCAGAGTAAATACATTGCCCAGCAGATGCGTCGTGCCTCGATCCTCGAAGATCGCAAGGCCCGTCTTGCCGATAGGGCGGCGCACGCTGAGAAGGTGCGCTTGAGAGCGGCCATGGCAAAGGCAGCCCACCACAAGACTTCTAACTTAGAGGAGCGGGCGTTGGCTGCTGCTCAGGCTAGAGAGAAGAACCTAGCCGAAATCGTCGCTGCTTGTGCCGAAGAAGTAAAGCGGGCCAAAGCAGTGGCTGAAAGCATGAAGGAAAAAAGGGAACAGGAACTGCGCAAGCTCAAGTCCCAGATGGAGGAGCGATTGGCTGAGGCGGAGAAGAGGAGAGAGGAATTACGCAGTCGCCATACAGCCAAACGTTCTAGAGGCCAGAGCATAATGACGAAGAGATCTGACACGAGTAGTTTGCCAGAGGAAGAGGAACACGAATCCTCAAGCATGAGTGATGTCGTGCCCATGAGCGAGGATGTAGCGGTGTCCAAGATTCAATGGTGGTGGAGAGGAGTACTGAGAAGGATGGCGGCACGCCAATTTTCCGAGCTCGGTTTGAACATTGATAGCGTCAGAGATACCTCATTTGAGCAAGTGACCGAACTTCTTGCCCAAGAGAGGGTCCTTCTGCTCACTTCAAGAGTCTTGCGCATCTGCGGCTTACAAGAGGGCGACCCGGGGTCAGTGGATGAGATGACCGCTGTTCGCACGTTCCTGAGCGCTTTCTTAATTTTAGGCCATCCTACCCAAGTCCTTAGCAATAAAGATCATAGGGGAGAACAGGAGCAGGTTGGATCTTCTCAAGGGCAACCCATTCCTCATGATGATCTGGCTAATCCACAGTTACAGGATCTCGTCGGCAAGGCACGAGATTTGCTAATCTCCTTTGAGAATATCCTTTCTCGATTGACCTCGATGAACAATTATACAGTTCCGCCAGCGTTGCGGGCAGCTTTACCGGAATCCTATGCGACATTCCACAATGCATTCATAGCATGGAAGGCTCGTGATTCAAATGCGTTGGTCGAAGTCATGATCCTACAATTCGTGGAACTTGACGCAATACTCGAAACGGTTAAAGATGGCACCGAAGAAGCCGTTGCTGATTCCTACCGACAAAGCATCAAAGACAACCAGCTGATGCTGATGGTCCGGATAAAGAGGCTTGCCGGCGCCGAGCGAGGAAAGAAAATGATTTTTGATGCCGTCAAGCAAGCAAGGAAGGCTAGGGCTGCGAAAAGACCTGCAGGCGACATGAAGCCACGAGCCACCGAACATGATATTAACAATGATAACTCTGTCGGAAGCAACGCAACAGCCGATCATGTTATTTCGTCTCAATTACAGACGCTCACGCCACCTCCTTCTCCACTCCGGGAGAAAGAGCTGAAATTTAACATAAGCCAGCCGACTTACCCCCCGATCCTCCCGGACAATCGAGTAATCGTCCACGAGTTGGCTATCAATCGGGAGTATAGCATCGAATACCAGCATTTCCAAGAGCAGCATAAGCTTCGCATGGACCCCCTATTTCAAGACCTAAAGAGCGGCCCGAGGGACGAAGAGAAGGAATTTCATTATCTCTTGATAATGGCCAACTACATCAGAGACAGACTTCAGCATCTAGTCAAGCCTGGTTCATCTATGCACACTTTTATCGGTGAAATACTCGACACTGAAGTCTCACAACAGCAATTCTTAGCCGGTAGCTTTTCGTATGAGCGATTCTTCTCGTCTATGGGGTCTCTTCTCCCAAAGCTTTGCGCTCCGGTTCGTGACGACGAGGTAAAAGATTTAGTTGAGAATAAACTGAGTCAAGGACACATTGTCGACCGCCTCGAGGCGCTCCTTTCATTTATTGATACTATGCTTTACGATTACGCGAACTACATGTTAAAAGTTGCAGCACCAAGTCTCGTAGAGCATGCTTCTGCATACGAAACGAAGAGATTTGCCGAGGAGCTGGAGGATGGCACGATTACGCTTCATCGCGCGGAGACTTCTTGGCGAACCGCGCGCAATAAAGTGCTCGCGGAAGTCTCGCGCCGTGACCCCGAGGGCATCAATCACCCACGTTCGCGGCCCACTCCGGACAAGATTTATTGGCAGATGTTATTAGACGAGTTCACACAACCATCACCATCAGATGAAACTGTGCCGGAACCACTCGCCCTCGATGCAAAACGTCGTGCTCGTATAGGCCGTCAAACAATGCGCATCGTTACAGCGGGTGCCATCCTCTTACAGTGCAAGAATATGCTCAAGCGCGATGTCCGAGCCCCTTGGAGGACAGAAGCTGGTCGCATCTTGACGGTCCTCGAGTCTATGGATAACGATTCGAAGCCACTCCCTCAGTCTACGGCTACGCACGGCATCATGGCGGCACTCGAAGCAGGGCGATCGATGCCGACAGCCACTAAAACACACCTACAAGCTCTTGTAACAAAGGTACTTGCTGCCAGCATGGATGTCAAACGCGACAATACGGACCCTGGAGAACCTGTATTAAGGCTGCTCCTAACACGAATCAGAGGTCACATCCTAGCTAGGTTGCAAGCCGGTTCCGCGAGCGAAAAGGTCAAAGCCACTAGTACAGCTGGGGAAAAGCTCGCAAGCCTCGGACTGCCCGAGTTTGGAGAGAAGGTGCGAGAGATCGTCGATGAGATTGTTAAAGTAGGAGTTGTAGATCGAGAAGCCCATGGAGTATGGTGGGAAGAGGTAGCTGAGAAGGTGAGCAGAGAGGATTCAGTCCCTACATCATCAGCTGCGTAAGTGCGGAGAGTAGCAGCAGTTGGGAAATGCATTCGTCGTCACATGCGTGAGACGTGGAGTATACATTATTGATAGGTTTTATTTATTGGCTCGGGTTTGGGTCTCTGGTTTCGGTTCAATTCCTGAATTGGCGTTTTCTTCGGGTATACATTCGAATACGTTTTCAAGACGGATGATGTATTGGATTTTGGAACTGGATGGAACACCTTTTTGGAAGGATACCTTTTGCACCTTTTGAGTCAGCGCACATTTCGGGCTTGTGATATTGATTTAGCATTGCTTAAGAGCCTTAGAAATATAATTCAAGCTTATCATTTTAGAATGATGCTAGCGAAGAATATTCATACAGTTTGTACAATTAACTACATTGTTTATGCGGATTCGGGGGACTAGCAAGATACACGTGTAGTATATGAAGGTTTGGACTATAGAGATATGAGGTATTTTCAGTATAACTAAACATTTATATTCTTTAACGGGTGATGATTTATACGTCGCTATTTCTTCAGAAAGTGATTACCCAATTTATATTTCGTACTTGCCTCGGATAGGTACCTTTAATAGGTACATAAGATAGGCACGTGATAACGAGACAGCGAGACAGCGGGGCAAACGCGAGGCGCGTCTTCGGTTCGTTCCTTAAGTTCATTCCTTAAGTACTTAATTAATGTCACTTCTCATACTCGAAAGCGTTTAGAGGCTACAAATAGCGTCTAAAGAATATGCCTTTCTAATGACTTGAATGGCACTTCTAGTCAATCCTATATTTATATTCGTCGCCTTGTAGCTCACCATTAACGACGTTAAGAATTATGGCACAATCACAATTAACCGGTGAGTTTCTATAGGCAGCATCTCATTAGCAATTTTGAATGTAAGTTAATCACATATTAAACGCAGATGCGGATACCATCCGTATCCTCGTCGCCACTGATAATCATGTTGGTTACGAGGAACGAGATCCGATCCGTGGCGATGATAGCTGGAAGTCATTCGATGAAATTATGAATTTAGCCCGGAAAGAAGATGTAAGCAAGTTCGGCGTCTCAGAGTCCTGCTTATAGTTGCTTACGAAGTAGGTTGATATGGTTCTACTAGCTGGAGACTTATTCCACGATAACAAGCCGTCCAGGAAAGCCATGTTCCAGGTTATGCGATCATTGAGGAAAAACTGTCTTGGCCTGAAGCCATGTGAAGTACAGTTCCTGAGCGATGCGAACGAAGTCTTTCAGGGTGCCTTTGGACATGTCAACTATGAAGATCCCGATATCAATATCTCCATCCCTGTCTTCTCCATCCATGGCAACCATGACGATCCTAGCGGCGAAGGTAACTTTTGTTCTTTGGATCTACTTCAAGTCGCCGGACTTGTGAACTATTTCGGACGTGTGCCCCGAGCAGACGATATCGAAGCTAAGCCAGTTCTACTTCAGAAAGGCATGACTAAATTAGCACTCTACGGATTAAGCAACGTGCGAGATGAGCGTATGTTTCGGACATTCCGTGATCATAATGTCAAGTGGTTTAGACCGAACCAACAATCAAGCGATTGGTTCAACCTCCTTGCCGTTCACCAGAATCATCATGCTCATACTGCTACCGGCTATCTGCCCGAGAATATGTTACCTGAGTGGCTAGATTTGGTCGTCTGGGGTCACGAACACGAGTGTCTGATTGATCCTTCGCATAATCCAGAGACTGGCTTCCATGTTATGCAACCAGGCTCCTCGGTTGCCACATCTTTAGTCCCAGGCGAAGCCGTAGCCAAACACGTCGCCGTGGTAAGCGTCACGGGGAGAGATTTCAAAGTAGAGAAGCATCGGTTGAAATCAGTCCGCCCTTTCATGACCGCCGAGATTATCCTAGCAAACGATAAGAGGTTCAAAGGTCTAGATAAGAAGAAAGAAAACCGCCAGGAGCTCACGCGAAAATTAATGGACGTAGTCGAGGAAATGATCGAAGAAGCTAATGCCGAGTGGGAATCTATTCAGGAGGGTGATTCTCTAGACGGTGAACGACCTCTACCCTTAATTCGTCTAAAGGTTGAGTACACTGCTCCAGAAGGAGGCCATTACGATATCGAGAATCCGCAGCGATTCTCCAATCGGTTCCAAGGAAAGGTTGCAAATACCAACGATGTTGTATACTTCTATCGGAAAAAGACGGCGCAGAGTAAGTGAAGCGACAGATTTTCCAATTGGAAATATTACTAATACGTAATAGGGAGAACTGCAAAAGACACAGAATTATCAGAAGAGCTATTAGCAGCCTTAGACGATATAGACGACATTAAAGTCGGCAAGCTGGTTGAAGAATTTTTGTCTGCCCAAGCACAATCCCTGAAAATTCTTCCACAAGCACCATTCGGTGATGCAGTTAACCAGTTCGTTGACAAAGACGACAAGCATGCTATGGAATCGTTTGTGAGCGAGTCTCTCTCGGAGCAAGTGAGACAGATGCTACTATTAGATGGCAACGAAGCCGACCCTGAAAACATGTATACAGCAATGGGACATATTAAACAGATCCTCGAGAAGCAGTATACTGCAGGCAACCTAAAACAGGCAAAACGACTTAAATATAAACCAAAGCCGGACCTTTGGGACTCCGATCTCGATGGTCATTGGGAAGATCAACCCCAGGCAATCGATCACGAGACAACTACTACCAAGACAACGCCCCAAATAAGCCAGCCCAAAGGCCGCGGGAGAAAAGCAGCACAAGTTATAGAAGATGAGGAGGACGATATGGAGGACGTCGAGCCGCAACCGCCTGCGCCAAAGACAAGGGCAAGAGGTAGGCCAGCAGCAGCAGCAGCAGCTAAACCTAAGGCAACCCTAGCGAAGAAAGCGCCTGCCAAAGGCCGAGGTCGTAAAGCTCAGGTATTCGAACAGTCAGAAGAAGAGGAAGAAGACGTTGTAATGGATGACGACGATTTCGATCCCCCGCCGCCACCACCAAAACGCACTACGACGAGAACTACAACGACGAGGGCGGCATCTACTAGGTCATCGCAGACAGCGAAGGCTGCGTCTACTGCTGCTGCGTCCAAGGCGGCCCCGAAGCCACGCCAGACGAAATTGAACTTTTCGCAAAAGGCGTCGCAGCAGGAGCCGTTGGAGATTAGTGATGATGAGATTTCAGATGATTTTGAGTCGGTGCCGGAAACTAGGACTCGGAGGCGTTGAGATATGCTGAGTAGAATGTGAAGACTTATTAATATTGTAGTTAAGCCAGACTTACGGCGTGTCTATCTAGTTGGCTATGCGATGTTGCTATCTGAGATTACTTTTATGCTAATGATGAAATAATCGGGTTGTTAGCCAGTTCTACTTGGTATGTCCACCTAAGTCACATATCATATGGTACATCTTGAGGCTAGGCAATGGTAGGCGTTAGGGGCGTCGCTTATTGGAGTTATCGTTTAGCCACGGAAGAGTATTTTAAGTGGTTGCTAAAAGCGGATAAATTGAGAAAAGTGTTCTTAATAATGGTGCTGCTACTTATATATTCCCTTAGATTCAACCGTATACGTCGCCAGAGTCTCCAGCACTATTAGTGCCTAAGGCAGGACCACTTCGAGTAGTTCATAGGTATTAACATAGCTCAGCTATTATGGGAATATATCAAATGCTTCCAGTTAATTAATACTTTACTTTAATAGGCGATGTTGACTCAGAAAGCTCATTCAGAAGCTTGAGGATTATTTGAAGTTTTACTTCGCTAGTTATCGCCATTCGAGTCTCGCTTCTGTAGATGAAAAAAACCCCACCCCTAGTGTTGGCAACCCCCGGCGGCTATAATAGGTACCTGTCTCACGTCCGTAGATATCGTTTTAGCAGATATTCCGAAATTTGACTTTGCTCGACTGCACTAGGGCTGCGTTGATAGTTTAAGGGGCCGAGCCGCGGCTACTAAGGAAGCTAGTTGGTCTTATTATCCGTGCGGTATATATATTTAGATGGCCCGGTATGGCATCAGAGATCTTGTTCTCTTCATTGCTGAATATAATCCCTTAGGGTTTTAAGTTATTTCTTTGGACTAAGCTGTTAGGGGCGAGTTGTAGTGATCATAGTGTCGGCCTATTTCCTTGTCTGTAAATAGGCTTGGGAATATTTTGTATATGACTTAGGTAGGCTATAGAATTAAGGTTCTTTAGAAGGCGCTCTAGAGTTCGTGGCTCGTACGCTTGATCGTTGTATTATGGTGGTGTCTTGCGTAGTCGTGTAAACTTGGCAATACGTCTATGCTCAACGGGCCGGAATAAGGGGCTATATAATGCTTCAGGGACGAGAATTGGAGTAGTATATCCACAGCATATTGTATAAACGCTAGTAGTGAAAAGGAGAATGACATTATCATGTTTCTATTGTGATTTGACTCGAGAGGTTTACATTAGGGATTTTCTCGCGTGGTTGATTTCTATCATGGGTTAAGACCTGCGCTATCTTCGTAGACACCCGTGTGTTGCGTAGGCAGGTATCTAAGGCAGCCTTTACTATAAAAGTTGTCTGTTGCACCCCTGAGTGCCAACTAGGGGCCAATCAAGACCCTGTAATAACCCTGTAATACTAAAACTTCACATTTATTCAAAAGGAATATTATACCATCCAGCCTCTCGTTAATATCACTTGAGTTATTAAATATCCCTCGTACGAATAATATACGACCTTTAACATCTCACCCAACATCATTTCGACGGTGGTGTAAGGAACCCAACCACCACTAGGTCTCGGTATACACTTATAGTTGGTTTCAAACCATCCACACACCCTACCAAATCCGCACATTTAAAGAAGACAACAAGACTACGCAGTCACTGGAGGTGTGGTGTAGTCCTGCAGTCTCATATGTCCGTAGACTAATAGTTAAAATGACCACTGGATGCCACTCGAACACGCAATATGACGGAGATTTGGTTTAAGACGAGATATCTTTTCATTGAACACCGTCGCCCTTTAATATCACCTAATGGCAGAAGACAACAACATCTAAAAGTTACTTAGCAGAAAAGATGTGTCCCGTCACTAATATTTCCCAATGAGCCCGCCGTAAAATCCCCAGATCATCCAGAGATGCCTGCTCCCCCTTTTCCAAGATGCGCTTCACACTCCCGATCCTCCTATTCTCGCTAACCGCATCCTCTCTCCCCGAACCCCCCTCCTCCTCCCACCACAAGTCCAACACCGCACACAAGAAAAGCAGCAGCAAGCCCAAACCCAACTCCCAGCACCAACCCAAGTACTTCCACGAAGCAGGCGGCACGCTCGAGCTGGGCCACTACGACGCGCGGTTCTTCCGGGGCGTGGTGCCGTACGCGGAGCACGGGCCGGCGCTGCAGCGGCTCATCCGGTCGTGGCTCGCGACGACGCACGAGCTCGGCGTGGACACCTGGCTCGCGCACGGGACGCTGCTGGGCTGGTGGTGGAACGGCCGCGTGATGCCCTGGGACTACGACCTCGACGTGCAGATGCCGACGGCCACGCTATCGTACCTAGGGCGCCATTTCAACCGCACGCTGCACGATTACCGATTTATCGTCGACGGTGGGGGAAGTGGTGGGGAGAAGATAATCGCAAGCGGGAATATCGATATTGACACTAGTAATAAAGACGAGAACGGGGATAGAAATAGAGACAGCGGTATAAACGACCAAGACATCGTCCACATCAACAAAACGTACCTCCTAGACGTAAACCCGCACCACACGGACCTGGCCCGCGGCAACGGCGCCAACATCATCGACGCGCGGTGGATCGACACGGGGACGGGGCTTCGTCGACATCACGGGGCTGGCGGAGCGGGACGCGGCGGGGGCCCCGGGCGTCTGGAGCTGCAAGAACGCGCACCGGTACCGCACCCGTGAGATCTACCCCGTGCGGCGCACCGAGTTCGAGGGCGTGCCTGCCCGCGTGCCCTACGCGTTCGATAAGATTCTTACCGACGAGTATGGCGCTAAGAGTCTTGTTAATACGGAGTGGGCTGGGTGAGTAGACTATATTTAATACAGCTTATACTATTTGTTGTTGTTGTTTTGGTGAGGGTAGGGGGGGGGTGGTTAATACGCATTTATCCCCTCTCTTTGAATTCTATACTTCTTCTTCCACCCTTTCCGACGTCTTAAAAAGGTGAACGGTAGGGAGAAGATTGCTAACCGGTATGATAGACATCGCTGGGTGCCGGAGCTTAAGGAGTGGGTTAAAAACCCGGAGCCGCGGCCGGGTGACAAGGAGAAGGTTGCGAAGCAGCAGCAGGATGGGAAGGCTGTGGTGGTGGTTGTGGAGAAGACGGTTGTAAAGGGGGCTCAATAAGAGCGGCTATACGAGAGGGCATAGAGCTGTTGCTTATGGTAAACTCTTCTCCTAAGTTTAGGTTCTGGGAAATGTATGGGGTTGGCTTATGATGAGAACGCTTTGGTAAGATCCTATATATACATGTGCCTTCTCATACAAGTAGGCCAAGGTAGAAATAATCTAGTGTACGCGTCAGCACTCATTAAGGGCCGCCTTTAAGCAAAAATATCCCGAAGAATATGTGAGAATTACCACCATACGCACCTTTCCCCTTGCTGAGCTCATCTTCATTTCAGGGGTAATTAAGGGTAAAAAAGTTATACCAAGAGTAAAAGCATCCCACACCCCTTAAAAACATTCGTTAATATTGTTTAAACAACTCGTAGCTCGTAAAATATACGCTTATCCGCTTGTCTGTAGACCAATCCAACTTAACCCATTCATCCCTAAACGCCATAGCCATGCAATAAATCATAAAGTCCTTTCCCCCTTATATCGCCCAGCGTAAGAAAAACGTAATATACTTAGTAGAATCGCATATCCGTATCATATCTCAACACATCACCGATTCCTCTTCGCCTCCTCCTCAGCCTGTTTCTGCTTCTTCATACGTTCCTCCGCCGCTTTAGCTATGATCTCCCGTCTACTCACCGCGCCCTGCCCCGCCGCCGCCGCAGCAGCAGTACTTCCACCCCCCACACTCCCACCTCCAAGCACAAACTCCCCGCCCGTCCACCCGCCATGATCATACGCCACCTCCTCCTCCTCTTCCCGCCGCAGGCTCGTAAAACTCGCCGCCTCCCACATTCCGCCCCCCACGCGTCCAATCCGCGCGCGCAACCTCCCTCTCGATCTGATGCGTCAGGTCCCAGAACGCGCGGTCGTGGTTCTGATGGACGTTGTGCGCGAGCTCGTGGCACAGCGTGTTGCGGATGGTCTTGTAGTCGCGGTACCCGTCGTACGCATCCGTGCGCAGACGGAGCTCGATGACCTCGCCCCCGTTGCGGTTTAGTCCCAGGATCCGCGTCGTGCCCTCGTGCGAAGACTCCGTGTACGATAGCGGGTCCATCTCCGTCAGCAGGCCGACGCTGAACTTGTGCGTGCGCATCGCGGCGCGGATCCCCGGGTCGGCTTTTAGCCGCTCGAGGAAGGCGAGGGAGCGCTCCGGATGCGGCAGGTTGGGGAGGGGGCGCACGGTCGCGAAGGTGTACGTGCTGTCTTCGAGAACGCGCTGCGAATCCCGCCGCGAGTACGCCTTGGGTAGGTTGCGCCGCGCCGCAGCTAGGTGTGCTTGTCGCTCCGCTGCGCTTTGAGAGGCCGATGCTAGGGAGGCGATCTCCTCGGTCGATGTGCCGATTAGGGTTATCTTCTTGTCCTGGAGATCGGTGACGGGGCGCTCGGCGAAGGGGGCTTTGAGCAAGCCGAGCTTCGAGATCATGAGCTTCTGGTTGCTGACGGGGATGAATAGTTCATCCTGGATTTGGGCAGCAAGGTCGGCGACGGTGGCGGTTAGGCCTATAGTGAAGTTGTGCGGTTTTCCGTGATGTGTGAGACTGATAGTGATCTCGCCGGATTCAGGAGTGTATCTTATTTTGGTCTGCCATATTTATAGTTGCGCGATATTGGAATGGAGGTTGGATCGGAGATAAAGGTATTTTTATATTTACCTTATAAGGAGGATGTAAAAAGATGTTGATAGGTAACTTTATCGATGATAGATAAAGATTATACGTATAGTTATGAAATAATAAGATATTAAAGAAAGAAAAATCAGCCTTACCTATTGGCTTCGTAGAATTTATGATTTCTTTATAACCATTCCTATCGAAGATTCTACAAAGTGTGGTTCACTTACATTGTAACAGGTATGTATGTGTTGTAACAGTTATGTAGGGTAGCTTTGTAATCCGTCGGTACGTCAGAAGTCGGATGCCTCAAATTGCCAAGAGATTCGATGGACCCGTTTTCCCACGTTTGTATCAGGTACGACCGTACGAGTCGATGCCGAGTCGATGCCGAGTCCCCGTTCGAGTTTACTCCACCATATTAAATGCCAGCCAATAGGGAAATAATACATTATGTGACATCATTCGAAATGTGGCTAGTAATCTAATCTTGGATATTTCCAATTCATTTTCGTTCTTGAACAAGCCACAATTAAAAGACCAGGTAGCACGGCACTAGTAATTCTCCAGGGATCCAATCATACGTCAATCGCGTCGCAGGTGTAATTGTGTCCTTTCAAAGAAACATTCTTAACCAAGAGTCTAATAAGTCATTTCTGACCTCTGCCGGTCAACAATAACAGCACGTCTGTAAATCCTCCCTTTTGAGTCCCTCGTATAGGCTCAGTTTCTATATGACTACCTATTTAAGGTCTATCCGTTGACGCGATTTACAACCTCATCGTTTTGAAAAAGCCCTAGGAGCTTTGCTCCCTCTAAGCAACCATGCCGTTAAACATCTTCCGAGTCCTGGGTAGGTACCAATGCGACTAGATGTTTGTCGTAAATAGATATTCTAACAATTATGTTTAGGAGACTTCTCCCATTTAGCGTCTATCGGGATCCTCTTACACAAGATGATCGAGCTCAATGTTAGTTGCGTCCCGCGGTTTGGAGAGTTTGGGGGTAACGTCTAACAGCTAGCTATTTTAGGGCGCTTCTGGTATCTCGTTCAAATCACAAGCTTTGTATCTAATTGTTTACGTTACCCGATATCTAGGTATGTTATTCTATAACAGGGCTTAAGAGTAAGGCAGAAGAGTAAGGCTAACGAATTATCGATAGATCTCTTCAGCACGTCGAGCATCTACAACATCATCTTCAAGATTCTCTTCATCAGTAGTCAGGGCTACATCATCTACCTAATGACCACCAAGTACAAGCCGACCATCGATCCGAGCCAAGATACCTTCCGCGTCCAATATCTTCTGGGTGGTGCTGCCGTCCTCGCGATTCTCCTTCCGTATAAGTATACATTTTCGGAGATCATGTGGGCGTTCTCGATCTGGCTGGAATCCGTAGCTATCCTTCCTCAACTGTTCATGTTGCAGAGGACCGGCGAGGCTGAAGTCATTACCACCCACTATCTCTTCGCGCTCGGCATCTACCGCACTCTCTACATCCCCCCCAACTGGATCTACAGGTACCTCACCGAGCCCGACCACAAGGCTGACTGGATCGCCATCGTCGCCGGTCTCATCCAGACGGTTCTATACAGCGACTTCTTCTGGATCTACTACAACAAGGTGCTCAAGGGCAGGAAGTTCAAGTTACCCGTATAAGCACTTTCGTACGCATCTTGCTCCCCACCATGGTGGATGAATAACGACTTTGGTGTCTCAATGTGGCTCGGATATTGCCGTGTCTACAAGATAGTCACAAGTCTAACCCACAAGCGACGCTGGGCCCGGGCAAGTATCGCCCACGTCTAGCGGGCATGAGGTTGAGGAGGGTGGACCGGATGATGTCTTAGTATTAGAACATGTCTTCACGACGTGTCGGTGTGCATGGCTGGCGTTAGGTTAGGCGGGGGTTGACGGTTTCCCGGCCTCAAAGTGCTTGGCCGTAGGGAGTCTTGCTCTGAGCTTGATGTAACTGTACATAAAATTTGCGTTCTAAAGTAATGAAAATTATTATGCTAGAGTTTTTCGTTTCTGAGTGCCACAATTGGCCTGGTTAACGTTGAATTACAACTATATTTTTGGAGATAGCTTTGTGGACGTTCATGATCTGGAAAAAATGAGACGCGGTAGAGTTGCTTGTTAAATGGTATAAATGGTATATATGGTGCAGTCTCGGACTCATGTTCGAAACTAAGTATTTACAAAGTAGATATCGCAAGCGCTGACAGCTCATCAGCGGATATAAAGCTCCTAGACGCCAACCAGAGCGCTTTTCTAACCAGCATGCCCCCTCCTCTCCTCCCCCCTTCTCCCCATCATTATCATATAATCATCCCCAACAACCGCCTCGACAATTCCAGTTGCCACGTAGTCCCAGTCCCTAATAGTAATTATTCCCCTTCTCAAAGTAATACGGCCCAACCGGTCTCCTCGGGACCGGCGACTGGACCTGTAGTCCGGGCGAGGAGTTACCGGTATTACTCGAGCCCGCGTACTTGACCAGCGGCCGCGGCTGTAGATAACTCGGCTGCGGCTGCGCATCACCGCTGCCCGTCGAATTTCCATTCTCGCTCGTATCCGTCGTAAACGAGTACAACCGAGTCAGGCCCTCGCCGTGCCCCTGTCCCTGTCCCTGCCCCGACGCAGCCAAATGCCCATCACCACCGCCATGTCTTTCCCTCTCCGGACTCCGCTGACTGCCCACGCGTACGAGATGCGCTCGTTGTCCGCCGTTAAGACTCTGCTGGCGCGCGAGCGATAGCCGCGCTGATGTGGAGCGGGGGATTGTACTACCGCCGCCGCCTCCCTCGTAGCTTAGCGGTGACGGGCGTCGGTCTGTGCGCATGCTGGTGCTCCTGTATGGGCCGTCGCCTTCGGAACTTAATGGCGAGACGGGAAATACGGGGCCGAGACCGTCATCGACGGAAGGGTCTGAAAGGCGAGGCGGGCGGGAGCGCACGCGAGATGTGCGCTTTGCGGGAGGTGCGGAAAGCCTTGTGGCGTGCTGTGTGGTTTGCGCCATTGCTGGGTATTCTGTTGCAGATGGTGCGGCCACTAGTGTTGATGCCGGAGCTGGAGTGGAAGCCGGGGCGAACCGCTGCTTCGTGTCTGGCGTGAAGTCGCTGCTGAAGTTGGCCGCTCGGTTGTGGTTCGTGGGCGTTGGAGAGGTGTATGTCATCTGGAATATCGAGAGGTCATTAGAGAGTGTGTGGGAATGGGAGTGATTCATAAATCCACGGCTCCCAGAGTTAGGGCTGAGTTGTGGCGGTGGGCTGGGTGGGAATTTGCTTTGTGGCTCTTGTTGCTGTCTCGCGCGCCGGCGCATGAAAAGATATGTAAGTATAGCTGAGAGCAATGATGATGCGATTGCGATTCCTATGACCAGGCCCGCGATGGCCCCTGGTGTGAGTGATGACCCTTGAGTCGAGACGTTACTTGCGCTAGCCTTGAAGTATTGTTAGTTAAGTCTATAATTTAATATCTAAAGCTCTTTTTAACTATTAAAAAAGGGTAGGCTTATACGTACCGTAGCAGCGCTCTCTTGGGCATTCGCGACACCCGCTGTGGTAGCGGCTACTGCTGGCAGTTCATCGGTAGCGATACTATTCGCTTGCGACGAAGTAACGAAGGCATCGGTTGTTGCTAATGTAGTAGCTCCTGTTGTAGGTGATATCGGTTCTAGAGTGCGCGCTGCCTCACGCGCGGATGATATGGCACTAGATGCCGATTCTGAGACTTGCGCAAGCGATGTCGAAAAGGCGGCGGACACGCTGGCCGCAACGCTGCTCGATACGCTGGTTGACACCCTGCTGGATATGAGACTACTTACAACGTCGGCTGGTGATTTAGGGGTTTTGCCGTCGCTGTCATTATCATCGCCCTCTTTACTCTTATCATCCTTCCCACCGGCCTGGCGATGTTGGAGGTGGTGGTCCTCTAATGTGGTTGCTATTGGTAGAGAAAGGGCCACTGTGGTCGGGGTGAGCAACGCCGGCTGGAGTTGTCTTCTTCGATCTTTTCCATTTTCATTTTGTATTATAGACCATTCCGATCCCATCAGTCTCTCTAATCGGTCCTCCTGCTCTCTCCTGTCGAGCGTCTCTGTATTAGGCGTGGCATCGCTGAGTCCTGCTCCCACTGTCGACCAAAGCGACCACAGTAATAGGAGCGCAGCTCCAGATTTATTCATTTTAATACCCTATTATGTACTGGATTCCATTCTATGGGAGGACGAGAAGTGAAAAGAACAGTCTTCTCCCCGTCTACGGGTAATTGGCCTGTACTTGAGGAGGGTAGAGTAAGACGCTTCCGGGCGCCTTATGAAAATGGCTGATCAAGTCATCTCAGCCCAAAATTTTTGCGAGGGCATAGGCAGGTAATTGTTTCCCACCCAACAACCTGGGATAGATAATCCCCAACGGCAAGGCTGCAAGAAGCATTCCTTCGCGTCTTAGCCTTACCCAATCAGGTTACATTATATAAGAGTTGAAGAGAAAATCCCATATTCTAATTCGTCGTGATCCTAGTATTCAAACGTACAGGAAACAAATAAACGAGTCTGTTTTGGGTAGAGAATATGGTGGAGATGGCGTGAGCAATAATTGTTTCTTACCACCCGTTATCATGGGGTTAATTGCGAGCTAAACTCGTTTCTTGTCAGCTCAAGGATTTCCCACAAGGGTAAATTGATGAGAGTTAATGAGGATTGGGTAAGACTACATGATCCTAGTAATTTTATCAGCTTAGCTTACCCGCTGCGACAACTAGTGTAGCAGATCAGTAAGCCCTACCAACATTTATGTTTTAATCACACGTGCTCACCTAAGATGATCTTCTGGGGAAAAAATACACTATGTAAGATCTACTTTTGGTACCTAAGTTATGGAAGATGTGGAAGGTGCAAGAGTTGAATTATGCTACTGAAAGAAAGTGGACACAAAATGTGATTGGAAGTCACTCTTAGTCATACCTCCGACTGTCTCCACTTATCCGGCATGTGCACATCCGGATCTCAACTACACCGGAAGGAGCCCGGCTCCGATTTGACTAATATGCTCCGCTTTTACCCCGGAGCTCCGCTCTCATTGGTCCAAAAGCAGCTGTATCAAGCTTCCTTGGGAAAGAAACAAGATAAACTTAGGAAAGAGCATTAGGTAGTTGTATGATGAGAAAGTTACAACTTCAGATTAAAATCATCCTCAAAATTTCAAGTTTCCTTACTGTATAAATATTTCTACTTCAACCCTTTCTCCTAGGAAATATTTTTTTTTCCTTTCCACGCAACATCATCCTCGGCACATCCTGTCATCAGTCTATTAACAACTAGACACTGGTAAGTAGAACTTGTATTACTATATATCTTTGTTGCTTATACGTTACCTTTACATCTAAAAAGTCTTAACATTACTGATAAATTCCAGTGCCAAGATGGATATTCCCACCGGAATTTGGTGCTCGAATTGCCAGCATCCTATCCCGACGGAGGTTATCAAGACTGCCACGCCCGGCATCCTCTGCTTCGGCTGCACTTTGCAGAGCGAGGTAAGTAGCCACGTCTAATAATTATCGACTCTGTCTAAAGTGTATATACTAAACCACCAACTTCATAGGAGGAACGTAGCTCCGTCAAGGGATCCCAGTGGAGCTACCTTCTAAATCACTGGCATGCCGAAGGTGCGCGTATCCTTCACTGGCTTCGCAACGACTTCCATTCCACCGAACTGTTGACTTGCCTCTGTTCCTTGGCCCGGTACTACAACTTCAACGACGTAGTCCCCATGGTGAACAGCATGGCCTTGGAGCGCCTTCGCCACAAGTCGGCCCCGGGCATCTACGTCCGTCACGTCATCGAGTCCGACTTCCATGACGCCCTTGTGCTAGCCAAGAAGTGGAGGCTCAGACCTATGGGTGCCGAGTCCATCACGTGTGTGGAGTTGATGTGCTTCCACATGTCCATCGACCAGTACGGCTTCATCCAGGACAACCCCGAGCACCCCGCTACGGATACAACGTGGGCGTTTGCAAGGATGGCCAGGACTGCAAGAACGTGCTGCCCCTCGAGGACCGCATCGTGGTCACCGAAGCCTACCGACTTCGCAAGGGTTGCAACATGATCTACGCGCAGTGAAAAAGGTCGAAATGGTTTGGAATTCTCTAGTACTTTAGCACAGTTCACGGTATCACGTCTTTAAAGTTTGCTTTTACTGGCACAAATAAGTCTATCCCGGATAGACGTCTCAACCGAGTGAGGGATTGCTCTATTACACTGGCCGATGAACCTATTCACATGATCAAATAGCTATTATTATAGACCAAAGCAGCAGTTTCGCCTGCTTCTGTAGCATTGTTAAGGTGATGATTTGAGGTACTTACCCGAGTTCAATTAATACAATTAAGCATTATTATCACTATCATCACGATCGTTCATGGGCGTGAAATATTTTTGGCCCTAACTTCACTTTCTAATTTGAATGCGCTGGATTGCGCCTTGGCAAACTTCGTGAACCGGTGATTTAAGGAGCGTATTTATTAGAAATGGTCCCCAGTCCGATCGTAAATGTTAGTCCTATGTTTGTGTAAGGGATGGGAAAGTAGAAGCTGCAATGCCGTGACTATGGTGATAATCTATTTCTTGTCAAAACTTCATTCATTTTTCCCACATACAACATTCGTCGTTATGAATTCTAAACACTACGAGTGTTTCAAATGAAATATCACGTAAAGTAAATAACTAATAGATGTATTCGTTAGGCGCCTAAGTAAGGTATTACCGTTTTGTAGTAATTATATATTCCCATGTCACTGGAAAATGAAGCCGTACCTTCTCATATACGATAGGCATTACTACGGACTTGCATCCGTTATCCTGGACAATCCGTAGGCCCTATTCCACGGACATTCTCAGAGTTAAAAAAAAAATTACCAAGTAGGCTCTGAAGGCGTTGGGAAGGCTAAAATATACCATCAGGTAAATAAAAAGATTTTAGTCGTGTTGACCAACCGAGAAAAAATTTTTGTTTGAACCCATCTGATCCGTGGTAAAGAATTAAACTGTACATACCGGTAACAAGTCGCCTGTAGGCCTTTGGTGAGAAACAAACAACAATATCCTAGAAATTTCGACTTGAACACAACGAGCTGTATCATGTTCGTTAATTATTAAGGATGAGGTCATCCGGGGTTGCGTAGCATGTCCGGTCAGTAATGGGGGACTAGATATACCTTGCGAGAAGCCTGCTGATGGCCGACCGTGCAGGGAACGCGGAAGACGACTTGAACTATAATCTGCGTCAGCATGTTTTGCTCGTGCGAAGGCATCGCACCACTAGACCAGATGGGCTCGTTTTGGGGTGATGGTACGAGCCGCTATTTCGCATCATCTGTTACCTAGCGGCTCCTCGGTAAATAGGAGAGGGAGGAGGGAGTTGCTCCGGAGGCACTGTGAGTCAAGGACTTCGTCAGCTGTAGCTTACACGGGAAGGATATCTTATATACACCCAACCAATATATTATTTTAGGTAGATTAGTTGACCGGCTTGCCTGACATCCTCTACTCTAGTTCCCATGCTGAGTTCCTTGGTGTACAAATTAGCAGGTGGAAAAGTATAGTCGGCGAAAGTCAGGTTCGCAGCCGGCGTTGGTACCTAAAGGGGAAGTGAGATAACAAGACGCAATAGTCACAAGGCGAAGCATGTAAAGCATGGGAACGTAAAGCAGATATGCAATAAACTATAGGTTACTCTAATAAAAGTAAAGCTTGATGCCTTTATACGTGAAACATATTACTATTAATGTTAGAATTCTAGATGAGACATCCAAAACAAAGGATAATTTTAGCATGTATAAATACGGGCTTCCATGACCATATTTGGAGGTTATAACGGAACAATTAAGTCGTTTCCATATTTTCTAGCTCTACCTCACAATAGTTAAGGAATGCCGAATACTTGATAACGTAAGCCTTAAGTAGGATGTTATTATATGCTAATATTTATCATCCACGAGGCTTTAAGTGGCGTACTCGGGTGGTCTATAGGTTAATAGAGCACTTAAACCTAACTAGCCCTTGAACTTGCCTGAGAGAAACTTAAGATTTGGTATAGCCGGCAGTAATTACTCAAGCTCTTAATGCCATACTGATATCGAAATCTAGTATATATTAACAATCACTACGGATTTGCTTAGGTGCATATCCATAATATTAGATAGATACTATGTGTAAGGTGAATTATTTTATATGGCCTTAATACTTGGTTGTATTCTTGAAATTGAATTTAGAAAGCCAATGGTTGAACCAGTTACCTACCTACCCCTTTAAGGCTAACGAAGACGTTAACCTTTACTCATCGCCTGGTTATATATAATACAGAGAACTAAATAAATACTAGCAGTAATAATATATATATAGGAAGGAATATGATTGTATTAATAAGTAAATGACTTCGTATTAAATAAACACTTAAAGTGTTAATACGCGAAGGGAGCGATTAATCAAGGCAGAAAGTAATAACTGAACGTTACCCACCAGCCGGGTTTAAAAAGTGAAAAAAGAAATTTAAAAAAAAAATAAAAAAATAAGAATAAAGAAAAAAATATTGCCAGGGGCTGGATTCGAACCACCAACCCTCCCTTCGCTGGAGTACCCTTCCTCCGTTGCACTTAGCGGGCACGAATAATTTTGCCACTTCCTCGATGTTAGGCCCGCAGGAATCCCCAAACAGTCATTGAAAGCGCCGGTGCAAAAACCACTAAGCCAACGTCACGATTAAACCGGCTCGGAGAGAGTGCGCCTCGCCCTGGCTTGTGCTCGTTGGTCTTGTTATTATGCTATATAACCAACTGTTACTTTGGCAGGTGTTTGGTAGGTAGCGCGTACCTAGCAACAAACACTGTCATGGCGTCTGTCTGTCACTGCTCGACTGGCTGGCGACCCACATCTGGTTCGAAGGTACGTAATGGTCACTTGAGGGTAAGGCAGAAGTTTAACTACTTTGTACCTATGTTTCTTTTCTTAAGAACGTTCGTGTGTACCTTGGGTATTTTGAAACTCTTGGCCTATGCTTCATATCGCTATAGCTCATGTGTTGAAATAGCTACCTTAGGTCCCCAATAAAACTACATGTTGCGATATGAAAAAAAAAGGCTAAATCATTGGTTTTGTGAAGCTTATTATAGACTATGTTTATAAGTTACTAGTTAAGACAGAGTTACGAAAGGAGCTACTGGCGTAATACAATATGGAAAGGTTGATTAAAGATAAAACGTATTGGCTTAATTGAGTTATGTTCTAGTTTTGATGTCTTCAAATTCTGGTACATTGAATAAAAGCAAATTTGTTTTTGCCATAACTAAGAGATTATATAACTCCAGATAGATGCTCTGTGAACCAAATGGCTTTTCCCTTTAAGCTATGTCTCAACCAGTTTAGTTCGGGTAAAATCTCATATTGAGTATAGTCTTATTTTTAGTAACGTACAACTCACTCGTGTCTTTTATGAGGATAAGTAAGAGTTCTTAAGTTGAGTTGTCTAAATTGTCTAACAACAGTTCCCAGGGCATAAAGTTAAGAGTATAAGAGACATATACCCATACCTCATGCGGGTTAGCTTCCAAAAATAAGTCGAACTAGAAAACGCCTAATTTAGCGCGGAATCAAAAACAGACTTTTCCCTTGTCTTGGTATTCTAGGCGATCTAAATGGCCTAAAGGACCTAAGGTTTTTCGCTACATATGCCGTGCAGCCAGTTGACGAAATCTAGAACTCTTCATCCCATTCGCCAAACCCCAAAGTTCTCCAAGTATTTCTTTCCTATCCTTCCGAAAATCTCTTCCCCTGCTGTGCTACCAAGCCTCTCGACAACTTCCCGATTACCACGTGTATGCGCGCGACCTTTATCTTGCCCGAAAGAAAATACTTGGGAGTTTAATACACCAGCCACAGCTCATTATTTGCAGCTAAAAAAAAAAAATAATAATACCTACCAAGCTTACGAAAAAGACCCCTCGGTCCAATTCGTCCAACCATAACAGCTTGAGACGACCCCGCGATTTCTCCCGATTGGACTGTGGCTCGGACTTTGATCGGTGGCACCGCATCAGCACCATTGTCTCAAAAAGATTTTTCTTTTCCTTGCTTGTGACGCTGCAGGATTGAAACTTTTTTTTTTATTAAGTAACCAGAGCATCCAGCACCGTCTGGTCTCTTTCCCTCCCCTTCTCTGATCAACATGGGCGACATGGCGAACGAAATCAAGCTGCTCTCGGGCAACAGCCACCCGAGCTTGGCTAAGGCCGTGGCCGATCGGTATGTTCCTTTTTTATTATTTTTTTTTTAAGGAATCCTCCCCTACCTTTGGGCGACGCAACCATATATCAATTGGAGTTTCTCGGTTATTGGTGGCTTTCCTTCAGACGATCAAATGACGAAATTGGAGATCAGTACCGGGCCAAGAAAGCAACTGGATATGGAATTGGCTAACAACAAGTACTTGGCGACTTTAGGCTCGGCGTTGAGATCGCAAAGACGATGAGTTTGAATTATTCAAATCAAGAAACGAGCGTCACAGTCGGCGAGTCAGTCAGAGACGAAGATGGTACGACCTCTCCTTATAAACAGATCCACACGATTAATTCGGTCATATACTCATTCCTCCTCTAGTCTTCATCTTGCAATCCACCGCACCGGGCGACATTAACGATGGCCTGATGGAGCTCCTCATCATGATCCACGCCTGTCGTACAGCCTCCGCCCGGCGCATCACACCGCCGTCATACCTAATTTCCCCTACGCCCGGCAGGATAAGAAGGATAAGAGTCGGGCGCCTATCTCGGCCAAGCTTATCGCCAATATGCTGCAGACCGCCGGTTGCAACCACGTCATCACAATGGATCTCCACGCCTCCCAGATCCAAGGCTTCTTCAATGTCCCCGTGGACAATTTATACGCGCCGAACCCAGCGTCTTGCGATGGATTCGGGAGAACCTTGCCGGTCAGGAGACGGTTATTGTCAGCCCGGACGCTGGTGGTGCAAAGAGGTAGGCCAATTATTATGCGCGTGGCGCTGATGATGATATGGACGAGGAGAAACTGACATGATATGATAGGGCTACATCTATAGCCGACCGTCTCGACCGAGGCTTTGCGCTCATCCACAAGGAGCGCCCGCGCCCCAATGTCGTGGGCAGGATGGTGCTCGTCGGTGACGTAGTAGACAAAGTCGCAATTCTAGTTGACGACATGGCCGATACTTGCGGTACTTTGGCGTAAGCACCTCTACCCCCAAACTCCTCAAACGAGTAAGAATACTAAATTACCCCTTTACAGCAAAGCAGCAGCTACGGTCAAAGACCACGGCGCCCGCGAAGTTATCGCCGTCGTCACCCACGGCATCCTGAGCGGCGACGCCATCACCACCCTCAACAACAGCTGTCTGAGCCAGATCGTCGTCACGAATACCGTGCCCCTCGGCGACAAGGTCCAACGGTGCAAGAAGCTCCGGGTCATCGACGTGAGCCCTACGATAGCCGAAGCTATCCGACGGACTCACAACGGAGAGAGTGTTAGGTACGTCTCCACGCATAAATATTTCATCTATATACTTGCTCCCCTTACTACGAGGGCATTTTATGCTGACCAATCTTGAAGTTTCCTATTCACACACGCTCCGGTATAAATATATACTCGCACGAGCACGAGTCGAGGAGAAGAAGAATAATGCGACAGGTAACAATCCTGCTAAAGATACGGATGCGTTATTAGAGGATCGATTATGGTGGACTCCACGGTTTCGGGAGTTTGAAATTGCATTTGGGAACTGTTTATGCGAAGAGCCAAGATTGGGTCGCCGTAGAGCATAAATTCGAGGTCATATAAGTACGGAGTTTATTATTTATTATACTGCATTTGACTATGGGATATACATGCATCATGTACTACAATTTTGGCTATTTCTAGCCTCGGTCACGGCGAATTTGGAAGGACATGTTTGGGATAAGGAGGCATTATGTCACATAGCATCATGAGTACCCATACGGGGTCATAGCATAAGCAACTCTGGAAAGATAGAAATAAAACGGCGGTTTGGGAATCTTCATCCTAATTTTTTGTGTTCCGGGAATACATTTCATGTGAGGCTTTTGCCTATCTCATGACCAGCCACCCATCATCCCTGCAAAAGCCATTGCCACGATTTATGCCCTAATGCAAGAACCAGAAGACACCGACCAAACGCCTGTAGGTATTTACTTGCGCATAGAGCTTGCGCGACGCTTGCGAGCGTCAGCCTTGTGGGCACGGGCCTCGGCGACACGCTTAGCCAGAATCTGGGCGTACTCGTTCTATAGATTGTTGTTAGTATACGTAACAAAGGAATATTTAGAACGGTTAACGTACGGCCTCATCCTTGACCTTCTCGGACTGTCTTCGCTTGAGCGCAATGCGGTGACGCTTGTGCTGGAGACGCTGGGGAGTAACCAGGCGCTGGATCTTGGGGGCCTTGGTGTAAGGCTTCTTGCCCTCCTTCTTGGGCTGGACCTCTCGTCGAATGACGTACTTGCGGACCTATATAGCGGGGAAAACCAGAGTATTAGCCATCTTTTGGGTGTTCTTACAACACGATATTCCTCTCAGGCTCTGCTCGGTGGTATTCATTGCAAGGGATTCTTCTCTCTCATCCCGCAGAAGCAACGACCGAGCAGGCGATGACGAGTGAAGGTGCACTTACATCGTCATCCTTGCTGAGACCGAAGAAGCGGCGGATCTTGGTGGCACGCTTGGGGCCGAGGCGCTTGGGGTGGACGGTGTCGGTCAGACCGGGGATCTCGTTCTCGCCTTGCTTGACGACGGAAAGGGCGAGGACGGAAAGATCCATGGCGGTAATGCAGCCACGGACGGACTTTCGCTTGCGCTCACCGGTGCGGCGGGGGCGGTAGCAGGAGTGGCCTTCGGAGAGTAGGAGACGGACACGGGTAGGGTGCATGACACCCTGCTTCATCGGGAAACCTTGCTTGTCGTTACCGCCGGTGATGCGGAAGATGTAGCCCTTGAACTCATCGCCGAGGTTGTCTCCGGGGACTTCAGCGCCCATCTAAAGTAATATACATGTTAGTTTTCCCAATATATAGATAGCTTCTGCGAAAAATGTTGAAGAAGCCCCCTGATGCTTGTATATATTATATCGAAGGTTGATTTAAGGCTTTTCGAGAATTCGCAGAAGTGGTAATTGAAAGGTTTAGGTGTGACATACGCGCTTCTCCATGAAGTCACGGATCTTTCGCTCATCTTCGATCTCAATGAGCTTCTGGCTGCCATTGGCAGGGTAAGAGATGTTCAGCTTCATCTCGGCGGTGGTTGTCGCTGGTCGACTGTGGTTGGGTGTTGTTGGATAAAGTCGAGTCGTGAGAACACACCGAAAAATTAATGGGAATTGAAAAAAGGTTCAAACTTGTTGTGTGGATTTACTTCGCCTAATCCGATTTTTCCTGAGTGCGAGAAGAGTGGAGACGCGCTAGGGCTACTGGTGCATGGACCACCTTTTATTAATCTCTGATAAGGATAAAGAAAGTTGATTTTCCGAAGATATCCCATTAACGCGTACAATGGGAGTACGTACTGATTAGATCTCCACTTAATCTTTAATTCTTTGTGAACTGCGTGTGCCCATCGTCTCATTGTCTCATTGCCTCCATTTGGTGAGATGCTACTAAGATATCATAGCTAGTGGTCTTCTTAAAATGGCCTCTTCTATTAAATTATACCCTAGGAAGCACGACACCAAAGCTGTTGGCCAAAGTCCACTCCCCCAGCTTCTACAGACACCTTCTGGTTTAGCTATTCTAGAGCTTCAAGGCACTATCAATGTCCCAGAAAACATTGAGGGCAGCACCCAAGAAGTAACCATCGGACGGCTCGTATTTCCAGACTATCACCCAGAAACTCAAGACCCCTCTAGCACAGCTTGGATGAGACAGATTCATCTTTACGTGGGCGAACATCAGAGACTCACTGGAGAAGCCAAAAAGCTACCGAGAGCTATGGCTATTATTAGAAAACGGACTAAGTCGGAGGAAGATGTAGAAATGGCTGATGAGCCATCTAGCTCTTCTACGGTTGAGGAGTTGGAGGTGGTTGAGATTGTCAAATACAAGATTGTATTTTCTCAACGCCCAGAACCCGTGGGAACTGGATGAAGACATACTGGTGTATTACCACAAGACCACGACCTAAGGTATATGCCCATTATATATGGCTTCCGAGTCCGATCGGTTGCGTAGGTGGAGAAGTATATCTCTACACCTTACGGTATCAAGATCCTGAGCCCAAGGAAATTCGGATGCCACATGTAAAATATGGAATGGCACCCTACTGGCATCACCTGGACTAGGTGAGGGACAGATTATCGGAGCTTATAGACCCCTAAGCACTTACATGCCTACCAATGTATATTGTGTACATTGAGTTTCTGCACGGAATGGTCATTCTACTATATACATCCCGTAATTTCTTTGCTTGACCTCGCAGGAAAGAAAATTGTACTGAATGCATCTGAGAGGCACCAATTCTAGAATTAAGAGAACCTGGTGGTGAGATTTCTTAGAAGAAATGCAAAGAATTGAGTTGTCACAAGACTCTCGCAGCCCTTCTTGATGCCTTTTGACTTACGAAGCAGTTATACTATATATCCATACACACAAAGTAGGCTTAATCAGTTCTTGATAAACAATTCACCCGGATTGTCTCCTGCATCTCTACCTTCAACATACCGCATGATATTTAGATGTACTTTCAACGTGATTTGTGATGGGAAGGTACAAAAGTACATGTACTTCATACATCTCTTTATTAGGTAATCGTGCCTTAAATCTTGGCATGCTGGGGGATAAGCTGATAAGAAATGAGGCTAATTAGGGACCCACATGAAATCGACCTTGCATATCGCGAACGGACCGCGAAGCTGTCAACTTCATTGAACTTTAACTTCATCTAACTAGCCTTTTCAACCCTCCCGAATTCATCTATAAACAACCACCTGCAACTCCTTCTAGATAAGGCGATACAGGATAGGCGCGTGTACTTGGAAACTATTTTTTTTTTTTCATATTGGTTTATTTCGCCAAGTCAAAATCGGGTTCGTTCACGCAGGCTGCGACGTCATCTTAAGGTTGCGAGACGTACGAGTTACCCGCCGTTACAATCATTCGAACAACTCAGCCGAAGGCGACTGTTTGAGCTCAAAATTATACCGACTTAGTTACTAGAAACCCCGCCAAAGCTCAGGCCACTATTCTGGGGTTTCTAAACCGATTTTTTTTTTTTAATTCGTTCGATCGAGTGCTTCTTACGATCTTTGAACAACTTTTTGAAAGAATTCCTCGATACCTCCAGCATCAATTCATCGAATCAGCGACCCCCGACTATCTCGACTTCGCAAACATGACAGGCGCACCTGCAGAAAATGAACAGGCTCCCCCTGCCGCCTCGCAGCAGAACGAGGAAGAGACTATTCTACTACCTTCGGAGCCAAAGATGCCGACTCGGAAAGATACTTCGTTGAAAGAATTCTTAACCAAGATGGACGACTACGCGCCTATTGTGAATACCCCATAGTCAACTACCTGTCATATAATATGCGCTAACCGTCCTGCAGATCCCCGATGCCGTAACAAACTACTACATGACGAAAGCTGGTCTTCCCCCGCCACCCCACACCGACCCGCGCCTCGCGCGCCTCATCGCTCTTGCGGTCCAGAAGTTCGTTGCCGACATCGCCGCCGACGCCTACCAATACAGCCGCATCCGCGCATCCAACACCAGCGCGAATAACCCGATGGGCAACCTCGGTGCTGCCGCAGGGCTTCAGATTCCGGGTCAAGCGCAAGCCAACGCCAAAGATCAAGGGCGTGGTGGACCGCTGGGTATCCAGAGAGCAGGTTACGGTGGTGGCGGCCAGGGCGGTAGTCAGAACCGCACGGTCCTCACTATGGAGGATCTGGGTATGGCCGTGGGTGAATACGGCGTCAACGTCAAGCGAAGCGAGTTCTACCGATAAGCATGCATCTGGGTATGTTGGAAGCTTACCAATCAACATCACTATCCGCCCATTTCATCCCGCTTAGGCGTCATGAAGCTTCTCCCCGGTTCTCTCATCACAACAGGGCCGGGGAAATACGCCATCAGTTCAACTTGAAGCCATATCTGGATATTCACAAAGAAACTTTTGACGTTGTACTACACAAGCGGCGGCGCCAGCCCTACTATATTTTTTTTTTTTACGGAACAGCAGCAGCAGCAGAATCCACGAAGGTCTAGACATAAGGAACGGAAGGTCACATTCAGGGAAAAGGTGTTTGGTGTTTAGGAATAGGCTTTTCCTGTGTTTTTTTTTTTTTTTTTTCAGAACCGGCCTAGTTACGCTCGGAAGTTGTACAAATAAAAAACGGGCGGCGGCCGTCTAGTTACTAGCTTTGCGTATAATGCACACGGACAGACGTTACGAATTGACGTATCTTGCGTGTTCTCTCTAATGGTATGGTCGTGTGAGCGCGTAATATACAGCAGATGGTAAACTCGTAAAGGACCCCCACCTGAAAATTCCAGAACGCCACGGTATGCCCACACCTCATCGTGCTTGATTTAGTTTACCGTCGTGACCAGATGAAGGGTTTTCTCGTCCTGGATGGAGTAAGGCTAGTGTTAGTATTCGAATAGGAAAGTAACCAGTAATTCCGAGCAGAGAAACGGGGCGGAACGGAACGGAACGGAACGTACGGAGAGAACTCGCCGAGCTTGTGGCCGACCATCTCCTCGGTGATCTCGACGTCGTGGTATTCCTTGCCGTTGTACACCTGGAACTTGAGGGCCGACGAAACTAGGCAGGATGGTGGCGGCGCGGGCTTGGGTGCGGATCGGCTTGACTTTTTCGCCTTGGCGAGGGCGCACGATGGCGAGGCTGTGGGTCGGCGGGTGTACGTTAGAGTTGGTCATAGATTAAATGAAATGTTTTTTTATAGGTGATTGGATTGGATATCTTACGGTACGATGTGCGGCCCTGCAGGTGGTGGTGGTTAGTTGTTACTTCGTGTGAGTTGAGTATAGGGGTAGGAACAGAAAAGGGCTTACCCTTCCACACGGATCGGCCTTGCAAGAGCCACCTTGTCGGCTGCATTTTGTCTGGATTTGGACAATTGATGCTGGTGATGGAGGAGCTCGTCGCAATAATTTCTATGTGGATGTACTTGGTAAATGCATATCCCCGAGTCGGGGGTAGAAGAGAGCTCGATAACGGATTAGTATTCTTCCGCGATAGTTATCAGTTCGTCGAGTTTGGTTTTATGGGGCAGCTCTTCTAGCTTGATAAGTGAATACTTTAGCATTTAGTCTTGAAAAGATGATTATTTAAAATCCTTATTAAGGTAGGGAGCTACTATTACTTTCGTTTGAATTTCTACAATCATCAAAAAATAGTATACTATTCAAATTCTATAATTGTTTCGTCGCATCCGCACAGAATAAGTAAACGGAAACTTAAGTTGCCGTGTCAAGTGTATTCGCTTTATTTTTCCAAAGATACTCTAGAGTATATAACTACACAATTTAACCTTGAGGTATCTCAATAATAATAAGGTATGCAAGTATGAGGACATATGTTGTTTCTAATTAAATATTTGACCACTTCATACATTGTAGTATAAGTCGCCATAACTATATCTACCTATTATTCTAATTGGCCATCATAACTCTCTCAACCCCCTGCATACTCTCTATATACATTCATACACTATAGTTAATCCGACTTACTCAATCCAGACTTCCAGTCTTCCCACATCCACGCCATCCACGCCATCCAAAGTCCCCATAATTAAAGCAACCGTATCCAACACTACATACACTAACACCACCCGAGTCGTGAAGCCGAGGCCAGACAGACGCGTTCCCAAATACATACATACATATCTCTACACACGAGTCGGGGGACCTGGCTATCTTTCCCATTTACCCCTGTGGCTATGTATTGCCCAGTTTACTTACTTTTCTTTCTTTCTTTCTTTCATTCTCTCTCATGCCCCTGACGAGCTTCTTCCGTCGCCACGCGGAGAGCCCGTACATACCTTAGCATGACCTAATATATATGCGGAGAGCTAGGCCCCGCCCCCCTGGAAGCAGCAACGAGCTTCAACGAGAAGCTCTGCTTCTGCTATCTCCGTCGGCCCTATCTTTTTTTTCTATCTTCTTTTTTTCTTGTTATGTTTCTACATACGTTAGCACGGTCTGTTCGTTTTTTTTTTCTTGTGTCATGTCATAGCCCCATGACGAAAGCGAGCACATGAGGTGGGCTAATAGGGTCCATGCGAGCAACCCTTGCAAGGGTCCGGCATCCAAAAAAAAAAAAAAAAAAAAAAAAAAGAGAATAAAAACTACCCTCCCTACCGAAACTTAAGCATCATGGCCAAGCTTCGGTCACCGCTATCCCCTTCCGATGCAGAAGTCTCGTCCTGATCTCTATGTATGTATATGTATGTATTGCATCACCCCCAACCACGTCCTGCGAGGGACGAGTATATACATAGTTTCAATATGAGCCTCAATAGGGCCTACATATCCGTAGATCTACGATCCCCCCCACCTCGCGCCCGTAATTACCTTTAGCGCCGGGTGGTGATCCCGGCCGTGGTTGTTTATGCTCCCATTCTCATTTGCGTGGGGCGGAGCGTCGGCTTCCGCCCTGAATGTATAAGTAGGTCGAGCAAGTCCACCTCCTCTCGTCGTATGTATGTATGTATGTAGATGTCTCGAGAGTAGCTACCTAGCTTGTCTCTTACACCACCCCCCCCCCCCCCCCCCCCCCCCCCACGTTGTACGTCTTCGTAGCAGTCTAGACATTATGAGGTTCGCCGATCTGCTCGTGGCTACGGCCGCTATCTCCAGCGCCGTCGCGGTGCCTACCCAGACCAGGAAGCGCGCGAGTCCTTTCCAGTTCACCGGCGTAAGCGAGTCGGGAGCCGAGTTCGGTAACTTGGCTCTTCCCGGACAACTTGGCAAGGACTACACTTGGCCCGACCACAATGCCATCTCTACCTTGATCCAGAAGGGTTTCAACACCTTCCGTATCCCAATTATGATGTTGGTTTCTACCTGCTGTGGAAATGCAATTGCAAACGATGCTGAACATAAACTAGGGAGCGTATCATCCCGGACAAGTTAACCGGCTCCGTCAACGAGACCTACGCTGTCGGTCTTGACGACGTAAGTCCTAATGCCACGTGCCTATATTTCATTACCAACAAACTAACCTACTCCTCAGATCGTCACATACATCACCGGCCAGTTAGTCTAACCCCAATCCCAACCCCAATATCCCCCTCCCCACTTTCCCCTCCCATCCATACTCACAACCCTCCCCTAGGGGCGCCTACGCCGTCGTAGACCCGCACAACTTCGGGCGATACTACGACAAGATCATCACGGACGTGTCGGGCTTCGGCGCGTGGTGGACGACGGTAGCCAAGCGCTACGCGTCCAACGAGAAGGTCATCTTCGACACCAACAACGAGTTCCACGACGAGGACAACGCCCTCGTCGGCCAGCTCAACCAGGCCGCCATCGACGCCATCCGCGGCGCCGGCGCTACTTCGCAGTACATCTTCGTCGAGGGGAACTCGTGGACCGGAGCTTGGCATTGGGTGAGTTTTCCACTGTTTTGGTTATGAATGGGGAATACTGTGATTATTATTGTTATTGTTGATGGTGGTGGTGCTAATATCTATGCAGGTCTCCAGCGGTACCTCTGAGGCCATGGGTAAACTGACCGACCCCCAGGACAAGATCATCTACGAGATGGTACGTTTGCCCCCCCTTTCTCCCCACCCTTCCCTCCTCCTTCATCCCCCATCATTTTCACCCACCAAACTAACCCCTTCCTCAGCACCAATACCTCGACTCCGACGGCTCCGGCACATCCGAAGCCTGCGTCTCCGCAACAATCGGCAAGGAGCGTCTCGCCGACGCCACCGCCTGGCTCAAGGCCAACAACAAGAAGGGCTTGATCGGCGAGACCGCCGGCGGCGCCAACGCGCAGTGCATCGAAGCCGTCAAGGGCCTGCTGGCGCATATGCAGGAGAACTCGGACGTCTGGTAAGGAACCATTACTTTTTTCTCCCCCCTTCTATTCATGACGCTAAACAGCGAACTAATATAACAATCTTATAGGACTGGATGGTTGTGGTGGGGTGCTGGTCCTTGGTGGGCTGACTACATGTACTCGATCGAGCCGCCGTCCGGAACCGCGTTTACGAAGGTGTTGCCGTCGTTGGCGGATTTCATCTAAATAAGGGGGGAGTCGTTGTCGTCGTTGATGATAAGGTGATGGGCGTGGAGGGAACGATTATTATGAGTTGAACATGTGAGATACGCCGCCGCTACTCAGGTAAAGAATTGTATATAGCACGACGAGAGCAGGGAGAAAAACAAAGATTGTATATTGGCGTAAACTCGCTTCGTCATGCCGTATATCAGATATCAGTACCACACGTGTTAATTTTCACATCCATACCCCTACCCCTTTCCACTCCCCCATAACCCAAACACTTCGTTACCTTGTAACCTGTCATTCACCCAAGCAATTTACTCTGTCTCTCCAAGAACATGACCTTCGGCCTATCAATCTCCTCAAAGCTCAACTTCTTCACCGCAACAGAAATCTCCAAACCAACAGGTCCATCTCTCAAAACCAACCGCTTCTCTTCCGAATCCGCATACACCTGCTCGTACCACAGATGCAGTCCGTACGACCTCTTCAGCGTCTGGATGAGAAGGATCTCCACCGAGCACCACGCTCTGTCGTAGTAAGATCCGTCCGCTATGCTGATCACGGCGTCGCACTGGGTCAGAATCATGGGCAAGGCGTGGACGCCTGGCATAGGGTTGCTCTGGTTTATACAAGCGCAGTCCTACAGTTAGTCAAAAAATAAGTTAGTTAGTTGGCATCTAACTACACCCAACAACGGCTGAGATGAAGTGAGGTAATTCGTTACAACTTACCAGCCAAATCCCCATCCTTGCCCTATCAATAGAAGTATGCAGTTTCAAGAACTCCTCAGTAGCAGCCAGCATCCGCTTATACTGCGTATTGGCCCCGTCATCCGGCGACGAGGCCCCTTTCCATCTATACGAGAAGAAAATAACAAAGTCGGGGTTCTTGTATTCCTTCGACCCGGACTCGTCCGTAAACTCTCTAACCAGCCCGTCGGTATGTTTCGGGAGTCTGCCTAGGGAGCGGAACGCAGAGTAAGGCACGAAGGAAAACCCCGAGAACATCGCCTTCGCCTCCTCGTCGGCGCGGAGCGATCCGGCGTATGCGCTGCGCAGCGTCTGCATGCAGTCGTCGTTGTGGCGGCGCGTGATGAGAATTGGTCGGAGTACTTCTTGGAACAGCTTGCGATAGCTTTTTCTAAGTCTCGCTCCCGTGAGCCACGCTTCGATTTCGTATTCGCTGGCTCCTCGCTGGAGACCATTGATTATGACCTCTTTGAACTTGGTATTTCCACAGAACACGGCATAGTCTAGTGCCGTGTATCCTTGCTCGTCTATGATTTCCAAGTCCACGCCGGCATCTACTAGTTCTTTCAGGTACCCTAGGTGTTCTTCTGAAGGCTCCTTGCAGAGTGCGATGGCGGGTGTGCATCCGGTGCATGTATTAAACTGTTCCATAGCCTCCTCGAGACGCCCGCTGAGCCGCAGCGCATGTCCATAGAAGAACCGAGTTAGAGCGACTACAGTTGGATCACCAAATCCCGTCACGAGGTCCAAGGCTTGCCGAGCTGTTTTCACTGCCTCCTCTAGGTTATTCCGGGCTGCGAGACAAAGCGAGAGACGAGATAAACCGATGATCTCCCAATTTTTACCGTTTTTCATAGCGCCAGATTCTTTAGACTTGCCCTTTTCAGATAATGACTGCTGGATGTTTCGAGCGACCTGTACGCGCTCTTGAAGTTGTACAATTGCCAGGTCAAGAATTTTGTCGTCGTGGTCCCGCTGAGATATCTGATAATTCACCATCCCAAGATTTCCAACAGCACGGCAGGCTTCAGCTTCAAGACCTAGTTGTCTTGCTGTATGATACTGCATCTCGAACATGCGCATCGCATCTGTGAGGTTGTTCAGATGTCGATAGACGACTCCCAGCTCGCCAACGCAGTCTACACGTAGCACGTTCACTTCCATATCAGTTATAACCTTCTCTAGAGTATCCCTAGCAATTTCGTATCTACCGAGACACCGGTTGACACGCCCAATCTTGTATAGAACCTCGCGCGTGTGATAAGCCTTGTTAGGGAAGTTATTGTCGTTATCGCACAGGCTCAGTGCGTTGCTGAAAGCTCGCAACGCATGTTCCCATTCCGCATTGTGAATGTGCTTTTCCCCCTGATGCATAAATATTTCCCAAGACCTTACGACATCGACAGTTAACGCCAAGACCTCTGGTGTCACACCGGCAGGATCGCGAAGCTGTGTGAAGGAATCGCCGTCCTTCGGACCGAGAACACCAGCATCTTGGACAAATCCTCGTTGTGAGTCGAAGACAAAAAGGGTAGCGTGGAACCGATCGGGCGCGACTTCAGAACTATGATACTGGGCTGCAGGAATCGTGTAGCTTACTCCTCGGCGATGAACATTTGTCTTCAGAGGAGTAACACGAACCAATTTCTTGGTATTAGCAATTGTCGAGAATGCCTGATTTGTTTTATAGTTGGTTCCTAAATTCTTACCATCACTCCATGCTAGGGCGTATTCGGAGTGAGTAGCAGTCTCTAGATCTTTAACGTGCTCGACCTTGTATGAATGATCTATCCCTTCGCCAGCCAAGATCCAACTCTGGGCAAACGCTTGATGAGAATGGATGGAAACATCGTGATTTCCTCTATACCCATCCGGTAGCCACACATGAAGTCGGAATAGCTCATCTATGTTCCCGTTCTTGATCAAGCTGCAGAGGGCCACGGAGATGAATCCTTGCGCGCTTCGTGAGGCAGTACAGAGTTGTCTTGTGAGCAATTTACTAGTGAGAGCGCTATGAATTAGTTCCCAAATAAGAACAAGGTCGGCCTCGCTTACGGCCTTGCGAGCATCACCTTCTTTGCCTGTATAGAGCTCACGGAGATACGCAATAGCAAGCCCTATGTTAGCAACTTGTCGAGTATCCTCATCGGGAATAATCCTTTCTATAGCGGTACGCCAGTCACTAAAGGATAGGGCAACCTCATCTTCATGATTATTGGTGGCGCCCGTACAGAGGCTTTGTATAATTCGATGCGGGACGTCTTCAGGTGATTTCGTCGCTACAGCTACCCCTTGCAGGATCCTGAGGAGGGATATGCTAGAGACTGCAATTCCTATAATCATTTTAAATATTTGGCCATGTATATAAGCAAAGCCTAGCAGCCCAATAAATACTCTTAGTAATACTGGTCTAATGCTACCTTGCCACCCCTCGAGGTCCAAGAGGGAGCAAGTATATACTCCACTTATATTAACGAATCAAGACTTCAAAGGTTTGATATATAGCCTTTTAAGGATAGAATAAAAAGACTCAACTAATTAGGATGGAGTTGCACCTGTGCCTCTTTAGTATTTCAAAAGAAGTATAGCTCGGCCAAGAAGCGCTACCAGTCGTATATCTTACCTATTATATTAGGTAGATACGGATAATAATTCATTAATCCACAAGTTCATTAATGTAAGCCATGATCATTATTACTAAGTGAATCCTACTCTACACATGCTGCGATGAGAGGGGTTCGGCAAAGTCTCCAGTAGACTAGCTAACGCCAACGGCCTGCACTCCGTTGACGAGTTCTCAGAAGAATCTATATGCCGAATGCCACGCGGGAATCTCAATTCACCCAATGCCTCCTAATATCGCCAGGGGAAATTTTTTTTCATGCACACCTACCCCTATCCTCCTTCTCTATGCTGTACAAGACTGATGCAATCATGATGCGGGGGTTATAACACGGCTACGTTTTGTTATTGTTTCGTGGACTCTGTAATTGGACTTGGTTGTCCCTTAGGCGAAGCCGAAGTAGTCACTACCAGCTGTGATGGCCTTGAGCACTTGCTTACGTAGAATGTCGTAGCTTTCATACTCAGGTAAATCGAGCTCTGCGTAGCTGTTAGTAAATCATATCCATGCAGAGAACAAACAGGACAATACTTACGGTTAAAGCACGTGTGAGAGCTTGGCAGACGGTCCTTGTTCCCGTAGTCGCGATGAATGTTGAATCGATGACTCCATTCATACCTTCGAGCTCCTTAAAGCCATTAAGAGGCACTTTACTGGTTCCCGTGACGAATTGTAGGAGCTTCGCGCGTTCCTCCTTATCGAACGATCGGACTGCGCGCCAGAACCACTGGATCTGCGGGGAGGACGGCGAGTAGTTGTGATATTCCGTGTTGCTCTTCCAATCATCTATATCAACGTCCGGCAGACCAGAGATTAACAGCTCTAGTTCCTGCTCGTTGAAGATAGATATGAGTTCAGCCGGGATGATTTCGTGGAAGCCTATTCATAGGTTAGTCTTGGTTTCGTTCCAGAAATGTTAACTGAATTTTATCTTACCTTTTAGGAAATTTTCCATCTGGTCTTTGACGGATGTTAGTAGCTTATGTTCAACTACTAAGCGCACATATTCGTGCTTATTGTCTTCCGTCACAGGCAAGTTGCGGCCATTTTCTCTGAGGTCATGGATCCTAGTAACACCGAACTCGTCATCCTCAACCGAGAACGTCTCAGTGATAATATCAGTGATGTCGTTGTTCAGCATCCAGGAGAGTGATTTGTAATAATCCGGATCAAAGGACTCCATATCCTTGACCGAGACCGGCTTACCTAGGATTCTTTTGTAGACCGCACGGCTGAAGTAGCAATCAAGTAGACGGCCCTCGTACAAGGCCTTGCCGATGATTCTCCCGATAAACTTGAAAAACATAAGATGCTCATCGTTTATACCACTGAGCTTGTTGGGGTGGAAGGTCGTTCGGTCGCTTGAAACAGGCACGAATAGGGCATAGTTGGCATCGAACATCTGTCGTGCGAGAACCTGGAACCATTCCCTGGTTACACCGCCTGCATCTACGCCCTCTTCGCCATGGAATCTAATGCTCAGCTTTCCGAACTTCATCTCCTCGCCTGTCTTGAAGTATAGTGACTTGAAAGAGTCGTGGAAAACGTGCTCTCGGCGAACTTGTAGCTGTAATAACGGATGTGGCCGCTGACTGACGTGCTGTTTATTGTGAACGCTACGGTTGAACCAACTGCGCTTATTATCG